ACTTTACTGAAATCCTTCAAGAACCCACGGAATACATTCATAATAGCTTTTAATATGTTCTTCTTGACTAAGAATAATGCAATAGATCAGGAAGGGCAATGCCAATTTGATTATGTACACCAGAAATGTGAACAATACAGCACACATGTATCTACCAAAATAAGAAATTAAGACCTGACAAGGTCCAATGCAAGAAGATAAAAGCACCCATGCACAAGAATGACTACTCTCCTAGCATGTCCATAAAAGTTCAAAACTTTACAGATGGATGGAAGCTTGGCATCTTAATATTTGCAAGAGCAAAACGTTTGGCTCAGAATGAAAATAGAATTAGAACTAAAACCCAAACTAAACCCTACCAAAAATAAGAACCAAGTTCTGGAAAGAATATTAACTTGAAATAATGGCTAGTTACATGAGTATGAGAATCTACTGTTCAAAGTCACCTTAACAATAATAAACTTCTGAAAAACGAAGATGCAACACTATGCAGTAAAATCAGATGGAATTGCAGGAAGAAGCATAAAAAAAAATTGTCTGCCCCATTGCATAGCCAAAATTGAAGCGATTTTTAAAAGCATATGTAGTCTTACCATGAGAATCAAATACTCTTTTGAAATTTTCTCCAACTATAGTTGAAATTTCTTAAGGTTTGTTTGCAACATACAAGTGAGTTCAATTCATTATAATTGTCAAAGCAGCTCCTTAAGTCTATTAGTTGGCCTGCTTTCAAGCAAGAATCTAAAAGTGATTACCTAATGTTTAGCTTATGGAGTAAACAAGATAAGCTAATGTCTCTTTGTTGCACAGTGGCTAGCTGTACTGTAGTTTTTCTTTTTCTTTTTTTAATTAAAGAAATTATGTTTCAAATCAGAAAATAAATATTATTATTATAATACCAATCCAATGTTGATGAGTTAAACTCAATAAGAAAGCCCAGTAACCCCACTTCAAATCCCCAAGTATACCAAGTAAGAATATATCTGATAAACAATAATTACTACACACAAATGAACATGCACTGTCAACTCAAATGCGACCAGGAAGGTATCAACCACTGATGATGTATATGACACAAAAAAAAGGTTTTCAATCATATATATTTTAAAGGCCATTTAAAAAAAATTATATATATATATGTGTGTGTGTGTGTGTGTATATTTTGAAGGATTTCATATGAAGTCAAATCCACAAATCACCAGCCCTTCATCACTACACAACCCGCTTATCATTCTTAATTTACTAGTTTGTAGTTCCATCATGATTAACATTATAACTATATCAATAATATACATTATGAGGAAAACAATATAATGAAAAAAGGCAAATTCATCCCAGTATAAAATTAGAACTCAAATCCGTGAAAAATATACAATGCCTAGACAAAAAGTTAAAAATAAACAAAAATATATTCATAGCAGCACCATGCACTAAAGCTCATTGTCGCCATCGAACTACACACATCACACATTTCTTGACATCAATTCAGAAAAAATTAGCCAATTTACTGTGTTCTGTGAGATCCCAGCAGATCGTACCGCAAAACATAGAAGTTGCAGCATTTTCAGTGCTCTGAAGGCGTTAGAAAAAGAATTTAAAAGCTATAACCATGGGGGCATTATCATTTCTTCTTCTTTTTTCAGTAGATTATCAATAATTCAGCTATCCTTCTCAAATGGGTTCAATCCAAATCAAGAATTGACCTTCTACCTAAGCTTTTCTCATTCTCATGGGACCTAATCCAGATCTCCTTTCCCTTTCACGTTTCCTGATGATACAATTCTAATATCTCACATGAAAAACCCCATTTCACATTTATAACCCAAAACAACCCAAATCATGTCATTCTCGTAAAACCCATATCCATAAAAACAAGAAACACAAAGAAAGTAAAAGGAAAAAAATTGAAAAACAAAACACAACACATATAAAAGCAGTAGCTCAGATCTGAAGGGAAATGAAAAAGGAAAAGATGTGGGAAACTTACAGATGAGGCAAAATTCGATTGGATCAAAAGGAGCTTGATGGGTATTCTACGTTTGTTTCTTTTTTTTTTTTTTTTTTTTCTTTTCGTTTCTTCTCGTTTCTTTTGGGGTCTGTGTCTCCTTCTTCTTCTCCTTCTTTATATGATGTTTCGGTTTGAAGTTTGGAGAAGAGATGAGGAGGGAGTGGCCGTCCGGTCCACCGTGTTTTGACCACAAATAGAATAAATAAACAAAATAGGTTTGCTGATTGCGTGCGCAGGTGTCACTCGTTTTGTGTCTTTTCTACGCGCTCAAGGGCCGTTGGGCGTTAGTAAGCACCTTAAACGGTGCGTTTTAGTTTGTTACCTACAAGGTCTAAAATATCGATGGTATCGAAAATATCGGTAGTCCAAAAACATGGAAATTTTGATGAAAATATCGGAATATTATCGATATCAATAAAAATTGAATAAAAACCATGGAAATTGTAAGAAAAATTTGGAAATTTTTATTGAAACTTTGGAGGATGTTTATTTAGTCAAGTATTTATTAGTTTATCACAAAAAATTGGAAGAAAATGCATTGTATGATAGGTTTAACTGATTTAAGTTGATTATATAGCGAGCTGACAAACATTGTGAGTGTAGAAAATATGTAGTAATTAAGGAAAGAAGATTAAACACACCATAATCATTTATATATAATGATTTACTACAATATTTTACACTTTATACATTGCATGGTTAGATATATGAGTGACTTAGTACCACATAGAGTTCTTATGAGATTCAAAATTTTCACTATCTTCGTGACCCAAAAAAACTATAATATCTTCGATATTTTATTGATATTATCGATATTTTAGACTATGATTCTTATTAAGTTCTTTGTTTAATTCAAATTTCTTATTGATTTAATATATCTTATCGCATTTATTTTAGGGAGTTTCACTAAAACACCCAAAATGGGGGTTGAAATTATAAAAAAACCCAAGCACTATTTAAACATATAAACACACCCAAAACCCATCATTACACACACTCAAAACCCATTTATAAACACACCCAAAAAGTTGATTTTGTGGTTGATTTTGGGTGTGTTTCTATGTTTAAATAGTGCTTGGGTTTTTTTTATAAATACATATCTAGAATTGGGTTTATTTATAAATTTGTATTTATTTTATTGTCATTTAGTTTCCTTCATTTATCTTAATCATTGCACTTATCATAAAAACGCTAAAAACACACCTACAAAACCTAACCTTCTCGACCCTGAGGAAGTGAAAGAACATAGGCCAAGAAAAGGTCCCTGACTTGGCCAATCAATCGTTGATTAAAAGTTAGAAGCGCAAGCACATCCATTCAATCTTTTCTATCCAAGCCATTAATAAAATACAATAACAAAAATAGTCATAGCATCGATACAAAATTTGAAGTCCAATTAAAAAACATGAAAAATACTAAGCGACAATCACTTAAACTAAACATATAACTTCTAGAGTTTATACCAAATAAAACATAAAACGACACTAGTAGAAAAAGCCCTAATTATTCTATGAAGTATGTGGAATATGTGTAGAATGAGTATATATTCATATAAAATATATTAGAATGTGGCCTAGAAATCGAGTTGGGTTCAGACGGTCAAGGCCTAAAACTGACCCATAAAATGATTAAGTTGAGTTCAAGCATGTCTTCATTAGGGGTTGGCATTTGAATCGGTGAATTAAGTCGGAAAAAAAAACCATGTTGACAAAAAAGTAACTTAGGCTTAAAAACTAAATCGGACCGTTATGGATTGGTTCTCATCCCGATTCTTCCCTTGGACAAAAACATTCTAAACTAAATCGAACCGGTTATGTTAAATTTACATACTTTAGCCCAATTAATACCCAAATGCTTTATTCCCAATTTATACCCAGCTAAATAACAATTATAGCCCTACTTCTTTTTCTTTTTGGTGAACCATAGCCGTTCTTCTTGTTGCACCTCTGTCTTTCTCTCTTTTCCACCTCTTTCTTTCCCTCCTCTTTTCTTTCTATTTCTTGTTTCTTCACCTCTTCGTCTTTTTCTCTTCTTCCAAATCAAAACCAACCAAATCGAACCAAAACCGTATAGCACCAGCCATTAGCCCTCCAAAACAAACCGTGTAAGTTTTGGGGAGGCTCCAAACCCGTGCGACACTTTGTATGAAAATCTAACTAAACTCGTGTATAACTTTCAGTTTTTACTCCAATTAAAGGGATAAATCAGAATGAACCGATTTTACTCCAATCAAAGGGATAAATCAGAATGAACCGAAATATGCTCACCCTTAATGTTCACCTAATTCTAACTTGTCAGATCGGGTTAATGATTAAGTTAAGTTTGGGATGATCCAAGTTGCACTTGTAGATGAGAGTGTTTATGTTGAATTGATAAAGTTGCTTTTGTATAAGGAGAAAGAAAAAAAACCCGACCCCACCTATGGTGTTTTGTGGAAATATCTGAGAAGAAAACCCGACCCGACCAACGTGGCGACTCAGTTATACTTGAGACAAGGTCCAATAAAACCGTGGAAAATTCGAATCCGAACCTAAAAGCAAAAGTCTTTGTAGCTTTTATTAGGCTCTTAATCTATCTTCGCTCTCTTGATCTTTGCTCTCCAATTTCCAGAAGGTAGTCGATCTTAATTCTTTACTATTATGATCAAATTTCAGGAACAATTAATATGTATTTCATCAATTACATCATGGGTTTTGTATAAGTTTCTTTCAATCTGATCGAATTTCTCATTTGTTTATGTTGTTTCTAGGGTTCTAGTTGTTTTTCAATATAGGTTTATAATTTCTTTGTTGAATTATTGAATTGAGCTGCAATCTCAAATAGGGCTTTGAATAAAGCTCAAGGCCTGAAACTTATTTAAAATTTTCGTATTTAGTTTGAAAATTCCATCAGGGTGTTTGTATTTCATATTATTTTTTTTTTTTATTTTTTTTTTTTGGGGGGGGGGGGTTTTGTTAATATTTGATCTGTGGGTGAGGCGTGAAAGAAGAAGATGTGGGCAGCTTCCTGCCTGGCGTCGTGCTGCGCTGCTTGCGCCTGCGATGCGTGCCGGACGGTGGTGTCGAGTATCAGCCGCCGGTCTGCAAGGATTGCATACTGTGGGCTCTTCGCGCTTTCTCTGATCGTCTCATGGATTCTCCGTGAGGTCGCAGCTCCCCTCTTGGAAAAGATTCCTTGTAAGCCATCTCTTTCATCATTCCAAATATTAGGCTGTGGTGTTATGATGTACTTGCTGTGCTCTGTACAGATGTTTTGAATGTTTGGTAATGCTTTATAAGAAACTCATTATAACATAATGTCTTTAAATGGGTGAAATTTTTTTGATTTCCCATGGAAGTTTGACTACAACTAGAGGATTGTTTGGTTCTTGGGTTTAGTGGTATGTGGTCTTGCATATGACACTGATCTCAGATTGGTTATTGATGCAGGGATTACTCAGTTTAATCAGACACATAACAGGGAGTGGTTCGAAACAGATGCAGTGCTTCGTGTTAGCTTGGGAAATTTTCTCTTCTTCACCATTTTAGCTGTTATGATGGTTGGCGTGAAAAGCCAGAAGGATCCTCGTGATAGTTTGCACCATGGTGGATGGATGATGAAAATTATTTCCTGGTGCCTTTTAGTGATCTTCATGTTTTTCATACCAAATGAGATTGTTAGCTTCTATGGTAAGCACTATATTCTATCAGGGATTTTGTTTTCGTAGTGCATAAAATTTTCGCTGTTTTCTTGTTTCAAAAGTCCCAAGATGAATTCCAGTCTCTGGGCTTGATGCACACATTGCAGTTTTACATTTAAGAAAAAAAATCAGATGCTAAACTTCAGTACATTTATTGACCTTTCTTGACCCAATTACTGCTAATCTCTGCCCACAGAGACCAATCATCTGTTTATTTCTTAAATTTTGAACAGACAAGAAGTGTCATGATTGCGCTTTCTTTTCAAAGAAAATGTACTTGTGTATCTCATGTTGTCACATCTGAATAGTATTGCATACATGCAACATGATATATATATATATATATTTTTTTTTACAACAATAATAGACTCTTAATGATTTAGCACTTATTGCATTTGAAAATTCTTATTGCAATCAAAACAGTATATCATACTGTTGTAAGTTCAGTTTATTAGGTTATCATAATAGAATACCTATATGTCTGTAACAACTAGTATGTCCTTGTCATCTGCGTATTTCCATTTCTTTCTGTGAGTGCTTCGTGTAATCTTAGATTATTCACTCATCTTTTTATGTTTTCCATATTATTTTTTGACTCCTGAAAAATTTTCTATTGCTAAATCAAAATAGGCTTTACAAATTGGAGAACTTACTTATGGGCTTACATATGTTGAACCTAGAGAATAGTAGCTAGGTTAGCACTCCAAAATTGTTCTACATCTATCTGTGAATTATGATTCGTTTTTGGGTTCTATATATGTATTTTGCTCTTAATTTTTTTAGTGAATTAAAATGTACCTTGGTTAGAGTATCCTGATGCTATAAAATAAAAGGTTTGTGGTCATGATTTGTCATGCAAGGAAACGGAGAAGATTGGATTAGTATTTGAGTCTCTTCTGTTAATTTCCGAATTTAGTTTCTTCTGTTAATTACATTTTTGGAAACTTTTTTCATTTGTGTGACTAAAATTGACAGTTAAATATCTTGTTTGCAGAGACAATTTCAAAGTTTGGCTCAGGATTTTTTCTCCTTGTACAAGTTGTACTTTTGTTGGATTTTGTTCATGGGTGGAATGACAAATGGGTTGGATATGATGAGCAGTTCTGGTTAGTTTATTATTTCCTCAAGTATCTACTATTTATTTTCACATTTCTACATTTCTACATTCTTATATTGATTTTAACTTGAATCTTCATCATTTATATAGGTACATTGCACTTTTTGTTGTTTCTCTTGTTTGTTATCTGGCAACATTCGTCTTCTCTGGACTTCTTTTCCATTGGTTTACGCCATCTGGACATGACTGTGGGCTCAACACCTTCTTTATTGTCACAACTCTGATCTGTGTGTTCCTTTTTCTCATAGTCGCTCTGCATCCTGCTGTAAGTTTGTAAATTTCATGGTTCTTTCTTTATAGCTAATTATAATCAGTTACCAAAAAATAAAAAAAATAAAAAATTACACCATAATTGTATCACTCATGTTTGCAAAGATACAACTAGAAGAAATAAAAAATGAAGAGGGATAATACAAGTTGTATAAGGCTGCTATTGGTGATTATAATTCAAGAGATTGTTGCCTTATCTTTTACTGCTTCTACAAGGGCAGAGAGACTAGCTATAGATTCAGTGATAGACCAGAGTTGCAGAACACACGAGGAAAAAAATATAGCCCTTGTTTTATTTATTTTCTTTTTTTGGCAACGACAAAGAAAGAGGCAAACAAGGAAGAGAGGGAGGAATTTGGAGGAAACCATGTTCTATTTCCATGGGACATTGCAAAGTCTGACTAGTTAAAACCCAAAATGATATATTAAATTGGGATTACATCGATTCATGCTTTGTATAGATGAGTTAACTGTCTTCTTGGGCTAAACCAGAAGTATATCACTCTCCAGATTATGGTAATCTGTTATAAGGCAATGCAGGTGATGAGTGAGGTTTTCATAAACTTGGTTCAGTCTACTATTTATCTCTGTATTCTGTTGAGAGCAGCGTATGTATTCAATACTAAATCTAGATTCTAGAACTGTACTTCCACTTAGCTTAAAAGAGTCTATATGTTGCATAGCTTCTTGGTTGCACATATTTTGTATTGGTATGATTCTTTTTACATTTATACTCTGATGTTATACATGCATAGCCATGGTATGCTGATGCGTGCAGATTCATTCGTAATAATTCAGTATTATGATTTCTTAGTTATCATTTTTATGTTATACAGGTAAATGGCAGCATTTTGCCAGCGTCAGTTATATCAATGTATTGCACATACCTTTGCTACAGTGCACTTGCCAGTGAACCAAGGGAATATGAGTGCAATGGTCTTCACAAACATTCCAAAGCTGTTTCCACTGGGACCCTTACCTTTGGTTTGCTAACCACTGTTCTTTCTGTGGTTTATTCTGCTGTTCGTGCTGGATCTTCTACAACTCTTCTCTCCCCACCAAGTTCTCCTCGTGCAGGTAATTCTTGGCAGAACCTTTAAAACTCTTGTTTCAAGATATGCAATTTGTCTATACTAACCAAGAAAAATGTGCTTAAACTGTCTTACAATTATTTTGTTTTTGGTTTTTTTTTCTTGAACAATTGTATTTGATGTTTGGTTACATGAGAAACTTTTGAAGGAAAAAATATTAACATTGATAGGCTGTCTAGTTTTGCTATAATACTAATATTCCTTTTTTTTCATATTTAAAATTTCTTGCCTGGTGAAGGTGCTGGAAAGCCTCTGCTTCCATTGGACAAGGCAGATGAACATGAAGAAAAAGAGAAGGCGAAGCCAGTATCATATTCATATTCGTTTTTCCACATCATCTTCTCTCTTGCTAGTATGTACTCGGCAATGCTTCTGACAGGATGGACAACCTCAGTTGGGGAGAGCGGGAAGTTGGTTGACGTGGGGTGGCCATCTGTGTGGGTGCGGATTGTGACTAGTTGGGCAACTGCAGGTCTGTTCATCTGGTCTCTTTTGGCTCCTATTCTGTTCCCCGAGAGGGAATTCTGAACCCTGCCACCACTAAACTAGAGATAAAGGGTTTGCTCATCAGTGTCTCAAGTATATTTATTTATTGTGTGTATGCATCTTCTTTTGTACTTCAAATACTATCCACTGTGTAAATAGAATGATATGTGTTGACTTTTGGAATAACCAATTGTGCTTGGTAAACTACATGTTAATGAGCAAAACAATATTATCAGTGATTTCCCCAACAGTTTCTTTATTGGATTTGATCTGTTTTCAATACTTGGCTTACCACTTGAGCTAGCCCTTGAGGTTCTTACATGCACCATCTAGGTATGGATAAGGAAATGTCAAGCCTGGTTTTGGTTCTAGCCTTTGTTCCATTTCTTTTTACGCGGCCTTGTTCTCTTTCATCAGCAATTCTAACTATATAGTTTGAAGATTGTGAAAACAAGCAAAGCCTAGAAGATTTCGATGCAAATAAAAGGATTTCTCCGCTCCAATTCTCATGGTTTCTACGTTTGCAATTCCTAGGGAGCTAAAACATATTTATCTTTGGTGAAGAATGACCAACACCATTTTAGACAGGTCTCTAATTCTTTTTCCTTAAAAGGATCAAGCAATTCAAAATGTCGCAACCGTCATTTAGATTTGGCGTTACCGATTTGGTTGATTCATGGAGGTTAAATTGATATAATGTTTAATTTTGGACCTGTTTGAAAACCATTTTAGTTTTCATTTTTTCAGTTTTTAATTTTCAGTTTTGATTTGTATAAAACTGAAAACAGAGAAGTTTTTATTTTATTTTTATAAAGTCAAATTTGGGAAGGGGGCAAACCGAGCCTTGGGAACTTGAAAATAATAAACTTGTTTAGTAACTCTCTTTCAATTTTCAAATAAAAGAAAAATTAAAAATTGTTTAAAAGTTGTTTGGTAACAATTTTCAGTCTTATGCTTAACTTGGAAATTAAATTTTTATCGGAGGTCATAGAATGAAAATGCATGTTACAAAGAGTCTAACATTTTTCAGAGTTTAGGATGAATTTTGGTTCTAGAAGTCCCAAGGCTCGGTTTGGGCATGCAGGCGAAAACAAGAGTCGAGCTGTCTGTTCCAAGTCAGGAGGTCCCAAATACCGCATTTTAGGACTAAATTGAAATGTATGTGCAGTAATGTAAAATTGGTAAATGAGAAAGGAGGGTAAAAAAAACTGAAGACAGTTTATTATTTTAAAAAAATATGAATGATTTTGATTAAAAAAATAAAAAATGAAAACTGTTATATAACATGTCTATAGTTTTCACTTAACTGGTTATCAGACAAACCCTTAGTGAAATAATTAAAAAATTTACGTCCCTAAAGTAGATTTAAATTGAAATAAATTTCATACAGTTGAGGAACAATATCAAAAATCGATGACAGAATAAGGATGACAATTCTCTGATAATAATAAATAAAAAAAGATGGCAAGATGTAACATTTAAAAAACATAAGTTAAAATAGAGAACTATAATATTAAAAGAAAAATAAGTTAAATAAATTCTGTGTTTATTGAACCCCTATTGTTCTTGAGATGCAGACGAAAGATATTTTTTCGAAGGAAAAAGAAACTCAACCTTTCCTTTGTCAACATACTGTTCTCTCACAAGAAATAAACCTCAGCAAAAGATGTTCTATTTAAAAATTCAATCTGGCAAAAACAATTACTATTAATTAAATTCATTATCTGGGGACATAAGCTGTTCCAAACACTACACGCACTACCTGAGTAAAGATGCTGCAAGTGTCAAGGATGCGGATTCAAAAGAATAAAACTATGAATCCAATGGGGTAAGCATAACTGGGTGTTTAGGACAATCATTCAATCCTCAAAATCTCCAGCATTCTCCAATAAGTAGTTTGCTGCCAATTCTTCATTGCGATCGCATGCTAAAAATGCCTCGATGACCAAGGCCCTATCAAATCCCATTGCTTCGAGCTATAGAAAATACCAAACTAATCAGTGGATGTAAAAACATTACATGCAACAGTTCTCAGGAACAGAAAGAATACATACTCGTCCAATCTTGATAATAAAAAAAAGTACATACTCGTTCAATCTTGATAATAAAAAAATACACACTCGTTCAATCTTGATAAATAAAAAATACATACTCGTTCAATGGCCTCCTGCTCAGCCGGAGTTACGTTGATGGCATGAGGCATATCTTGGTCAGGGCCATCAGGCTGATCAAATATGTCACTGGAAGATGGAGTACTTTTATAAGAAAGGCAAGTCATGATTTTGACAATTTCTATGCATGAATTAATTCGGTCTTTTTTATGATACTCACCCTTCAGACCCCTCAAGAGGTTCATTTATTAACTGAAGGAACTCAGTGTGGTGTTCCTGAATTAATCTTAAAAGCTGGGGGTTTTGCTTTCCAAGCTCCTGCAGCATGGGCTGTAACAAAAGCAGCACAAAGCGACTGTGAGACATTTAAAAGAAACCATCACAATTTTTAATCTAAGACATAAAGCAAATGCAAACCTGTAAAATTTGTGGATTTGCTTGCACCATTGAGCGCAACGCTTGGAACTATAACGAAAACAGACATTAAGTAGAGCACACCTTACATAGCCAACAAGTGAATAAAACATGCAAACTAAATCAAACATGATCTCCAACATTTACTATTCATTAGAAGCACGTAATAGAGCTTTTGTACGACTATATGACATAGTTTAAACATGGCTAGCTACAAAGAGAATGATATCCACTTTTGGTTGCTTCTATAACATTATTTCTTCCCAGAAAATACAAGAATGAAATAAAAATGTATTATAAACTCGTATACTATCTCCACTCAACACATGCGCCATCTACCCTGTTTCCAATACCAATATTATAAAACGTCAACAAGTTCAATCGTGTTGATTTGCTGATTTATAGAATCCAATATACAGAATATACATCTTAGTTGGAAATATTATAACAGGAAGCTTACCTGGCGATTATTCCTGAGGAAGGCGAGGGATCCAAGTGCACCAGCACCAGCACCAGAGAGTGTTTCCTGGAGGACTCCAGCTTAGATACCCAGCTAAGTAAATGTAAAGGAAACATATCCAACAATCCTACATTTTACCTGAGGAAACATATTCAAAGGAGCAGAGTTAGGTGCTCCAGAGACAGGTGCAGCATTGGCTGGCCCTGTTTCAGTTGCCTGGCTTGCCGGGAAATGTCCTACCGGCACTGCAACTTCTGCTGTTTCTGGAATACTCTGAAGAACACTATGTCAGCGGCTAAATAAAGATCAATATAACAGCAACAAGTTTAATAAATCTAGACATACAGAGTACAAGTAGTCGACTGCTCTCTCTGGATTGTTATATGCCGCTCGAAGTGCACGTGTAACTGTTTCTCTGTCCCAGTTTCCACCGCCCATATCCATTATTTGTTGAATAGTCTGCTCAAGATTAGTACCAGCAAGTAAAGTTGAAGCAGCTTGACCATAGGTATCAGTATGCACACTGCAGTTGAAAGAGAGGGGCTTAAAATCATCATGGTCTATGCCAATGGAAGTAAAAAACAATGCAAGGGGAACCCAACAATTTTTTTTTTTTTTATATATAAAAAATAAACACTGTTCTTTTAAAATACATTAAAGAAAACAAATTAAAAAGAGGACTATAAGAACAGTTTCCAGATTACCCTAAAAAAATTCAGATTCATACCACACAAGAATATATTATAAACATGCCTAAACTAAACCAGCAGCATGCCAACATGGATAATACATTCGCTACATCACTGGATATTCACATTGAGCAGCCCATCCTAGCTACATCTACATTAATTAATAATATCTGATTGTGTACATAGAATTTGTTTAAGCAAGGCAAAAGTTAACAAACAACCTGGTAAACAAACTTAACTAAGTTCAGGAGCTTGACTTCTAGGCTCAAGTCACATGTACCAAGATGGTTTTGAAAAACTTTGTATTGACAGTTAGAATCCAATTTCAACCGTAATATCTGATTACACACCACCATTGCAAACTGCAAACTGCAATCTTAAAATTAATTTTATAACACAGTGATTGTGCATGCTTTCTGTTTGATAAATAAATTAACTTAATTAAAAGGTGCCAGTGGGCACAAACCAGGTATACAAGAAGTATACAAGGCTAAAATTGTAAAGAAACAATGAAGGCCACGAAAGGGAAAAGGAAAAGACAACTCTAGTCATCCACGTGAAGGTGTCAAAAAAATTAGCCTTCAACTCAAACAGAGGATTCCAGCTTCAAAAGATGCTTAGTAAAATTCATTTCAATCACCGTACTTGATTCCTCAGTAACAACTGCAACTTAATGCAACAACCTAAGGTAATTCAACTCTTAACTGTTGTACAAGTATCTTCATGCCTTTGCCATAGATTGTTAAATATAATCTCAGGATAAAGAATCATACTTTGCAGTGTCAGAAGCAGATATGGTACTCTGTACGGGTCTGTGGCAGCACAAAAAGTAAAGGTTTGTTAAAGAGAACTAATTTAATCTGAACACAAGTTCAAAAGGCTCCTTGTCATGTAAACTCACGGTGGTTGTGCAGGAGCTTCAGGTCTGGTTGTAGAATTTGTGGTTGGTGGAGTTGCAGGAGGATTTGTGGAAGTAGGCTGCGATGCAGAGATACAAGAATTAGCTTAAACATTAAAATACAACCAGGAAAAAAAAAGGGCCCAGAAAACAATAAATGATTGATAATAATACCTGAGCGGATGAAGCCCCTGCTAAGCCTGAAGTTTTACTCTGAAAATTGGCAGAAAGAAAATGAGACAAAAATGGTAGGGATGAGGGCTTATGCGGATTGCAGACAAAGCAGACAATAAACAAGTTTCTAAAGTCGTCTGCCAATCTTGGTTAAACTTTAGAATACAGATAACTTGTGGTAAAGCAAACATGTACCATTGAACATAAACCATTAGCAAATTATACTTCCAGAACTACCCAAATCAATTAGCAAAGTACAAGGAGATGAGAACATATACCATTGAACAGACATATGTCTATACAAAATAATTCATGCTCCAGAATGGATATTACATTTCTTAGATTATATATCTTTACAAAATATCATTTGTGCAAGTCAATGAATAAAAGAACAAATGAAAATCTGATTGCATGTCAACTAAACAATATATAGTGATTCAAAACAACTTAATCAGGAACACAGCTAATATATAGTATCACAATAAAAAATATTAGTATACCATCAGAAAATAGGCATTCTTGCTTCATTAGAAATAAGTGTGTTTTTTTTTCCCCAGCGTAACAGCAGAAATAATTAATGTATCCCAAGTTTCTAAAAGACGATAAACAGTATACACAACCTAGAACTGTTAATCATAGTTAGTAAATTTGCATATAATATGCACATTATGCACATATGTATTTTTTAAAGTACTTCCATCTCCAATACACTTCCTAATTATAGAAGACATGTTTCTCAAAAACCCAATGTATTATATGGGTAATATACACATGCATATGTATTTTCACATTTAATACATGTATTATCACATATGTTTCAATAATATAGGTACAACTTACATATTATACATGTATTTTTCACGTATTACTATAAAAAAATACTAAATTAGAACTTACATATTTTTAACGTATTTATTATACGAGTAACTTACATATTTCATTCATATGTTTCCTATCCAATATTTTATTAATTATCCCCTAATACAATATCTATTTTTCTTTTAGTAATATTACTAGCATAAAATCTGATTCGGTTTTAAAGGCTTCTCTCATCGTTACTGAATTGTAGTTTTTTTTTATTTTTTCTGCTTTCTCTCTCTCTAGCCTCTATCTCTCCCTCTCATGCTCACACATACACACAGACTTATCCTTCTAATATCAATCAAATGAATGTTAGCTTTTTTTGAAGATTGTATCACATTTTATTGAGTAAAAAATAGGGCCTTAATGTACCTCACTTTAGAACAAACGCCAAATAAATTCTTTGTTAGCCACGCATTCACAGAAGCTCCATTAATTCTTAATGTTGTAAACTCTTGCACTCCATATAATGACAATTACCTTGACATATTACTCGAAATGCCACCATATTACTTCCAAAGCCAAAATTATCAGGCTCAAATCCTCAACATTGTTAGACTAATATCTGATTTGATTAAATCATAAACTATAAAAACTAATGAAACTTGTCCTCTTCCCAAAATAGAGGTGTGGAAGCATGTGTATCTTGCTGCATTTATTAATTATCCCTTTCCATACGAATGTTTGACCATTACTCCCATATAGGTAGTGGATAACAATTAATGTATAGAAGCCAAAAATACTGTACAAAAGTCGTGGCCTAACTTATAGTATACACGTTTTTGGCAGAAAAGTTTTGCATTACCATTACCTACTGTTTTTATATGTTTCATTAGATTGAAAGTAAGGCCAATCATGATGAGATAAAACACATATGTCCAAACTAGCAATATCTCTATAATTACTGATTTCTAGTACAAAAAATTGCCAAACACCACATAATAAGAAACTTCTTTACTACTCTTAGAACCAAGAGCAAAGTATCCAAAAGTGAAGAACTGAAATCATATAATTGATTAAAAAATCAATAAATGAAAAGTGGCTGCCATATTTGAATAAGAGCAACTTTGAATATAATTAGCACATTGCCTTTGGATTTAAGAGAAATATACCTTGCTAAGCATGACAACAAGAAAACCATCTTCTGTGACCTTGTTGTCAGCCAATGTAGTTTCATCTTTCAAGACCTTCCCATTGTGAATCAATAACTGCTGCCCACATGGATAATTATCTTTTCCTTGTACATCTTCAATGTTCTTCTTCACAGCCATAACCTTATATTCAAAGTAATAAATGTACATTATAAATATATTAAATTTCAATGCAGCTAATTACATCAAACTTCTATACAGCAACCACTTTGTATTAAAGTTATTCTTTTATGCAATTATGTTCATGCAATATGTAAGTAAATGTGCATATAAATAAAATAAAATAAAATATAGATATATTTAAGCAAAATTAACGACATTTCAATTCTTGTGGTGCCCAAAAACGAAAGAAAAAGTTTCAAAAATCTGAATTTTCATTATGTTTTTTCTTTCCTTGTTTTCTGCCTAGCTATACAGACTGAATAGGAGCAAAAAAATTCAAAATTCAAAAAAAATAAAAAGGAGATGAAGAAAGATGCTCACGGTGTCAGTGGGCTGAACCCTAATTTCGAAATGGCTGCCTTTGAGGGTCTTTACAGTGAGCTTCATCTCGGCGAATTGGAAAGTCCAGAAACGACAGCGTCTGGATTGGCGAGAGAGAGAGAGAAAAAAAAACCCTAGAAAAGCAAAAGGCCGAAGCCTCAACGAGAAGGGAACCGAGTACAGGGAACGAGTAGGCACTATATCAGTCTTTCATTTCCTTGGTAATAAATAGTGGACTGCACGAGTGGCGCACGTGACTTAAATGGAAATTGTGCATGTGGTGTTTTGTTGCTACTAGTTTGGAATTGAAGTGAATATAAGAGCTCGTCGTGAAGAGAAGCACGTGGGATTAGGGATGGCAATGGGTCGAATTGGAGGTGGGTATGTCATTCCTATTCTTATTCCTGTTAAGCTTTTTTCTCCTCATCCCCGTCTTCATACCTGCAATATTCATATCAGGGATTCTCCATCCCCACCTTCGTTCGGGAATGGGTTCCCCAACCTACCCCGTTACGGAAGAAAAAACCAATATAAAACTACTTTGTTGAGAGGAAAAAAAAAGATTAGGGCAATATAATGAATATATATGTAGAAAACAATATAAAAATGTTTACATATTGACTAGAACTTAACTAAATATATAAGTAGGGTGGCTTAAGATTTATATAAATTATATAAATATATAATATAATAATATAAAATATAAAATTTTGTCGGCACAATCACTTTAATATCATATATATATATATTCTAAACTAGGATGGTTCGGATCGAGGATTAAAATATCATCCACGCCCCTCCCTCAATACGATACCCATAAAATTCCCTGTACCCATCCCCATACCCATTTTTTATCCTTCATACCCGACCTATTAAGGTTGAATCCCCATGAAGACCCTTACCTGAGAGGAAAATTGTCATCCCTACATGGGATGTGCTTCTCTATAATGATCACCTTAATTATGAGAGCCTCTCCAATAGTAGTAGCAAATAAAACTCTTCAAATTGAAGTTTGTCGACTTACGTGGCAATTTGAAAAGCCTTATTTGCTACTTGAATAATTTTTGCTCCAACAGACTCTTCAATTCAATTAATGCAATATCATGGAAAATAATGAAAAAATATGAAAAATGTCCATGTATTTATTATATGAAAAGAAAAAAAATACATTTTTTTAACATTTCCAAGGTAGGTTTTGTTTTTCCAAAGTAAAACTAAATGTTTGAAGAGCCAAAGTCAACTTACTAGCCATGAAGAGAGAGAAAAAGGTTGCTACTTTGATGATTGAGATTAAAAAGGTTGTTGGAGAGGGTTTTTGTGATGTAACTCACCTATTTAAGAATTCCAAAGCTGTTGAAGAAGTTGTTGAAGATGCTCTAAGTAATTTTATGTAATAAATGGGCTCGTTTGAGAGAGATTCTAGATAGGCCAGAATTCCTTTTCGGGCTTCTTCATAAAATCACTTAAATTGCACAACCTATTAATAAAAAAATATATATTCAATTGATATATTCCTCTCTTCAATACTATATATGATACAGTATATATAATATAAAAAATTATTTTCATATAATTCTAACTATTTACTTATAATATAAATAATATTATTCTAAGTATTGTTGGTTTAATTTAGTAAGTTATTTTGGGGTTATTATAAAAGTATAAGGATACTTTTGGTATAAAATTTGGATTACTAATGGCCCATGATTACCAACAATCACAATACTGCCCAAATTATAGAGTTCAATTCCTGAAAAATGAGGTGTGATTGTTGTTTTTATGCATGCACCATGCTTAATATGATTTCCTAAGTGTTAATAAACACTGGAATGACCTTGAATAGAAAGTAACTCTCATTTCATATTAGTAAACATGTTATTGTTGTGGGTAAGAATCATGTTGGCAAAATACTCGATTTGTTGGCCAAGGTAATATTTTTATTTCTCAAATAATTGAACTCTTCATAAGTCTTTAAATTTTTTAATAACATAACATCATATTTGAATTCAAAGTAGTTATTAAGGCAATTTGTACCAAATTATATCCATTTGTAATCATAATAATATTGAGTGCTTAACTTGAGCTACACGCTCTTAGTTAATCATTGATTAAGGATTTCATGGCACTTTATATCGTTCAAGAAATCGATTAAGGCGATGTACTTGAGATATTTCATAACCTTATTGAAGGATTTCCTTATAGCATGCGGTCTTGATTAATATAAATTGAACATACATGCTATGAATAGCACATCAAAAGAATAACTATATCTCTACCGAAAAACCTTACTCCATATTAGTGATTTTATGTCACTTATTATAAACACTAATTCATAACATTCAAGTTTACAATTTGGTGTAGAGCTATAGTTCAATATCTCTCGCTTCTTGTTAATTGGAATTCACTCTTTCCATTTTCCTAATAACGTAATTTGTCAAAATTCATGAAATATGGTGTCATATTTTTCATCAAGCACTTAATGATTTTAGTAGCTAGGATAAAACCAAAATTATCATTGATTATCATCAATTCATGATCCTACAATTCTCATGTGCATACCATGCCACTTAGGGGACTTTCATGTTTCTTTTTTGACAACCATCTTTTCTCAGATGAATTGTTCAAGAATGTTGAATAGGCTCATAAATATCCCTTTGCACTATTTGCAATAAAAATTGAGTCAAAGTCAATTTTTGATTTAGTTTTATAACCAATTTTTCTTGTAAGAGAGCTTTCATTGGACAAGAAAATATGTCAAGTCTTTAAAATATCACCTTGTGAATTTGTAATAATCTTATGTATCATTCTAGATCAAGGATGACCATGACGACCATGTGAAAACATAAAAGTTATTGTGTCAATAAACTTCTAGTTCATGACACCATTGATGATAATTACTTTGATCGTTATAGTATACAAGTATGAAGTTCCTTCAACAAACACCTTTGACTACATTAATTTTGGACTCTCACATCGTAAGTTTTGAAGATATTTGGAGATACTAGTCAACCAATATATTTCATAAATAAGGCTAGGGCATTCTAATTATTAAAGATAACACCCACTCCTCCTTACCCACCTTCTTTGCAGACAACAAAACATGTGTATCCGAACAGACACACATGCGATATATTCAAAAGTCCACCACCCTCCATCATGACAAAATCCTAGTATATTCAAAATTCCAAGTTCTAACCCCAACAAACAATTAACGATTCAATTACGAGGGTTCATTTTCAAAGAGAAGGGGTTTTGTCAAATTTCCAATTAGTTTCAGAAAAATATGAATTGTTGGGTTTAGTCTTCAAAGTATGGGAAAGGGTTTACTTTCGAACAGAATGGGACTTTACTCAGGGTGAGTTGGGATTGGTCAGGGTGGGTTGGGATTGATGGTTGTTGAAGAGAGAGAGTGGGGAGGGAAGACATAGAAATAGGGAGAGAGAAGGAAAATGGGTGGGTGGTAGAGAAGAAAAAAGGTGGGGTTCGTGGTTGTAGATGAGAGAGAAGGCAAGGAGACAAAGGGAGAGAGGGAGCAGGTGGGTGTGAAGAGACAGAGGGTGGAGGGTAGGATAGTGTTCAGAGGTGAACGCACATGGGGACCACTATAGTCACTAACCCCTATTGAAATTTTATTATAAAAAAATAAAGTACTATTATGCAACTCAATTGCCAAAATTATATTACCACAGGACAGGACGTGGCCTAATGAATGGGTCATAGCACAAGATATGACATATATGGACTAAAAGTAGTATTCAACCAAAAGTATATTACCACGTGGATCCTACTGACCAGCCAAATTTCCTACAATCATACACTACCCACTCCCAAAAGGATTAGAATTCTGATTATAATTATATATTGCCTTATTTTATAAATTAATAAACTTGAGCCTTTTTCTCTTTTCTTAGATAAAAAAAACATGATCATACTAGCCAGTTGCTTGTGAGTTTTTTTTCTTCTCAAATTCTAATTATATTATCAAGTTTTTTTATTTCTATTTATTTTAATGGGTCTTTCAATTTATGTGTAGATTACCAAAGGAAAAAGGCTTTGAAGATATTTGGTAAATCGCTATTCAACTCCAAGTATGTATTTTCCTATCTCTTGTAATTTTTCTTGCGTAGTATGTAATTGTTTATCCCTTTAATGCAATTGTGAACTTGTTTTTGTGAATTTTAATTTTAATTTATAAATTTCTATATATATGATTCTCTATTGGTTTGATTAATATATTGCTTGCTCAATTTGTTTCGGTTTATAAGTTTGAGAAGATGTTCATAATTGTTTCAAGGCTTATTTATTGTAGTTCCCCCTGAAACTTTGGTCAAATCTCACTTTACCCCCCGAAAGTTAAAATGGCCCACTTAACCCCCTTGACCAAGGTTTGGTGTTTCAATTTGCCCCATATCGTTATCTCTATTAATAACTCCGTCAGTTTTGATGATGTGGCATGACTATTTTAATATTTTTACCATAAGTGATGACAGACCCCACTTTTTCTGCTTAAGTAGACTAAAATATTAATAAAAAAATTAAAAATTAAAAAATTGAATAATGTAATTACTTGTTAATATGAAAATATGAAAAATGAAAAAAAAAACTAATATTAAAAAAAATCTCTTCTTCTCCATCTCCCTCCCTTTGTCGTCCCCTCCCTTTCCCTTAACTTCACACCATAAGGCCATCCCTAATGGTTGGGGCTCTAAAAAAGGTTTATAGAGCCTTATTTAGAGCTCTGATGGAATCTTTGGGGCTCTAAAGGAATCTCTCTCACAATGAGAGGCCCTATATTCATGGCAGGCTCTTATTTTTTTTGTTTATGATGTAATTTGATTTTGTGAACATTTCAACCAAAAAAAATCAAAATTTGGACAAGATTTGGAAATCAACATTTTATTTCATAGATACGATACAACATGGTTAAATTAAAACAAGATGCACAACATTAATTTGGTGGTCATCCCAAAGTTGGATATGGGTCCATTGCATTATGGCTTTCCACCCATCTCTTATCTATGTTGTCAGATAATAATTGTGGTAGCATGGTGATATCTGGATATGGGTCCCCTTCGTTATGGCCTTCCATCCCTATGCCATTTACATTTGTCAGATAATAATAGTAGTAGATGGATGTGGGTCCCATTCATTATGACTTCGGATAAAAAATCTAATCTCTTCATATTACATCTTATAATAACCGTTGGATCGAATTACCTCATATGAATCTCATCTGTATATTTGTTATCTCTTAAATCATAACATCCTCTATAAATGAACAACCACCTTATTTTCATAACACACCACTTCCCAACTCTTGTTTTCTCAGTATTCATTATTCTATCACCGCACTAGAATGACCAACAATGGATATGATAGTGCTTCTAGTGATGAGACAGGTGCCAACATAATATTTTTGGAAATGTTTGAAAGCTACCAAAGGAAAAAAAGTAGCGAAGAAGAAGGAGAAGACCTCGATAGTTGTCCACGGGGGTACATCGTCACAACGACGTACTATACCAAGAGATCGAGTAAGTGCCCATGAAAGCCTTTTTCAAAATTACTTCTCTAACCATCCGTTGTATCCCGCTTCAGATTTTCTTAATAGATTTCACATGAGGCGTGAGTTGTTTAATCGAATAATGGAACAAATTGTCCATTTCAATGCTTACTTCAAACAAAAACTTGATGCCACTGGAAAGCTTGGTTTCTCACCACAAGTGAAAATGACAGCTACCATGCGTATGCTTGCATATGGTACGGCAGCTGACTTCAATGATGATTACCTTAAGATAGCAGAGACCACATCCTTTGAAGCATGCAAGAGATTCTGTCATGCAGTCAACAACTTATACGAAACTGAATATCTTCATAAACCAAAGAGGGCGGACCTACAAAAATTGATCCAAAAAGCTGAGGAACGGGGGTTTCCTGACATGCTAGGAAGCCTTGACTGCATGCATTGGGAGTGGAAAAACTGCCTAATGTCACACCATGGGGCATACACGGGCCACCATGGTCGTCCAACCATAATCCTTGAAGCGGTTGCTTCTTACGACACATGGATTTGGCACGCCAACTTCAGAATGCCGGGAGTATATAATGACCTCAATGTATTATACAAGTCAATATTTTTTATGACGACATTCAAGGACGTGCTCCACGGGTCTGATATTATCTGAATGGGAAACAATACAACCAAGGTTACTATCTTGCAGATGGAATATATCCAAAGTGGAACACAATTGTCCAGTCATTTTCGGATCCTTAGGGACGACAACATCAATTATTCTTTAGGATGAAAGAGGCGTATCATAAGGATGCGGAGAAAGCTTTTGGAAATTTTCAAGCTCATTTTGCAGATGTCCCGAGGCCTGCCCGCCAATGGTACGGAGAAGACATTTTGGAGGTACTAAAAACTTGCATAATTCTTCATAATATGATTATTGAAGATGAGCGTGACCAAGACGGCATAACTCCTGCTAAGGACACACCATATCATGTGGAAGAGGCTCTGGTACCGCATGAACGTGGATCACGCAATATACAATTAGAATCTATTAATTAAAGCATAATAAATGATCCAACTGCCCACTACAACCTTCGATCTGATATCATTCAACACTTGTGGGAGCAATATGGAACAAAACTTTAATTGTTGTCGGTGTTTTCAAAGGCGAGGCGTATAGGTGATGGGTTTTAAGTACCACTATACGAGACATAAGCCTTGAAGCATTGAGGCGTAAGCCTTTTGAACATTAATTTATTTTAATAAGAAAAATTTATGAATAATACAATACGATTAAATGGTACAACTAATTCTTATTCAATCATAACAATCTTTTAAATATAATCAAATATAAGTACTAATTGTCATTCAAAGCATAATAATTAATCCCAAAACATAAAATATTTATTCAACATCAAAACAAATACATAATTCACTCATCTCACTCCTCAACACTAATATCATTCAAACTAGCATCACTATCATATTGATCAACTGTATCAATATGAACATGATATTTCCCACTATCAAATATTGTTGAAGGATCTTTATCTATCTCATCATCTTCATCCATAAGCATCGCTCTTATGGACTTGCTTTTGACTTTCCTCTTACCTGTACATATGAACAATGAATTAAAATTATAAAATTTAGTGGTAATGAATTAAACACTAATTGTAACTTTCACTCCATGATTTACTTTTCATACTTACTTGAGGTTTCACCATCTTTTTTTTTTGAAGCTAACGAGGAAAGAAGAACGTCATCGTCAAGAATAAGATCATCATCAATAATAGGATCTTGAGTTCTAGAATGGACAATAGGCTCTTGAGTCCTAACATGAATATTCCCTCGCTCTTAAGTCCTAGGATCACCCATAGGCTTCATATAAATAGGCACTTGAGTATGCATATCAGTTTCCTAACGTTCAGTAGACATATTTCTGATGACATCAACATCATATAATTCTTGAGAATTAAGCCAAGTAAGATCAGTTGGTAGAATTGGTTCTTCAACCTCAGTTATCCATTCATCATCGGACTCAATTTCATTCACCAATATTGGATCAACCTTTGACCTCATTCTAATACTTCTCTCTCTTAGTGCTGTATTATACTTATCTCTCTTAGTGTCGTATTATATTTCACATATATTAGAACATTGAGTTTTTGATGTTCAAGTCTATTTTTTTTCTTTGTATGAATCTAAAATGAATATAAACATTCAAAATTAGATTTAGAAGCATAAAAATTTGAACAATAAATTAACTGAAGAACTTTACCTACTCAAATGTGCTCCAATTCATCTCACACCCAGATGCACTACAAGTAAGGCTAAAGACCTGAATAGCAAACTTCGTAAACTCAGGTGTGTCCCTTCCAAAACGCTTCCACCAATTTGCTAAAAAAAACAAAACAAATCCATCTAATTAAGTTTAACATTTATTTCAAGTGTTCATTATACTCGAATGAAAATAAAAAAGTAAAGATTATAACTCGGAGTTCGTAATTTCCTTGAATTCACAGCAAGACAACTTCCAAACTCTCATTTTGCCTCATCATACAAGTCCAACTGGATATCAGCAACCATACGATCCTCAAAAAATAACATCCTAGTCATGCAATCTTCGAATCCCTTCCTCACTTCATCAGCATTAGAAAAGGTTTCTTCATAACGCAATTGTGGGTTCAAATAATAACCAGCAACATGTAAAAGTTGATGAAGTTGTGGTCCCCAAATTGGTTTATACTTTCTTTCAACTTTTCCACAATTAAAAGCAATCTTCTCTTTTGCAACATCCATTAACTCATAAATAAATCCCATAGCAGGTCTCTCCTCTTAATCAACTTATCTCAAAACTGATACTAATGGAATAACACTTTTGATGCAAAAAGCAACATGGGACCAAAAATTAACATCATATAGTATAGTTGAATGAGCCTTAATACCTTCATTATGTTGAACAAATGGTTCATTGTGCCATTCTCTAGAAGAAAACATTGCCTGAAGAGGTTGCTTTTGCTTATAGATGCTTTGAAAAGTAAGATAAGAAGTGACAACTCGTGTGATTGTAGGGCGAATTATCTCTTTCTTTTTTCGTGAAAGATTTCATCGAAGCAAGAACCCATGTATGCCCATAAATAAACTTCACTACTTGCTTGGCTAGTCTAATTGTATCTTCAAAAACTTTCATTTTGCTAATATCTTCTAACATCAAATCAATGTAGTGGGCAATACATGGAGTCCACCATAACTTCTTCCTCTTCTCCATAAGTTTCACTCCAGCATTCTTATAATTAGAAGCATTATCTGTTATTACTTGAATGACATGCTTCTCTCCAACTTCTTTGACAACATCATCTAAATATTTGAACAATAACGTCCGTTTTTTATGGAATCAGATGCATCAATAGATTTCAAAAACCAAGTACTTGTAGGGCTATTCACAAGAAAGTTTATTAGTACTCTATTTTTACCATCAATCCAACCATCAGACATAATAATACATCCATACTCTGTCCAAGCTTTCTTATGTTCTTCCATCATCGTATTAATGTCGCCAACTTCTTCCTTAGAATTCAATGTACTTGCAATTTAGAGTTGTGTGTCTAATAACTAAATTGCAATGTTCTTGAATTCAATCATTTTATTAAATTAAACAAATTAGAACATTTTAAAAATAATAAAACAAAATACAATGGAATTTAAATAATAAAACAAAGTACAACGGAATTTAAATAAAACAAACTACAATATTCGTTAAATAAAACAAACTATTAAACTATTAAACTATTCTAGAAATCATCATCTTCTGGGGGTTGAGGACGATAGACTTCATCCTCAAAGTTTAGCGAACGGGAAGAACACTTCGCGATAATATCAGCTTCTTTCTGTTGGACCCATAGCCTTCTCGTCAGAATTTGAATTATGGCGGTTTCCTTAAACATAACATTCAACTCTTTGTTCTCAATCATACAATCTTTGTAAGACCTCATAATTTCTTTGAGCTTTTAATCATCTTGAGATGACTCTTCCACAACAGCCCTCCTTTTTAGCTCATTAGCCTTTTTTTTTGTCTCATAGGCCTTTGCCGTGGGTGTAAGGTTTGTGGAGGCGCTTGAGTTTCTGGAACAGATTTATATGGTGAATTATCATATACATAAATAGATTCACTCATTAGAGAAGCGTTCACAGATGGGGAAGATTGGAACCCTTCAAAGGGTTGCCACTTATGAGCATGTTGAACAAAATTCCATCAGTGGTCAAGGAGGAATGCTTTCTTGGTCTTCTCGAAAAAAAGTCATTTTGCATCAATAATCTACACATATTATATGCAAGAATTCAAATTAGTTGAAAAAAATATTAAGTTGGCAAAATAAAATAAAATAAATAAAAAAACTCACATTGTCATTTTCATTTTGGCCACTCTTGTTCAACCTTGCCACTCGAGTAAGATACTTGGAGAATTTGTTACACATTTGGGAGATGTTCGTCCAACGCAATTTCAAGCTATTTGATGATCTAACTTCTTAGGCATCGGGATGAAATTGTATGAATTGATCTCTTATTCAATTCCACATCGTGCCACTTGATTGACAATTCCCAATAATTGGATCTTTACTAATGATTATCCAAGCTTGTGATAGAGCAACATCTTCATCGATGGAGTAATTTGCACATTTTTGCTTCGAACTTTCGGCCATTGGTGGAAAAGAGATTAACAAAAAAAATTACAAAAAATTAAATAATCTAGTGAGTGAAAAAATTTGACAAATTGAGCAAGAGTGATAAAGATTTTGTGGTGTGTAAAAATTATAAGAGATATGATGGATTTTATAGGGAGAATTGAGTTGCAAATCTATTTTTTTATTTTTTTTAAAAAGAAAAAGAAGAAACAATATGGCCGTTTATAGCCGTTGGACATAATGTAGCCATTTATATTCGTTGGCTTTGAAAAAATGGCTTCACAACATAGCTGTTTGCACAACTTTTGAAATTTTGGTGTAGCATGCTCGGTCAGTATGCTGTTGACAAAACAAATAAATAGCAAGTATGGCCTTGTACAATCGCAGGCAAGTGAGAGACCAAAAAAGTGGGCTGCAACTTTTTTAATTTGCGGGACACACTCGGTTTCAAGGGCTTCAACCAAGCTCATACATTTAACTACTACTCCGGTTGGGCTTCAAGTTTTAGAGCCCCAAATTTAAACAATTGGGGATGCCTTTTTAAGAGGAGTTTGTATTTATGGTAGCCTTGTGGTGGTTGAGCCCTAAATAGAGCCCCCATTGGGGATGGCCTAAGACCACAACCACCACTCAACCCAAAGCCACACCACCACCACTCTAACCTTACCCAACATCACCCACCCAGCAACCAACCCTTACCACCCTCTCACCACACAACTTCTCAAGACACCACCACCTCTCTCTTTTCCCAAGCCTAGCCCCGACATCCACATAGTCACCCACCTCGCCACGACCTCCCCCTTCCCTAGCCCCTTATTCTGAACCCGCCCCTTCTTTCCCAACACAATGCATCAACCTAAATCCTTAGTCCACTCCTTAAAAACACAGCCTTCATCGAGGAACTGGATCTGGAAATTTCTTTGCTAGCCAAATACCAAAACATGTATTTACCAATCTAGGCCAACTTGAATATCTCAATCTATCCATTAACCATTTTCAAGGACCACCGCCATAAAACTTTCCCAATATTAAATGCCTCCATTTATCAGTGAACCACTTTAGTGGTCTAGTTCTTGAAGATATTGGTTTGATATATGGTCTTCAGCATATTGAACTACTTCAAAATCCACTTGAAGGAAAAATTCCATCCTCTATAGGCCAACTTAAGGAGCTCCAGTATCTTAATCTTCAAAAAAATTCCTTAAATTCTTCAATCTCTATGGTAGGTATGGTGATTTAGATGATAGATTTTGATGTTTGGATATGTGGGTATGGTGGTGCTGGTGGTTTATATGGTGGAAGGATATAGGAGGTGGTAGTGGGGAGTAGGAGGGATTGATGTGCGGTGGTTGCTGGGGAAAAGAGAGAGATGAAGAAAAAGAAAATTTTTTCATATTAATTTTTCAATTTTTTAATTAAATAAGTAATTAATTTTATTTTTTTAAATTAATATTTTAGTCCACTTTAAGCAACAACAACAACAAAAAAAAATGGAGTCTGCACATGACACATTATCACTTGTAGAAAATAGACTAAAATAGTCATGCCATGTCATCAAATTAACGGAGTTATAAATGGAGATAACGGTAAGGGGCAAAGTAGAACACAAAACCTTGGTCAAGGAGGTTAAGTGGGCCATTTTAACTTTCGGAGAGTAAAGTAAGATTTGACCAAAGTTTTAGTGGGTACTACAGTAAATAAGCCTTGAAACAATTATGAAAATCTTCTCAAACTTATAAACCGAAACAAATTGAGCAAGCAATATATTAATCAAACCAATAGAGAATCATATATATAGAAGTTTATAAAATAAAATTAAAATTCACAAACACAAATTCACAATTGCATTAACGGGATAAACAATTACATATTACGCAAGAAAAATTACAGGGGATAGGCAAATACATACTTGGAGTTGAATAGTGATTTACCAAATATCTCCAAAGCCTTTTGTCTATGTTGTTATCTCTTTAAACCTGATATTGGAGAGCAATTTGATGGTAAATCTTTTGTTGGTGTTGGATTTTCGAATTGGAAGAAAAAAGATAGATTACAAATTCATGTTGGAGGACCGAATAGTGCCCATAATACAGCTTGGAGAAGTTGTGAGGTCTTATTAAACCAAAAGTAGTATATTGAAACAATTCTCTCAAAACATTCAAACCAAGATCGAATTGATTATCGAACTCATTTAGGTGCATCAATTGGTGTTAGTATGACACTTTTACAACATGGGCTTCCATTTTGTGGGCATGATGAATCTAAAAATTTAACCAAGCAAGAGAATTTTCTTGTATTTTTACAATGGCTATGTTGTTCCAACGATGATGTAAAAGTTGTTACACTAAAAAATGCTCTTGAAAATATGAAGTTGACATCACCTGATATCCAGAAGGATATTTCAAGTGCTATTTCAACTGAAATTATCAATGCAATCATCAAGGATATTGGTGATTCATTATTTGCAATTCTTGTTGATGAATCATGTGGCATGTCTTCGAAGGAGCGAATGACCATTGTGTTAAGTTATGTGGATTGGTAATGTAATTGAGCGTTTTGTAGGTGTTGTACATGTTACATATACTAAATCTTTCTCACTCAAGTTAGCAGTTGATGATTTCTTTTCGGGACATGGATTAAGCATCTCTAGATTGCGAGGGTATGGTTATGATGGGGTAAGTAATGTAAGAGGTGAATTTAAGTGTCTTAAAACACTCATTCTAAATGAGAATGACTCTGCTTTTTATGTTCAATGTTTTGCTCATAAACTTCAGCTAGCTTTGGTAGCTATGGCAAAGAAACCTACAGAAATTGCATATTTATTTACTACGGTTTCTAATATGGTGAATGTTGTGGGTGTATTCGCTAAATGACGTGATATGCTGAGTGAAAAGCATCCTGATGCAATTTTTGAAGCACTCAATAATAATGAGCTCTTAAGTAGGCAAGGCTTGAATCAAGAAACTAATCTTAAGTGGTCTAGTGATACATGATGGAGCTCTTATTATAATTGTTTAATCAGTTTGGAAAACATGTTCCCGTCTATGATAGATGTGCTTAAGATTGTAAGAACATATGGATCATGTTACGAACAAAAATTTGAAGCAAATGTTCTATTAATTTTTATGCAATCATTCATCTTCATTTTTGGTCTACACTTGATGAAAAAAAATTTGGGAATCACAAATGACTTGTCTCAGTTATTACAAAAGAAAGATCAAGGTATTGTGAATGTCATGGACTTGGTCAAAATATGTAAAGGAAGATTGCAAAGTATGAGAGATAATGGTTGAGATTCTTTACTTGATCAAGTTGCTTTCTTTTATGGCAAGTATCATATTGAAATTCCTAAAATGGAAGATATTTTTTATAGTGGAGGGAGACCAAAACGTAAAGCTCAGCCTATCACAAACTTACATCATTATCATGTTGATTTATTCGTTGATGTCATTAATATTCAGCTTTGTGAGTTAAATGATCGGTTCAATTAGAAGAATACTGAATTACTTCTTTGTATGGCATGCTTGAGTCCAAGTAATTCATTCTTAAAGTTGATGTGACTTGCCCAATTTTATCCGAGTGATTTTTCTGAACATGACCTCAAATTACTTGAAGAACAACTTGAGAATTAGATTTGGGACGTGTGCTCTAATAATGAATTTACATAATTGAAAGGGATTACTGATCTTGCATAAAAGATGGTTGAGACAAAAAAAGATCAGATCTACTATTTAGTGTACTTGCTTCTGACACTAGCACTAATCCTACCTGTTGCAACCTCAAGTGTAGAGCGAGTATTTTCTGCTATGGATATTGTGAAGAATCGGTTACGCAATCGAATGGGGAATTTGTGGATGAATGATTGCTTGGTTGCATAATACATTTTATTAGTATGGATGACGAGGTTGTTATGCAACGATTTCAAAATATGAAAACCCGTCGATGACAATTATGATTGTAATGAATAGACAATATAGACAATATGATTTGTGATGTTTTGATGTCTTGTGAGTTCGAAGTTTTTATTATTTATATTTTGTGAGAGGCCCCCAGACACATGAAATCTTGGCTTCGCCACTGATGGTGTTGGTGGTCGTGTGTCGAAAAGAGAGATAGCAGGGTGGTGTTGGTGGTGGATGAGCTCGTGTATAGAGAATAATTTTTTTAATTTTTTTTATTAATTTTTGTTAAATGGTAGAATAGGTGGGTAGGTTTTTCCCTAAGTCCTTAGAAGTCATTTTACAAAGGGGTAAATTTGTCTTTAAAATTTTGAAGATAAAGTGGATGGAGAAATAAGACAGAGGATGGAACAACAGTATTGATAAAAAAATAGGCTTAATTGCTACAATGCACCCTAAAACATTGGTCAATTCTCACTTTACCCTCTTAAAGTTAAAGTGACTCACTTTGCCCCCTTGACAAAGGTTTGATGTTCCATATTGCCCCCATCGGTAACTCCATCCAAAAGTCCGTTAAGTTTGATGACGTGGCAGGGGTGTTTTAGTACTTTTGTGCACCTAGGTTTTTTAATTACTTTAAAAAAATTAAAACAAGAACATAAAATTGAAAATAAAATAGATTTTAGAAAAGAAAATAAAAACCCTACCCATCCCTTCTCCCCCAATCGAACTAACCCACCAACAACCCACAACCCACCCCTCCTTGCACAAAACCTAGAGACCTATTCCTTTCCCCCCAACTTGCAACCTACAACCCACCCCCTCCCTGCGTAGAACCCAGAAACCCATCGCACCCCCCACACACACACCCCAACACCCCCCCCTCGGCCACCCCGCAGAACCCACCCCTCCCTACACAGAACCTAGAAACCTATTCCTCCCCCGCAACCCTCAATCCACCCCCTCCCTGCACAGAACCCAGAAACCTATCGCCCCCTCCCTTGACAACCCACTCTCCCTGAGTAGAACATAAAAACTCACCGTGGCCCCCTTTCCCCCTAACCCCACTGATTTCTTTCACCTCCCCGATTTCTTCTTTGCTCCATTCTTTCCCCATCAAGACCCATTGCCCCCTCCCTCTGGTTTTTTCTACCCCACTCCCACAGAACCCAGCCTCATACCCGTTCCCTTTCTCCCAACTCGTGCCCCTCTACAAAATTCTAAGAAATTATAACATGCAATTCTTTATGAGTCCAAGAAAAAAATGCGCAATTCTATGGAACATCATTTTTCAAGTAGAGAGAGAGAGAGAGAGAGAGAGAGAGAGAGAGAGAGAAATCAATTTTTTAAAGTTTTTTATAGAAGCTCAAATTATAAAAAAACCCTATATAAAATAGACTTTAGAAACACACTCAAATCTCATTTACAACATAACAAAAAAGCCTTTAACTTCTTTTAAATTATAAAACTGCCATTGATTTCTTAAAACAAATTCAACCCCAAGACCTCATAAAAAAGCCCAAAACACTTAATAAGGCATCGAAGTAATTTAATAATAAAAATTAAATTCAATAGGGCCAGCGTTCATTTTTTGGATTTTTTTTTAGGTTTATTTATAGAAATTAAATAGTGTAGGGTTTATTTATAGTTTTAGTGCTAAGAATGAGTATATGACTAAATATCTCTTAATTTTTTTTATCCATGCAGGAGGTGGGCTCCACTTTGCCACATTACTCACTCAAATTTGTGAATAAAAAACTTAAGTGCCCAAAATTACTAAAACACCCATTCCACGTCATCAAACTTAACTGACTTTTGGATGGAATTGACTGTAGAGGGCATTATGGAACATCAAATCTTAGTTAAGGAGGCAAAATGGGTCACTTCAACTTTAATAAGTAAAGTAAAAATTGACTAATATTTCAATATGCACATTAGCAATTAAGTCTAAAAAATATGTGAGTAAAAAAAAGGTCTAACTCTTTACTTCCGCTTGGGCCGAAAAACTCAGGACTGGCCTGGATTGAATAATCAAAACAACAGTTCGACTTTTCTTTTCTTACAAAAAATGGAATCCTAAAGTGACAGCAAAAGGTGTCAGAAGTATGTCGGCCCAAATGAAACTGATAAAAAAAAAAGTCAAAACAAACAAATAAGACTAAGACACGTGGGGGTCACGTGCCACCAGGTTGAAAAATCGAAAAAATAAAAATTGACTATGTAAACAAACAAGTGGCGGCCTGGCGGGATTCCTGCATACAAACGTTTCCTCCTCTGTCTTCCCCTCTCTCTCTCTCTTCACAGCTTTTAGCGGCGATCCGCTGCCTTCGCGAGTTCATCGACATTTTCTCTCTCTTGCCAAAATCCCAAAATCACCGAACGAACAAATTAAATTTATGAAAAATAAAAAACCTGAGCTTTGCTTTTAATTTTTTTTTCCTTTTTTTTTTCACGAGAAAGCGTTTGACAACAACACTAACACCAGCACCCAAAAAAACCACAAACTTGGTTTCGTCGTCATCGTTTTAGCATTCAATGCCGTTCTTTAGCTTTTCCTTTCCTTTTTCCTCACTCTCTCTGCGTCTCTCATGTGACCGCCATTAAAGCTCGCTCTTGATAATGCATACTCTGCATTTGGTCCCTTTCTTCATCGCCTTCTCTGCTTCTGGCTCTGCGCGCCACACAATGGGCTTCTGCTGCTGCTGCATTTGCAATTTCGTTTGATCCGAAGGCGAAAGAACGTGTTTTTGTCGTCGTCGTTGTTGTTGATGATGGAGAAGAAGAAGTATCCGATTGGACCAGAGCACTACACGCTGTATGAGGAGGTTGGCCAAGGCGTAAGCGCTTCCGTACATCGTGCGCTCTGTAAGCCCTTGGATGCGATCGTCGCCATAAAAATCCTCGATTTCGAACGCGACAATTGCGATCTGGTACTCTTGGAATTTGATTTTATGATGTTTTGATCTGTGTTCGAAATTTTCTTTGGTAATTTGATCGGTGTAAATGCTAATAAGGCAATGGGCCCACCTTGTAAATGTAGTTGAGAATAATTTGAAATACTGCTTATATCAGCTAGTTTCAGCTTCAACAATTGGTTTGGGGATTTGAATTGTTCACCAGTTACTGAAGCCATCTAATTCTCAATTGGTACTTAGAGAAGCTAATGTGGCATGTAGTTTTGGAGAATACATACATTTAGTTTAGATTTTTTTTGGTAATTTCCCATGACCCCATTGGAAATTACATTGGGTATTTGCTTAGATTATATATATATATATGTGTGTGTGTGTGTGTGTGTGTGTTTGTGTGGTGATATTGGGTTTTTTACATTTTTGTTGTATATGATTTCTTTCTACAGAACAACATTTCTCGTGAAGCGCAGACGATGATCCTGGTCGACCATCCTAATGTCCTCAAATCTCACTGTTCCTTTGTTAGTGATCATAATCTGTGGGTTGTCATGCCATTCATGTCTGGGGGTTCTTGTCTTCATATTTTGAAGGCAGCATACCCAGATGGTTTTGAGGAAGTTGTTATAGCCACCATATTACGTGAGATTTTGAAAGGTTTAGAGTATCTTCACCATCATGGCCACATTCATCGAGATGTCAAAGTAAGTATTTTTATCGTTCAGCATCATTCAAATATATTTATGCTGCATCGCATGCCTAGTTGGACAATGTAGCAGTTGTTTCCTTGTTTTATTGTCTCGAACTTGTAATGTTTTTGATTGCATGGTAACTCTTTTAATTACACCATCATTAGACTGTCTTTTATACTGTATTTACAGAAAATCTTAAATCTTAAGGTTGCTCTCTTTGTTTTTTTTTTCCCAATTATATTTGTTGTTTATAACAACATTGTCATTTGAATTCTTCAAAGATTTATAAACTTTGCTTATAGTTTGTGCCTCCGTAAAAAGTTAAAATTCTGTCATTGAGAACTTGTTTTTATACCGTTGATATACAGGACTATTGTATCGTCACAACTTACCTGAAGCAAAACAACAGTTCATCCGTGATAGATTTGATACTGTGAATTGTATGGTATATGATATAATTTGTTATCATGTCCTATACTTTAATTTCTTTTGTGCAGCCTGCCCAACATTTGTTTTTCAATGTGAAAGATACAGAGTAAACTTTTGCTGCCCTTCTGCATATTAGCTCTCTGCAGTCATTAATATTGATTTACATTTATCTGGATTGGCACATATAGTATTTTCTACTGGTGACAACCATTGTTTCTTTTATTTCGTTTTGTTGCAATTGTAATACAGTTGGGCACATGTAGTTCCTTTTTCTTTTCTTTGTCTAATAAATGCTTCTGATAGGCTGGGAATATTCTTATTGATTCACGCGGTGCAATCAAGCTCGGAGATTTTGGGGTTTCTGCTTGCCTTTTTGATTCAGGTGATAGGCAGCGCATGAGAAACACATTTGTGGGAACACCTTGCTGGTATGCTTATGTCTGCTACTCTATGAGTTTGTACATTTAAAAATTTCATTAGATTTCCTGTCTAGTACTTAACTGCTCAAGATACTGACATGCCATATAATTTTGGCTGGTCATCAAGGCCCTGGTGCACCTTAGCTGACTTCACCAGAGAAAGTATATACATATCAATTAAATCCACTTATAGCTTGGATTATTTTTAACAGTTTAAATAAGAAACTTAACTGGGAACGGTCATACAGCATAAGCTTCCCCAGTCTTATTTTTCTTAATGCTTTGTGTTGTATAATCAACAGGTTTTGTATCTTTGTCTTGTAGGATGGCACCAGAGGTTATGGAGCAGTTACATGGTTATGATTTCAAGTCAGTCTTTTATTTTCTTAAACTTTTTGCTTGTTTTACATTCATTAAAAAAAAATTATCAGGCAGCATAGAGTTAATGTTTGGTTGACATATTTGTGCAGGGCTGATATCTGGTCTTTTGGTATAACTGCATTGGAGCTTGCCCATGGCCATGCTCCTTTCTCAAAGTATCCTCCAATGAAGGTGCATGTCAATTGATACTGTATCCTTCTATGAACATCTTGGAGATCATTACAAGTTCATTGAACCTAATGCAAATATGCTGTTGCTAGGTACTGCTCATGACATTGCAGAATGCACCTCCTGGCCTTGATTATGAAAGGGATAGGAAGTTTTCAAAGGTATTTCTCACGAATTTGTATTGGAGTTTCCTCTCAATATTATAGTTGTCACAAGAAATGGTTTTTTGTTTCCTTTTTCTTCAGTCTTTTAAGCAGATGATTGCTAGTTGCTTGGTAAAGGATCCTTCAAAACGGCCTTCTGCAAAGAAGTTGTTGAAGCATTCCTTCTTCAAGCAAGCTCGGTCAAATGATTATATTGCACGAACACTTCTCGAGGGGCTGCCTGCTCTTGGTGATCGCATCAAGGAATTAAAGGTTTTTAATCATATGTGACTATTTGATACTTATTGATTTTTCATGCTATATTGATGCACATTATGCACCTAAAGGTATGCCTTTATTGAATGACAGAGAAAGGAAGAGTATATGCTTGCACAAAAGAAAATGCCAGATGGGCAGAAGGAGGAACTATCACAGGCAGGAATCATTAATCATTATGATAATGCTTTGTTGAACAAAACTAATTCTGTGATTATTCTGTTTTCTTTTGCTTACTTTTGTTAAGACAGTACTCTTTAAGAAGATTACTTTAGATGACATATTAATTTTTTTTTTTACCGTGATTAAATTGTTTTGCAGTATATGTTTACAAGAAACAAAATTTTATTAAAGTGCTAAATTGGTTTGCAGTAAAAAAATTACATTAAATTGATCTCTAATTAGATTGTCATCATAGGTTAGATACTATTGTTTTATAAACAGAATTTTGGACAAATTAATGACAAGGCATTTGTCAATATTTTCTTATAGGAAATGTCTGATATTTTGTACAGCATTGACTAAGAGTAGCTGCCTCATCAAATTTTTCACTTAATATCCATCTCATGTAACACAGTGTACCACCATCACTGCCTTCATTAACTTGAGTTGAACCCTAAATGAAATCTCTTGTTCCTGTCTCTATGGAATATTGAAATGAAACCATAAGATGCATTATGGGCGACTCATAAAAATCAGTTGTTTCTTCTTTTAAAGTCTTTGATAATATACATAAGATGCATTATGAATGTTGTGTGTGTGTTTCTTTCTTTCTTTCTTTCGTTCTTCTTATTCTTGGTCTCCTCTCTTTTTCTTTTAAATATTGTCTTTCATAACATACATTAGATGCATTATGTATGCTGCTTGTGTGTGAACAGTTCACTAGCATTCTTCAAAGTTTGTGCAAAGAGTTCACTAGTGTTCTTCAAATTAGTCTTCTTATGATAACTTACAACTTTCAAAACAGTAATGGCTCCCTTTAGTTACAGATACACATCTGCTCCAGTGCACTGTCTATCCTTTAGCCTTCTACTTTTTTCCTTTCTTGGAATTTGGATTTCCATAACCATATGAGATCATATTAACTTGGAGACTTACTGGGAAATTGTAGGTTGCATTTTTATACTATTGAAGTGAGAGTTTTTAGTTATGTTTGATGCTTATTTACTTTTATATGGGTTCCCACGAACCTACTATAGGCAATCTTGTATACTCAAAAGCTGTCTCAAGTTGGTCAAACAGTAACAGAATCGATGAGACTATTATTCATAAAAAAAAAAAAAAAAAAAAAAAAAAAGTAAGCTTATTCATAATAGATGAGAATTGTATTTTGGGCATTAAGAGAATCTTATCGTAATTTGATGTCTGACCATGTGGATGTGGTAACTTCGGAAAAAGAAAATGTGGTCTGTTGTTCCATTGCCTCGTTAAGTAAAGTAAGTGTTCTCCTGCCAGTTCCAATGTAAAGGTGTGACTAAGGATGTGCTATTGCGGTCATCTTAGTATTACTATGAACTATTTTGAGCAATTAAGAATTCCTGGAACAATAGATGGCTGAATGCTTTCTAGGGGTTTCACTTAAGTGATGACGGTCTATGTTGCAGCGGATAAGTACACCATGGGAAAGGAAATGTGTGGCTGTTAAATAGGTTATTTTGAAGTTTGAACGGAGTTATGTTTATTACTCCTTTTCAGCAAACAACATTTCTACAGTATATATTTTTTTTTATAGCAATAACTGCTACCTTTAATGACTGCTGTTTGCATTTTGTGACACATTTCTATTCTTATATAACTTTGACAGCTATTACTCGTAGAGACAAATCCACTTAGCTCCATTCATTTTTTTTCTTTCAATGTTTGGGGTTTTTTTCCCAAAACATGAGACATTCAGTTTGCGTCTTGTTCAGATATAGAGGAAGTCAAACTAAAATTAGAAACAACTATAGAGTTGCCTGAAATAATTTGTTATTATTTTTTTTCACAAAAAATATAATGTTAATGTAATCTTTTGTTTTCAAAGAACCCACTGACAGGAAGTATGCTTTTCAAAAAAATGAGATGCGCAGCTAAGTTGACATTCAATTACCAAAATCAAAATTGAAACAGCAGCAAGACGGGATGACTAGTAATCTAGTTTTACTGTTTTCTTTGATTTTCAGTCGATGTCTATTGGTTTGTTTCCAGAATATTTTGAGATTTAGGTATGGGCTTTTAATTTTATTGTTGTGTTACATTTCAGTTACTGGTTTTGGGTGCCAGTTGATCTTGCTTTTTGTTCCTTATGTTTCTTTTTGGCCTTTTACTCTATTAAATCCCGAGTGCTGTTATCTTTTCGCTGTATATTGAGCTAATTTTACTGATTTGAACCTCCACAAGAATCACTGGGGTTCAGATGCTTGGTATTGGTAAAATCTTTAGATTCTTGCTTATTTATTTATCTTCTTAAAATTTATATTGCAGAATGAATATAAAAGAGGAATTAGTGGTTGGAACTTCAATCTTGACGATATGAAGGCTCAAGCTTCCCTGGTAAATGTGCATCTTGACCTTCATTTTTATTCATATGATTCCTCAAAATTCTAACAATGGTCCAAAATATGTTTTTCTTTCAGATCCAGGATGCTGATGAACCTGTACCTGATAACATTCCGATGGGGACTTCCAATTCTCTGTCTGCTCTTGATGCACAACAAAAGCAATCACAATGTCATAACTTAGATGCAGTTGCAGACACGGTATTTATTAGTTTTGTTGGACATTTATGGTAGTTTAATACTATTTTTGCATTTTATATGCATAACATGCATACATATCTGTAATAGTTGTTCTCTGTCGTTACTCATAAATTTTATGTGTTACAGGAAGACAATGATATGATTCGGAACCAACAAGCTACTCTTCCACTCATTGACACAACTTTATATGATGCCAAGTATGTCATCTGAGATGTCTCTATTATAATTTGTGTTGCAAATATATATCTCTATCTTTATGAATCTTGATTCCAAAAACAGGAAATAATATTTTTTTAAGTTTTAAATTTTTATAAATGTGTTGTAGTACCTATTAATCAGAACTGACTATTAATGTTGTATACACGTTTTATATACTAGAGTTAGAAGTGACAAATCCGATGATGATTCTAGCATTGCTAGTTCTAGCCATGAACCACATCTTTCACGAAATTCTTCACTTCGACATGATGATCGTACTGAAAACAATTTGGGTGAAAAGCCTAATGTTGATAAACTGGAAGCTACGGCTATGCATAAAAGGCAATGCTCATTCGGCAGCAGTGGTTTATCAGAAGTTACTGATCCACTTATTAAAGGAGAGAGGTATGTCATTTAATGACACTAGAATTTTTCCGATTGAAGCTATTAGCTTGTAATTTGTTATTATCATATCATACAGGACATGACCACAGAGAAAAATAAGTTGTCCATGCTCCAGACTTTCTTTTTCTGGTTCCCTGGTCAAATTGGGTCCACATGGTCCTTAAGTAAAGATTTGAAAATACACAGTCTAAATGTAGCTTAACTTTTTGTTGAAGAATGTACAAAATACTACATCGGAAACTTGACTAATAACAGTGAGGCATTTTATAATGTAACGCCACACCTGCTGGGAACAATTGGTAGTAGTAGGCCAATGGTCTGTCTCTCTGAAATCTTAACACGGGCTAGAGTGGGCTTATTGACTAGGCCCAAATTATTGGATCTTGACCAAGTATATGGCATTCACGTGATCAGCTTGAATGACTGGGCTCGAATTGCTTGGTCTTTACTAAGTCCATGGTATTGACATCCTGAGCTCGATTTACTAAGCCCGAACTACCTTCTACCCTTAATTGAAAAGAAAAAGGAAAAATTAGATCAATAACCGATGTGGAATTGGTGATCCCACATGAGGGTGTGTCTTGAAGAATGTAAAATTCCACATTGATACGTGCCATCTGTAAATTATAATTTGAAAGCTCGCAACTTGTATGTGCTCATACAAGAATAGTGCTAGTTTAACTACATACCTTTGTTTTCGTGTGTCAGTAGTTATGTATGATAGAATTTGATAGTTCTACTAAATTTAAGTGCGTAGTAACAAGGAATTCTGTTCACAAAAAACTCAAACTAATGGTGGAAGTACAAAAAAAACTCAAATGAACTAAAGAGATAAAAGATGCGTTTATTTTTCTGTCGTTTCTGTCAGTATTCCAAAATTCATAACCTATTAACGACGTGAATAAATTGTTGTCATTTCTTTTATGCTTATTAGAAGGATCTCTCCCTAAGAGAGGTCCAGAATCCAGATTCCTGTGAAGTGGTTTTCAGGTTTTGAGGAAAATCAAATTGATAGCATGTAGATAGAATATCAGGATTTTTGATATCTGCTGTTCTAGTTATGTTTATTTTAGCATACAAATTAGAAAAACGAAAAGAAAGTGCTTACCAAGGATACCAAAAGAAAGTAACCCTTAACCAAAAAGTAAATGTGTACATGGAATCATACTTCATGGAGGAAGAATTTTACCTTTTAGATAAAACTATAAAATCTTCAATTGCATATATGATGAAAACCTTTTTTTAATAGCTATAGCTGTAATCGATAAAAACTGATATCTATTGTTTAACTAGCAGTAGTAAATCATTCTTCATGCTGTGTTTCTGCTTAGTGTTTCAGTTTTGATTACTGCTGATGAACCTTACTTTTGAATTTTCTATTTACCATGTTATTTCCCTTTTATTTTCTTCTTTTGCAAAAGTTAACTTAAATTAGTGGAATGTCCAGTGATAAATTTCCAAGTCAGCCCCAAAGTAATTTGAAATGCAATGCAGCAGTAGTTCCACAACTAGCAGATGATACACTTGCTGAGGTTCCTCCTAAAGCATCTAAATCACCAGGCATGCTCTGATATTATAGCTGTTGTTGGATTCATTGATCGGTTTCTCCTTGTTTTTGGAATTAATTCTTATCCTCTAATAAGATTGTTAGTTAAGTAATTGTTTAGCAACTGTTAGGTCAGATATGGATGAAGAAGATGCATGGTGGATGAGGTGCATCTTAGTTGTCTATATCTGATCTCATTGGGAATAGAAAGCTAAAGTTTCTTGGGAAGAAGAGGGAGACAGCAATTCCAGAATGTTCCATAGGATGCTAAATGAGAGGAAGAAGCGGAATGTGATACATAAAGTGTGATTGGGGGACAAAGGGGTTGTTGAGGAGGGGAACCTAAATGAGCTCGGGGTGATAGTTGCTATTTACTTATTTGAGGCAAAAGCTTTAGGAATGCTATAGAAAGATTTTTTTTTAATAAAAAAAAGGACTGACTTCTGTTTCAGGCAAAAGGCTTTAGGAATTTAAGTATTTTATTTAACGACAATTTGTATTATTGTTGTTGTATTATTATTATTAATTATTATAATTAACTATCATATACATTAGACAAACATATGCATACATATACAGATAAGCTTTTTTCTTCCTGATCTCAGGTAATCTCTGCCTTCTTGATTAATGAAGTTATTCTTAATGCAGCAAATAATGATGAACTTGATGAGAAAGTAAAGGTGCCAGTTGTACAGCAGAAAGGACGTTTCAAAGTCACATCCGAGAATGTTGACTTAGAGAAGGTGTGTTTGATAATTCCAGCTTTACTGTTTGTCTTCGTGTGAAGACTGGATAATTAACCTTTTCTTTTCAGGTGGCCCCGGCTCCTATACTGCAAAAGAGTCACAGCTTGCAGGTTCGTAGTTCTGAGGTTAGCACAATTGTGCCAAAATTCCTATTGAGCTTTTTGTCTATGATTTCGGTCATTTCCATTAATAGATATAAGACGTGCCTTATCCTAAACATCTAAGACTAATAGCGGATCTTAACAGTATTAGTGTATCTAACAGAGACAGTTTGAATGCTCTCTCTCTTCTCTACTTCCAGAAAGAACACACTCTGCACCCCACACTCGCACAAAAATAAGATCATTCATATTGTTTTCGTAGTTCTGACAGCCTCTTGTCTATGATTTCAATCATTTGCATTAGTAGATATAAGACATGCATTATCCTAAACATCTAATACTAATAGCGGATCTTAACAGTATTAGCAGATCTAACAGAGACAGTTCGAAAGCTCTCCCTCCTCTCTACCTCCCGAAAGAACACACACAGCGACCCACGCACTCACGCAAAAATAAGATCATTCATAGTGTTTTTGCTACTCAAGGCATCTGAACCTCTTTATCCATGAAAAAAAGGGTATCTGATCCTTTGAGAACGCCTGAATAATCCCTGGGGTTGTTGGTCTATTAGGTAATTGGGGGTGGCTCCAAGATGTGGCCACTATTCAAATTCAGGACTATCGGTCTTTCAATGCAAGTTTCTGGTCGTTCAAAAATCCCTGATGTAGAACAGTCCGTAGGTTTTAGAGTAAACACTTAAGCAGTAGAACAGAGAAGAAATATAAGAGATTGACGAGATGAAAATATAGATTGAAAAGATGAAAGAAAAGGCAGAACAGTAGAACAAGAGGAATATTGGAGGTCGAGGAGACGAAAATATGGATTGAAGGGACAAAATAAAGGACCGAAATCAGAGAACCGAGAAGGAAGGACAGAAATCACATAGTTTTAAGAGAAGGTTTACTCAATATCCAAATCTGAATTTTAAAGAACTACACGGGGTTATTTATAGCAAACTAAAACCCAGACATAATAGGATAAAAATCCCCTGCTTAAACAGAAATCCTAACCCAAATAAAATAGGAAACTTAAAACTAGAAATCTGGAAATCTGGAAAAGTAGAAATCCTACTAGAATTTGGAAAACTAGAGAATCTAGGAAACTAACAAACATATTAGGAAACTAATAAATTTAGGTCCTACGCGTCCTGCATCAATCCCTTTGGGTTAAAATGGAAAGAAAAGGCTTTCTAAAAGTATCATTAGCGATAAATTGTTCTTATGCACTGTTTTGTTCATGAATGCTTGGCATGCTCTAGATTACCCTTTGTTTAAGAATAAATGGCAGAAGCTTGTTTTAATATGGACCCATTTCTCTCATGGTTTACTTTGCCAAGTATTATATATTACCATTCCACTTTAGATAAATAAATAAAATTCAAATGGTACCTTGGACTGCTTTTTTTTAATCATAGGTTTCATGAATTCATGAAGGTTTTTCTGAGTCTTATTTTCCTCTACGAGATAATACTAAATTTGTTTAAGAAAAAAGAAAAAGAAAAAGAACAACAAAATGGCTTTATTTATTAGGAACCTTGTATATTTCAAAACTGTTTGCTATGGTTGTCATATGTCATTGGATTTCACCATTCCTTAGGACATAAATCTGCAATACCAGTTCAGTTTTGGAGTAGCATTGTTTTTTTGGACCCAGGCCTAACCAGTAATTCTTTAGATGTGAGGTGTAAACTTAGTTCTACAATGTTGATTGTAGGTGGCCTATATGCCTATCAAAACATCTTTGCTGATAAATTGTAGATTTATATCCTAAGGGCAGAAGATTATACTAGTACTTTTTACTGAATGTCTTGCTGTAATGTTGCCGGTTATGTAGGTGATTAGCATGAGTCCTGCAAGTCCTCTACCATCAGCTCTTCCATCACCCTTACCATCACCTCTAACATCACCTTCTGATGCTACCCCATCAGCTCTTTGTGGCTTTTCTCTTATCCCATTGTTAAACTATGTTTTGCAGACAAATATTATTCAAAGGGTATGTGTTAGCCACATAAGTTTGACTTATTTACATTTTACGTATTATAAATATTTATTCGACATTTTCTTCTCAACAGGAGAGTATTTTAAGTTTACTGAAGCAAGCTACTGCTGCTGATATCGCAGGTTCAAGCAATTATTGCCCTTTCATTTTAAACATATTTTAATTCGAATTCGATTATCCTAACTTACTGTTTTAAACCTTCACTCCAGCCAACCGTGCAGCTGATGGAGGATCCTCCCAGGCTACTAATGTGATAGAGAAACCAATGGTATGTTAGAAAGGGGTTCATTTGTGTGCTATCCCGTGCTAAAATTTTTGCAACTCCAAATTCTGATGCTCTTTTATCAACTCTCCCTCTGAAAATCTCACATTGTGTCAGATTCGTAGAATACAGAATTACACATATATAGTTATGTGGTATCTGTCAAGAAATTATCTCTTAGTAAAACAAAAAAGATAATGCTATAAAGTTTATTCACTTTTTAAAGATGAAATTACAACAAATCTGAATGTCATAAATGTGGAGAACTACTTTGAAGATAGCACATTGAAGTAAGGATTTACAATTTTTGTGGTCTCACTCAATAGAGTGCCATTTCTTTGTTATCATTGCCGGGGATATTGGGTGAATAAACTTTGACCATAAGATTTGATGAGAGAAATGTTGATTTCTAAATATGATGCCATAATTATGGCTGAAGTTCACCCTCAGTAGGTTTTCTCATTCTTAGATACCACAGCTAGCTTAAAATCTTTGGCTTGGCATTTGCTTCATGCCTCCAAAATGTTGCTTGCTATGGGACTGGGAGACAGCGCTGTATTCTAAATTATTGACAGTAAGATAAAGATAGTAATTTTGGAGAGCTTTAGTGCCAAAAATAAACTTTTATGCTACTTCCTTCATGAAAATTAAGCTGGCACGCATGGTTGATACACCAATGTTATTGCAGTGTTTAAGTTATGTACCGCTTAACTAAAATATTGGGTTTTTGTTCTCTTTATTATTTTTACATGAAATGATTAATGGTATGCTGAACATGCCCATGCCACCCAAACCTGATAACAATGGTTGTTTTCGGTTTAGGGTTATGGAGTAAATCCTTAATTTATTTTATTTTCCTTTTCTATTTTAACAAGTACTCAATGCCTTTATGTCTATCTGAACCCTTTTATCCCTAGACTGAACATTTATGTTTGTTGAGGAGTTCAGTTTATCTATTGTCATCATGCCACTCAGATCGTAATTGGGTGGCATATCTATATTCAGTCTATCATATTGGTGCTGGTATATCAGATTGAGGCATTGTGATTATGAGAAGACTGCGATTGCCATCCCAAGTTATTGATGGAAGTGAAATTAGTTCGCTTCCCATGTTCACTTAGATAGGATCTTGTGCTTTTGATTTAGTTGATTTTAAGACTCCACTGGATCCTAGTCTTTTTTTGAGCTTACTTAGAAGATCTTAGGGGATTGGGAACTTCTTGTGGGAAGGTGTAAGGGAAGGAAAAGCGGATTGCTTGGCTAATTGGGAACTGGTGAGTAAAGCCAAAGAGGATGGGGGGATGGGTACCACTTAAGAATGAGGTGCTGCTTGCTAAATGGCTTTGGAAATTTCCTCTGGAAAGGGAAGCACTATGGCATAAGGTAATAAAAAGTAGATGAGTATAGCTGGGATTTTGGTTTTAGGAGAAATCGAGAGTGAATGATGAATGAAATGGAGTAGATGTGAAGTGTTGAGGCAGTTGAAGAAGGTGAGATTATTCCCATACTGGTAGGATTCAAGAAGATGGTGCCTGGAGCCTTCTGGACAACTTTCTTGTAGATTCTACTTAACTAGGTTGACATATATACCAGGCAGTCCTCCTTTTCTTCCTTTTAGCATGATTTGGAAATTCAGTGTTCCACCCAAGGTAAAGATTTTGGCCTGGTTGGTGGTACATAACATACGATTTAATCCAAAGATGTAGGCTGGGATCTTTTTTATGCCCACATCGGTGCATCTTATGCAAGAGATCTGGGAAGAGTGTGGATCAGGTTTTCTTATCTAGCGCTTTCAGGTGGAAGTTGTGGTGCTTTTTATTTAATGAGATTAATATTTATTGGGTAGTGCCAAAAGATTGTTTCTCTTTGTTGAGGGAGAAGTCAAGTGGTGGGGAAAAGGCTAAATTAGGGTTGTTTGGTTATGGCTATTAGTTGGGGTATTTGGTCAGAAAGGAACCAGCGGATCTTTGAAGATGTTAGGTGGATGGAAGTGGAGGAGGTGTAGGGAAAGGTCAAGTTCTGAACAGCGCTTTGGGCTTCTGTATTTACTGTTTTTAGGAACACAGCTCTATCCGATATTATTCTAGATTGGAAAGCTGCAGTGTCATGATCAACTTTGGGTCTTAAGCTAGATGTGTAGGTTGTTTGATTAATGTTCTTTTCTCTTCTACCCTTGGTGGATTACTTGTCCACTCACTGTACTGTACAGTCTTTTGAAATAAAATTTCATCTTTTTGTTTCCTAAGAAAGATCTTAGGTGATTTTGCTATATTACTTAAGTGGCATGTCTGTGTTTGCTTGCAGCCTCAAGCAGCTCTTGAGAGGGAAGCCGAGTTACTTAATGAAATTATTGAGTTGCATAGGAGGTATAAATAGCCACTAACACATCCCAGGTGCAATTATTATGTTCTTTTTAAAATGGTAGTAATCTTAGATGTTTTGTCTTATGTAGGCTCATGTTTGCCCAAGATGAGCTCCAAAAGTTAAAAGTAGATCATGCTTAACACTCAGGTTATACGTTGGTCCAACATTTTGAAAATCCCATGTTTTCGTTATGGTTTCTTGATTCTAACATACCAGTTTCAGGTGTGATTCCATTATCCAACCGGTGCTCGGACGATGTAGGCGAATTCTTCAAATGCAACAATACTGACAATTTGTAAGGAAAAAAAAGGACTGACACAAGATAAGGGGCTAATTTTACTTGTTAAGGTGATGAGAAACTTATTTTTATAGCTTTCCAACTAATCCAACTTCAGCAATGATGTTAGTTATGTTATCTTTTCATGCTCTGGTTGTAACTTGTAAATATAGATTTACCTCTGTCTGGCATATTCTCTGCTCAAATTATATATATTATGTAGATTAATTCCTGCATCTTCGGCTAACTACTGTGGTGCTTTATCTTTCATAATATTGTTTTCCTTGAAATTCTGAGAGTGATGTTGCCAAATTCATCTTTGCTTACTATGAGCAGAAGTTATGATACCTAAATATAGAGGGAGCTTCAATTAAATAATCCCTTTAATAACCTTATTTGAGAGACTTTTGTAGAACCCATTCCACGTAGTGTTCAATGATCTGAACCGTCTTTTAGGTATTCTGTTAATGATGCCGGCAAAAATCACTTGAATCAAAAACCATTAACCACACGATTAAAAATTTCTCATTTTATCATTTTAATTTGGTCTATTTTGTTGGTCACAACTCAACTATTTGTCTTAAAATTTGTTTAATTTTTTGTTTTCATTCATAACTATCAGAAGCTATCTCACATGTGCATGTATAAATACCTTTTTTTAAATAAAAAAAAAAAAAAAAAAAAAAAAAAAAAAAACAATAGGTTTCAGATGGTTGATGTACTTGTATATGCATTTGCAAGACAATGTCAATAAAACAAAGTAAGGCAATCTATATCTCTGTTTTTTTTTCTGTATAAACTCGAATCAGTGGGCTGCAATGAAGTTAATTATATGTCTTCTTATGAGAATGCTTTTACTTGAAAAGAAAAAAAATTGAGAGAGAGCGAGTAGGTAGATAGAATCAAGAATTCAAAATAGAACAAAAATTATTTTTGTGATAATTTGCGGTCATTTTTCTCTGTTTGGGCGTGGTGACACTTGTTTGTTGCCCCCACAACCCCAAGCAACTTTAGTCTAAATCTGTGCTCGAGAGATAGCTGTCCATATAATGATAAGGGATGTATGGATTCTCGAGAAGAGAGGAGCCGTGGTGGTCCCTCCCGGACCGCCCGGATCCCACGAGTGAATAGAAAGTTGGATCTAGAAATAACTCCGATGAGAAGAAAAAAGAAGGCATTAAGAGACCCTCCTGGCCCAACCCTAGACACTCTAAGATCCTTTTTCAAACTTGCTCCTATTTCGAGTCAAGAGATAGATAAATATTTAGTTTAGAGAGAGAGAAAGATAAATGCTTTCTTATTTGTTAGAATTAAAAGAAGTTTAGAGTGAGCTTATCTATAAATTTTCTTGCCATTATGTGATTAGGGATAATTTATTATGCACAAAATTAATTGGTAATGAGTGAAGAGATCTGAGATTAAAGCGAAGTGTCTATTTCGCAGGAGGGACAAATACTCCCAACATCACTATCCTAAAGAGATATCCCTCTAGTAGTATTGGCCATTTGTCCCAGTTTTAGCCACATTTTATCAATCAGGCCACAAATATTTCGTAGTTGGTAGGTTGTTGAAATTTGGGGCATTCAACTTTTTCTCAACGTGATCCACGTTCATGCTTTGCTAATACTCTCTAATCATGTTGTTTGCCGCGTTAGGGAAAAGAGTGAGACACTGAGACCACTATATAAAGCATCAACACGTCACATTAGGTCACCAATTAATATACTGCAACCAGTAAAAGACTGCTAGAAACCCAATGGCTACAAATAAGGATAGTAAGGAAATGGAGTCAGGCTATGGGCAAGGCTCTGGCTCTGCTTTTGGATCACTCATTACTGCTGCAGTCTCCACCGTTGAATCGGCTGCCGGTTCAGTTGTGAGTACTGTTACTGGATCAGAATCTGGAGGTACCACGCAATCGGTGTCTGATTCGGGTTATGGGATTGGTTCTGGATATGGGTTTAGCCAGGCTAGTGAAGTCTCCGGTACGGGTTCTGGTACTGTGTCAAATAGTACTGGTACAAATTCCTCTACTTGAGCAATCAGCACTACTAGTACTAGACCTAAATAAATATAACATTATGTTATGCATGCTATGATATATTTGATATATAAGTACTAAGACTGCTGGCAAGAAATGTAGTTTGTTTGTGTTCAAGTCTTGTTGGTATCAACTGTAGCTGTTGTTGATGATGTGAAAAAAGAAAAAAAAACAAAAATTGTAGCTGTTGTGGTACGTACTAAATAAAAGCTCACTATTAATACTATCGCTGTCGCCACTTATATTGATAACAAATAGCCTAAACATAATATTCAATAACGTGCAATACTCTCTAGATATAGTTGATTTACGACAGCTGCACAGCCGATGACACAAAGTAAAAGTTCACGTCTTTGATTAACAAGGTTATATTTTTCCTCGATGTAACCCAAATGTGGAGGACGTTGTTAAACAAAAAAGTGAGTTTTATTCTCACTTAAGTGAATGATCTATATTTTGCTGAAAATATCATTTTAAAGTTGGTTATGTAATAAAACACGACCAGTTTTAACGAAAGGTTTTTCGAGAGATGAAAACATGGACCATATTGATTTGTAAATCAAAAGATGAAGAATCACGTTAATTGATTTGAGAATAAGTACTAAAATGAAGACTTTTAAAAAGTTCATGAACCACTTGTGATTTCATGAAAGAATTAAATGAAGTTTAGAGTAAGCTCATTTATAAACAAAGATAAATGTTTTTTTCCCCCATAATGTGCGTATAGATCATTCATTGTGTATATTTGTAGTTGGGATTTGCGGCGTATGTGGCGTCCAACTTTTGGTCAAACAGATCTACGTTCACACTTTGTTTATGCTCTCTATAATCGTGTAGTTTGCCGCGTTAAGAAAAAGGGTGAGACCATGACTTATACTATATAAAAATAAAGCATCAAGAACCATCAAATAGAGAAAGACTTTCATGCAATGGGTTGCTATCCTCGACCAATAACGTAATAATATGCGAAATAACATTTTTACATGTCATTATTTTATTGATCAAGAATAGCAAAACAGTGCTATATTCGTTACAAGAGAGTTTTTGTTCATCAAATGAGGTCACCACTACAATGCAACAAATACTAGACAAGAAACCAATCGAATGGCTACAAATTATTAAGGAAATGGGCACTATATTTTGATATCATTTACTTTTGTTACTTTGATATCTCTCACTATAAGAACAAAAAGGTCACATAAAGTCTATGGAATGGGAGGGATTTTTGGAGATTCAGGCATTATATATTTTTGTTTATTTAAACTTTTTAATTTTAAATTGATTTATCTTTTCCAATTTTTCTCATAAGATCAGGTGACTCGGCAAGTCAATCGAAGATGGTCTTTTGATTGTATTTTGCTACATCCCATTTTGATCACGTGCTCCTTTTGATAGTAAAAACTGTGTTTTGCTATAAGTAAAATGAAATTGAAGACGTTCTTCATTCAGTTTTAGTTTCATACAAGCCATAGTAGGCATTGATAAATCATGCAGTAGGGTAAGAGGCAGACATAGCAATGCCACAAAGTCCTTCTGCTGCATCAACATCTCTTTGCATTCTTATGTAGCCTTCTTCGCCCCATTCTGTGCCCCATGAATTCTTCACCAACCAAAACTTAGTCCCATCATCACCGACTCCGTAACCAACAGCAGTAACACCATGGTCCAGGCTCGTTCCACATGTTCCGGTAAAGACACCACTTGAATAGAATTGGAAGTCAGAACCACTTGCATCAATGGCAACAGAGACGGGTTGATTAGCAACAGCCTTGAGAAGGGCTTGTTCACTGTTTGTAGGCACGTCTTCATAGCCAGTTATCTTGGCTGCAATGCTGGCTTCTTTCTTGGTGTTGCATGTACCGTCAACACCGCTGTAGGGGTAGTTAGCTTCCGTACTAAGCCCATGATGTTGGATGAACTGAAAGGCATCATCCATTAAACCACCCTCACAGCCTTGGTCTTCGCCATTGGTGTCACAATCAACAAGCTCTTGCTCAGACAAAGAGATGAGTTTACCTGTTGTAAGCTGAGTAATTCCTTCTGTTGCTGCCACCGCTGAAAAGGCCCAACAACATCCTATATTTTGCATGAATTTTGCATGATTGCAATTAGTAGCAGTTAGAATATATATAACAGTAAGAAAGTTTTAAAGGAGAATACATAATGTTTCTCTAGTGTAATAAGAATTGGCAAGAAGCTTAATTACCACATTGGCCTTGATCCTTGATGGGTGTCACGGCTCCTTTCTTTCTCCAGTCCATAGTAGTCGGCACTGATGCTGTTACATTTTCATATTTGAAAGAAGTCGTCTTTGTGGAACACTCATGCCCCTTGAATCGATTTCGTGACGCTTTGAACTCATCATTTGTAAGGTCTGCAAATTGATTGACACCTAGTTTGTATAGTTTGTTTGCATCATCATTGGAAGATTCTATATATGCCACATTTTCCTTGAATATGTTGAAACGTTTCTCCTTCTCCCTAATGTCGTTATATGTGCGTCCATAACGAGCCATCCATTGCTCGTGTCTTCCATACATGGATGCATCTTGAAGACTACGAGAAGTGGCTTCAGAAGACCATGCCCCCAACACGATGAGGATCAACCCCAAACAAACACATGCTTTGCCCTGCAGCCGGCTAATGAACTCCATGGTAGCAAGTTGGGATTTGGTAAAGAAGAGGAATTAATGAGCAGATATACAAAAAAAGTAGACAGCTCCGCAGTTTATATAGAGAATCGCCTTGCCTTCTCCGTGGCCCAAAAATTAATCCACACGCTATTCTTCGTGCCCCAAAAAATGTTCTGATTTGGACCTGTATGATATATTAAAATCATATATGACTACTGGCATAGCTTACTATAAGTTATTAGCCATCCCATTGTCCTTATTAATTAATAAAATAAAAATTAAACATTGACGTTTACCATAAAATAAAAAAGAAGCCATTGTAATGACTTGGTTGACCGTAAACTTGTTATTTCCAATAAATTTAACACTGATATATATATATTTTTTTTGTTGTTGAAAATTTTGGTTTTCTTGGCTTTGATAAAGCTACGTCATTTTTTTGGTGTTTTGATTTCAAGAACTTGCAACATTGGAAAAGGTTATCCGTTTCATGTAAGTTGCTCTCTTTTTTATTTTTTTCGGGTTGAAGTGTATTTTATTCTTGTGCGATTTGGTGAAGCCTGTGACCTCAAAGTTGCGACCTGAATTTATAATAGTAGAGACATGCATACAAAAATGATGCGGCCTGGCTTTATAATATGCAAACCTGATTTTTCTTTTGACTCAAATCAGGATCCTGGAAGACAAACACAAAATCGACATCAAAATTATATTTATAACAGAGCCACAATCAATTGAAGACACTGCAGGCATGCGGACCTGGGGCAGCTCCAATTGGTCCGCTGGCAATTGAAGTCATTGGTGCATTGGATACTGCTGCGGCTGCAATGCTGCTAGATAGGTTGCTAATTTGCACCACTGCAATGTAAGAACTTTCATCAGCGGCAACATCTGGAACTACGACTGCTTGGTTACACTCTCATTGTTGTGAAGTGGTGCACAAGATTTGATTAATGTGAAGTTTTATTTTTATTTTTTTATGATTGAAAAGAATAAAAGAGAGGGATTGTGATATTCTCATTAAAATATACAGGATTTAGGTAGTGAACTGATGAATATATACAAGATTTAGGTTGGAAACCAATTAAACTTTTCAAAAAAACTTAAATCTGTTTAAAAGTTATTTGATGACTTATTTTAGTTTTTCATTGTCAGTGGATGTTATAAAGAATTCGTAGTATTTTTTAGTGAATTTTTTGGAGTTAAGATGAAGTTTGTATGGGTCTTGAGGTTCATATTGGGTCTGCAACGGAACACAAGAGTCAAGCGGTCGTGTCCAAGTCGAGAGGTCCCAAATAGAAAAAGTGCACATAAAAACTTAAAACACTGAAAATGAAATAATCATCAAACGGGCCATTTAATTATATATTCTGAAGAAGAAGAAATTTTTTTGATTACTCTTGAATTGAATAGATGTGGAATTTTACTAATGTAAAATCGATGAGTTGGGAATGATTTTATGATGTGGAATTAACAAAAAAAAATTATCAGCTGTGTAAAATTGAGATGAATAGATGTGGGTTCATCGAATTAATAGCTGATGTCCTCTAAAAATTTGGTCTCTTTAGTCTAGTGTCGTCGTTTGAGTAATTGACATATATTTTTAGGCAAGAAAGTGAATACATTGTCAACTGGGACTGACTGATCTTTCTACAAACCTGTAGGAAATCAACTCCACCATCCATCTCTTCCACCATTTTCAACCAAACAATAAAAAAAGTTCCTGCATATTTGGCGGCACGAAGACTTACTCTTTTGCTCAAACATATATAAATAGATGCCTCTTCAATCCATTGGGACGCAGGCAACTCTCTCTCGTTCTTTGTTTGTTTGTCTATACCTTTTAATCAAGACATATATAGATATCAATTGATATCAAGATGGATTTTATGAGGCTCAACACACCCATTACTTATATCTTCCTCTCTTTCTTTTTCGTCTTCTTTTCTTCATCGTCTGCTTTTAACATCACTGAAGTTCTAAACAAGTACCCGGAGTTCAGCATCTTCAACGACTACCTGACCCGAACCCAAGTTTCCAGGCAGATCAATGAGCACCCAGTCGTGACGATTCTCGCGGTCAACAATGCCGCCATGTCCTCATTAGTAGGAAAATCAATGGACCTCATCAACAGAGTGATGCGCATCCACGTATTTTTAGACTTCTATACCCTCAATAAGTTGAAGAGCTTGCCATCTTCGCAGCCTTCCCAAGTGACCACATTGCTTGAATCTCCTGACCAACAACGCTACTTGAACATCACAAATGTTGGCACCCTCTCAATTGTTTCGGGTGCTGGTTCTGAGAAAGTAGGTGTCCTTCGAGATATTTATCCTGACGACATTTATAAGACATCAATTGTGGAAGTTAGCAATGTAATTATGCCTTCAAGCTTATTAACTACTTCACCCTCATCACCATCACCTTCTCCGCCATCTTCAGTGCCTTCTCTGCCATCTTCGGCACCTTCTCCGCCCTCATCAGTGCCTTCTTCATCCACTTTCAACATCACCAAAATTCTATTCGACTATCCAGATTTCACCACATTCAATACCTACCTCACCGACACTCAAGTTTGTGACCAAATCAATGCAGGCTCCTCCATCACGGTCCTTGCAGTTAACAATGCCGCCATGTCCCCTTTAGTAGGAAAATCAGCCGACATTAAGAAGAAGGTGCTAAGCCTCCATGTTATTACAGGCTACTATACCCTCAACAAATTCAGGAGCTTGCCAAATTCGCAAACAACCCAACTGAACACAATGCTCGAATCTTCTTTCCAATCAGTAGGCTTTCAAGGTTTGTTGAACGTCACAAATGGGGACACTGTCTCGCTTGTTTCTGCTTCCGGTTCTGAAAAAGCACAGCTAGTTAAAGATATATACACTGATGATTTCAAAATATCAGTGGTGGAAATTAGCAATCTAATTGTTCCTTCAGACTCACCAACTTCACCGCCTTCATCTCCTTCTGCATCCCCTCCTTCTGCATCCACTTCATCGCCTCCTTCATCCACTCCTTCTTCATCATCTCCCTTTGACATCACCAAAACTCTAACCGGAAGCCCTGATTTCAACCTCTTCAGGGCCTACCTTACTCAAACCCAAGTAGCTAACCAGATCAATGAACGTAAAACCATGACAATCTTCGTTGTCAACAACGGTGCCATGACCTCTTTAGTAGACAAACCAATGGAGATTAAGAAAAAGGTTTTGAGTCTCCACGTTATCATGGACTACTATACCGTCCAAAAGTTCCACAACTTGCCGGTTTCGCAGCCCACTCGAATAAACACACTGCTTCAAGTTACTGACCAGCCAAGTGCCCAACAAGGCTTTGTGAACGTCACAAATGGGGACACCATCTCGATTGTTTCAGCCGCTGGTTCAGACCAAGCAGTCGTAGTTCGAGATATTGCTGCTGATGAAAGTTCTTACGTATCAGTAGTGCAAATTAGTAATCTAATATTGCCTTCAAGCTTAACTGCGCCAACCCCATCACCTTCTTCAAACCCAGGTAAGTTGCGATCTGCAGCGCCAGTCAAGGCTCCAACTAGCAGCATTGCAGCCGCACCAGTATCCAATGCACCAATTACCTCAATTGCCAGCGGACCAATTGGAGCTGCCCTAGCTCCGCATGCATCTGCAGTCTCTTCTATTGAATGTGCTTCTATTGTAACTACGATTTTGGTGTCGGCTTTTTCTCTGGCTTCCGTGATCCTGATTTGAGTCATAAGAAAAATCAGGTTTGCATATTATAAAGCCAGGCTCCATCATTTTTGTATGCATCTCCACTATTATAAATTCAGGTCACAACTTTGAGTTCACAGAGTTTACCAAAACAAGCAAGACAAAAATACACCTCAAACCGAAGAAAAAAAGAAAGAAAAGAGAGCAACTTCAATGAAACTGGCAACCTTTTCCAATGTTGGAAGATGTCATGTCACGAGCTCCAGTCTTTCCTCCCTTATAAAAAAAAAAAAAAAAAAAAAAAAAAAAAAAAATGGTGTAAGCGAGATGCTTTTTGCATCTGTAGCCAAGTTGAGTTTTGCATTTGGAAGAAATTTAATCATCAGCATTTCAATCTTTTGGGGGACCTTCCCGTCCTTTCCTTACTCATAATGATTCTGCAAGAAAACAATGACATAATAAAAATTTCAAGATCGAACGAAGAAAAACCACAACAACAAAAAAAGAAAAAAAAGAAAAGAGAGAGAGAAGGCCTCTGTTGAAATGTATGCATGTCATGCCTCACCATATGTACCATCACAAACAATAGACAAAAAATCTTAGTTTAAAAATATTCTTTTTCCTATGATGCAATTTCAATATTTTGATAAGTTCAATAAACGAGAAGGAACTTGTTAGAACATTCGATCAAGAACCAAATTAACTTATAATTTTGTAACTGCTACCATTCACGCGAACATTTGAAGGATTTGTGTTTGGTTCTAGTTTATTATTATGTAAGTTTGGAAGTACCAATTTCTAAGGTTTTTTTCCTTTTAAAACGAGCATTTCGTTTTACAAAATTCGATGAAGCGAAATTTCTAGAAATTAACACTCGTATACTGTTCTATTATTTTTGCAATTTTTGCAATTAATACGCGCATCTTCTTGCTATATTCAATTACAATTACGGAAGGATTTTCCTTTAGTTCAACAACTTTTAATATCCTCATCGTTTTATCACTCAACTTTTATCTCACTGGAATTATCTTTTTCTAGCTACGTTTATTTGGGAAATAAAAATGTATTCTCTGGAATATTCGATCACGTGAAATGACAAGAAATTTGAAAAACTGTGCCAGAAGCCGTTTCGGTTAGCTTTAAATTTTTTTAAGTGTTATATCTGTGGTTTTTGTAACTTCACGTGAAACCAGTGAACAATTTGTCTGTAGTTAATCAAGCCTTGATCCACCATTGATTTTATCGACCAAGTTTTTTCTTATAAATACCTTTCCCCCCAACCTTCTTTCCAAATATTGTACAGAGCTCATATGTTCATAGTTTCTTCCTTTGATCATGGTTACCAATTTAGAACTGGAGAATCTGATCTTATATTTTAGTGGGAGGAGAAAGAGGGGAAGGGAAAAACAAATGGGGAGAGGTAAACTTGAGAGGCTGTTACTTAGATTAAGAAACTTATCTTATTGTATAGAAATGCGTGGCATGGGAGAAATGGGAATTTGAGAGATGCTAAGAAGGCATTTCCATTGGAAAATCTAGCCGCCCTCTTTGAAGGGTTTTGCGGTGCAGTTTCTGTAAGGTTTTGTGTTGGCCATTTTTGCAGAGGTGACCACAGGCTTGATGTCCCTACTACTGGTGGTGCCCTTCCTGCATGGAATTTACACAAGTTCAGATCTTCAGGAAGAATGCACGATACAAGAGTTGAATTCAAGTGAATGTCACAGGTCAAAGCAAAGTAAATACACAGAGAGTCTTAATTAGAAAGGGATTTCAATCTGAAACTAGCAAGTTGTCTCAAAATTAATGGTACTGCAGTCATGAATGTATTATGGTAATCCTTGAAAGTACGTATATTCCTGTATGTATTTGTATAAATATACACGCATGTATGGCCATATAACGAATTCAGCATAGTACGAGGCAGAATTTTAGATATGTTATGTATTCTAATTTCTAAGAATCAGAAATCTTGCCTATAACTTGTTTCAAGTGCCACATTATGATGAACAAAAAATCATGAGCAACACTTCTGTTTTGATCCTTTATTTACGTATTCATTGGTTTACCAGAAAACAAATTGGTAGGTAAATAAAGGAAAATTTCTAGTATTTAGTTAATTTCTTAATGCAATTTCAGATTAAAAACTCTTATCAGTCTACTATGTAAAAAAATAAAAATAAAAAAAAATTATTTTTACAATGAGTAGTTCAGATACTTGGAATTGACCCTGCAATAACAACTTAATTAACAAATATGTCTTACTTTTTTTTTCTTTTCATATGTTCTTATATATACATATGTATTTTGATCAATCTATCTTCAAACAGAAATTGAGGTAACTTAACATAATACGAACCAAAAAATTGACACATCAATCTGTGATAACATGTAAGCCGCTGATGTCCTCCAAAACAATGGTCTTGTTTCTGAGATAACATCTATTTTTAGGCATCAAGTACGAATACCAATACTAGGACTGAATCTTGTGACAAACTTAGAAATCAACTTCAACATCTAAAATCTATTTTAAGACATTAAGTGGGAGGAAGTGCGAAAACATTGTCAACTGGGACTGACTCTTCCTACAAACTTAGAAATCAACTGTCCCATCCATCTTTCTGCATCAATTTCAACCAATGAAAACATGCTCCTGCAAATCTGGCAGGACGAAGACTTGCTCTTCCTCAAACACATATAAATAGATGCCTTTTGAATCCACTCCAACACAGACACCTCTCTCATTCCTTGCCTGATCTTTTGCTTCTCTGTGAAATCAAGATGCATCTTACCAGGCTCAACGCGCCCATTACTTATTTCTTGCTCTCTTTCTTTTTCGTTTTCTTTTCTTCATCGACTGCTTACAACATCACCGAAGTTCTAAACAAGTATCCTGATTTCAGCATCTTCAATGACTACCTCACCAGAACCAAAGTTTCTAACCAGATCAATGAACACAGAATTATGACGGTCCTCGTGGTAAAAAATGCGGCCATGTCATCTTTAGTAAGAAAATCAGTAGACGTGATCAACAAGGTGATGCGCATCCACGTATTTCTGGACTACTATACCCTCAATAAGTTCAAAAGCTTGCCTACTTCACAGCCTGCCCAACTGACCACACTGTTTGAATCTCCTGACCAACACCGCTACCTGAATGTCACAAATGGGGCCACCGTCTCAATTGTTTCCGCTGCTGGTTCAGAGAAAGTAGAGGTAGTTCGAGATATTTCTCCTGATGACATTTATAAGACATCAATTGTGGAAGTTAGCAATGTAATTCTACCTTCAACCTTAAGTACTTCACCAAGATCATCTTCTCCATCATCACCATCTCCGACAGTAGCGTCATCACCATCTCCGACAGTAGCTTCATCACCTTCTTCATCAACCTTCAACATCACAAAAATTTTAAACAACTATCCAGAATTCAACCAATTCAATACCTACCTAACTGAAACCCAAGTTTGTGATCAGATCAATGCACGCTCAACTGTCACGGTCCTTGTGGTCAACAACACCGCTATGTCTTCTTTAGTAGGAAAATCAACCGAGATTAAGAAAAAGGTGCTAAGCCTACACGTTGTTATGGATTACTATACCTCCCAAAGTTTCCACAACCTGCCTAGTTCGCAGACTACCCAACTGACCACACTGCTCCAATCTTCTTTCCAATCAATTGGCTTTCAAGGTTTGTTGAATGCCACACATGGGGACACGGTCTCGATTCTTTCAGCTGTTGGTTCTGACAAAGTAGAGGTAGTTAAAGATATATTTACTGAGGATTCAAAAATATCAGTGGTGCAAATTAGCAATCTAATTGTTCCTTCAGACTCAACTTCATCACCTTCAACACCTTCTCCATCACCTTCTCCATCCCCGTCTTCTTCATCATCTGCTTTCAATATCACCCAAATTTTAAACAAGTACCCAGAATTCAGCATATTCAACGACTACCTGACACGAACTCAAGTTTCTAACCAGATCAATGAACGTAGAACCCTCACAATCCTTGTGGCCAACAACGAAGCCATGTCCTCTTTAGTAGGACAACCAATGGACGTGATTAGAAAGGTGCTGAGCCTCCAGGTTGTCCTGGACTACTATAACGTCCAAAAGTTCCACAACTTGCCTGTTTCGAAGCCCACTCGAATAATCACACTGCTCGAAGCTGCTGACAAACCAAGTGGCCAACAAGGCTTTGTGAACATCACAAACGGGGACACTATCTCGATTGTTTCAGGTGCTGGTTCTGACCAAGCACTAGTCGTTCAAGATGTTGTTGCTGATGAGCTTTTTACTATATCAGTGGTGCAAATTAACAAGGTAATAGTGCCTTCAGGCTTAACTTCACCACCTTCATCAGCCTCTTTATCACCTTCTCCATCACCTTCTTCCTCAACTTTCAACATCACAAAAATTCTAAACGATTATCCAGAATTCAGCCAATTCAATACCTACCTGACCGACACCCAAGTTTGTGACCAGATCAATGCACGTGCAACTGTCACGGTCCTTGTTGTCAACAATGCCGCCATGTCTTCCTTAGTAGGAAAATCAACTGAGATTCAGATAAGGGTACTAAGCCTCCACGTTATTACGGATTACTATACCTCTCAAAGTTTCCACAACTTTCCTACTGTGAAGACCACCCAATTGACCACACTGCTCCAAGCTTCTTTTCAATCAAATGGGTTTCAAGGTTTGTTGAATGCCACAAGTGGGGATGCGGTCTCGATTGTTTCTGCTGCTGGTTCTGACAAAGTAGAAATAGTCAAAGATATATTTACTGAGAATTTGAAAATATCAGTAGTGCAAATTAACAACCTAATTGTTCCTTCAGACTCAACTTCACCTTCTTCATCACCTTCTCCATCAGAGTCCTCTCCTTCAGTACCTTCTTCATCAGCTCCTTCTTCATCTGCTGCTTTTGACATCACCAAAATTCTAAGCAGCAACTCAGATTTCAACCTCTTCAACAACTACCTGACTCAAACCCAAGTTGCTAACCAGATCAATGAACACAAAACCATGACACTCTTCGTGGTCAACAATGGCGCCATGACCTCATTAGTAGACAAACCAATGGAGATTAAGAAAAAGATCTTAAGCCTCCATGTTATCATGGACTATTATACTGTCCAAAAGTTCCATAACTTGCCTGTTTCGCAGCCCACTCGAATAAACACACTGCTCCAAGTTACTGACAAACCAAGTGGCCAACAAGGCTTCGTGAACGTTACAAATGGTGACACAATCTCAATTGTTTCAGCTGCTGGTTCTGACCAAGCAGTGGTTGTTCGAGATGTTGCTGATAAAACTAATACCATATCAGTGGTGCAAATTAGCAATCTAATACTGCCTTCAAGCTTAATTGCACCGACTTCATCACCTTCTCCATCAACTTCTTCAAACCCAGTTAAGTCACGAGCTGCTGCACCAGTCCAGGCTCCATCTAGCAGCATTGCATCCGCACCAAACCTGGGCAGCGCACCATTGCCAAATGCACCAAACATGGGCAGCGCACCATTGCCAAATGCACCAAACATGGGCAGCGCACCATTGACAAACGCACCAAACCTGGCCAGTGCACCATGGCCAAACGCACCAAACATGGGCAGCGCACCATTGTCAAACACACCAACCATGGGCGTCGCACCATTGTCGAATGCACCAATATCCGACCCACCAATGAGTGTGGCTCTTTCACCTGAGTCACCATTGTCAAATGCATTTGCTGCAGGCCCACAGTCATCTGGGACTCCTGCAAGGTTTTCTATTAATTGTGCTTCTGTGCTAACCATAATTTTGGTGTCCACTTTGCCTCTAATTTCCGTGATACAGATTTGAGTTAGAAGAAACATCAGGTTCACGACTATAGAATAAGGAAGAAGAGTCACATGGTAAAGTAGGTGATTTGATTTTTTTTTCTTGGTGTATGCAGCTTTCAGTTGTATTGTATTAATTAGTTTCTAGGGATGCAGTTAGTGTTTTTCAGTTCATGTACTCACTTTGGCTCTGTTTTGCAAGAACCAGACAACTTTAGCAATAAAATCTCCTCATTGCCTTTCATTGTCTTTCCCCTTTCTCTCTTCCTCTCCAAGTTTTTCAAATGGTATCAGAATCCAGAGCCATTGTTGACACACGTGATCTCAAAGTTCCCATAGGTCAAGCATTAGATCAATCTAAGATCAATTTTCTACTAGTCATTTGATTAATTGAAATCAAATTTTGAAATTGATACTGAAATATTTTTATTTAGGGATTTAGGAATTACCTCTTATGGCTTGGTCTAATGTCTCACCAGAAGCCGCTGCTCTGCTCAGCCACACCACAAAGCTTCATATTCTGGTAAGAGGACTTTTGTCTGCTCAGCCAAACCACAAAGCTTCATATTCATATTCTGGTAAGATGAGTGGTATAATGGAAAAGAATGCGATGAAGCTATGAATGATTGTATATTACAGGAAGAAACATTATCAGATCTTATAGTTCAAAGTTCAGCAGATGATCAGCAGGATGATACTGGCAAGATAATTAACGAAGCGTATGGATGCAGTCAAGTAGCAGGAGAGGATTGAAAAATTAAAATTTCAGTACCAAGTTTTATAGAAGTAAAAAATTTCTCTTCTTCCTTCCTCCACTCATTAGCCGGTAACCACAAATCCCTTTTTTTTGCTGGCTTTAAAGGACACCCTTCTAAGGCTTATTCTGTATTGTACTTCACTAATCCAAACTTTTTATTTTGTACATACTCATTCAAATATCATTTTTTTTTAAATCACTTGAATTCGATAGTATTTGACCACTCAAGTGAATTATTGAAATTTTAGTACTTGAAACAATGTGTTTATTGATTTTGAAGGACACAATTGAATATCGAAATTGTTTCTGATTTGTCTAATTTTTTGCAAAGATGATCTATGAGTGTAGACTTAAAAAAAATGGATGGTTTGGATCGTTGAAAAAAATTTCGTAAGAGACCCTAAAAGATGTTCCTCAAATAAAATTATTTGAAAGATCTCTCAATAAAAGGAATATATATTATGTAATTACATATCTATGCCTTATGTCAACAGTCAGTTATTCCGTTTTCGAGTAGAACAAATAACTATAGAAAATCATAAAGATAGAAAAATGTCAAAGATAAACAACATAGCCACAACACAACTATAATGTCTCAGGTTTGAGGACTAGTTAACACTATTGCAACTTATGAGTTCTAGTTTGACATGTGAATAAGACGTCCATCCTAGAACTCGTGGTTTGATTGCGTTCAGCATACTTGCCATTACAAGCACCTATACACACTTATCTTAGTGTCTCTACATACAATAACTTGAGACTAGTCATTCTCCCTATTAAGCAAATATAGTGTGTACCAGTCTTTGCGTATCATCTATTTTTAAGTCTACATTCAAATATTCCATTCAAAAAAAATTTGAACAATCCAACCCATCTATTTTTCATATATTCATTCAAAGATCGTCCTTGCAAAAAATAGCTCCCTGTATATATGAATGTAGACTTAAAAAATAGATAGTTTGGATTATTGAAAAAAAATTCGTAGGGAACCCAAAAGGTGATATTTGGTCTATTATCATAAAAGTAAAACAACAAGTCCTGAGAATATAAAATAGTACATATCTAACATAAATAAATTTACTATTTTTTTTTTCTAACCTTTTTTCTTGTTTGTCCAACTTTTGAATAGCTTGAATATTTTTTGGGAATGGGTATGCCAAAAGAGATGTCCCATCTGGTCCAGAAAAAGTAATTTTACTATTTTTTGTTTGGATATGATATTGTCTAGGGGTCATCATTTGGCCCAAAGGCTCAGGGGCCAATGGGGGCCCGTCTGGCCCATCGAGAAAAAGTTCGGCTCAGTCTGTTATGGCCCATGGGCCGGCCCAGCCTACTTAAAGCCTAGCTCGGTCCATAGGCCTGGCTTGTTTGAGCCCACGAAGGCCCAATCCGGCCCGCCCATCAAAGCCCGACCTGTAGGCTCATATTTAATTATATTATATAATTCTATTGGGTTGATTAGTTTGCATAAGATTTTTTGGGAACGGCCAAGCCCAATGAGGGAAAAATCCCATTATCCACCTCTATATAACAAAAAAAAAAAAAAAAAAAAAAAAAAAAAAAAAAAAAAAAAAAAAAATTACATGTGTTTCAATTGTAACCCTAGGCGCACTACAACAATCTGCATCATCCTTCTCATCTCTCTCTCTCTCTCTCTCTCTCTCTCTCTCTCTGATCCATTGCTCTTTCGTCTAGGCAACTAGCAATCGTTGGAATCCCCATATGTTAGGACTCTTCATTAGTGGGCCTATTGATAAGAGCCCATAGATTCCCTTTCTGTATCTGTAGGCAATAGCGTTGCTGAGTTCACAATCTCATTGTATTTAGTCTAAGGCCTTTGGCCATTTTGGGGCATGAATGAAGAATTGTCTATTTGTTGTAAAGATAGTGGGTGGAGCCCACATGTTGGATTCCTAGTTAGCTACATTTTGGAGGCTTATCACTTGCACACTCACAGGCATCATTTCCTAAGTCTATAAATAAGGCATTATTCTGCCTTTGCATACACACCTCAAGTGGGAGAAGAAAGAGAGTCAAGTAGAAAAAAAGAGAAGGAAGAAGAGAAGGAAAGAAAGGGAGAGTGAGAGGAGAGGAAAAAGATAGCAGAGAGAAATTCTCCAAGAGAGAAAAATTAGTGAGCCACATATATTGTAAACACTAAAGTTGTAGCCCTATTATTTTACATAGTGGAAAAGTTACTGCTGCTACTCTCTGAGGACGTAGGCATGGCTGAACCTCGTTAAATATTGTGTCTCATTTACTTCACATTTCAAGGATTATTTTAGTCAAAGCCGATCTTGCTTTGCGGATTTCATGGAGTTACTTTTTCAAAGCATCTCGAGCACCTCACAATTTTCTGTAGTTAATTTAAGATTCAACATATCAAACTGTTTCTCTAATTTATGTATAAATATGTTACTAATGAAATTTTCTTTGTAGAATACATCCATTTTTCTCCAGCTTTCTCCATATCTAATGATGCAATATCCACTTGTTTTCCCTATAAGTGAGCGCTCGATGTGCTTGAGAAGCGAGACTATCTCTGATCATCCATTTAGAAAGCGAGACTATCCATGATCACGTTTTAGCTAGATCAAGGAACTGTAAGGATGACCACATGCTCTGATCTCCTGAAGTTCTTCTAGGCTAGGAGAAACGAGAGTTTGTTGTCTATTACCTCACTACTACTTCCTTCCCTGATTTCTTACCTACCTTGCAATCAATATCACAATCCTTTGTATCTTTTATTTCTTTTTATAACTCTCTATTCATAAGAGATTTTATTTCTTTAGAACGAACATCTGAGGAACGAATCCATGTAATGATCCTAACACTGAGGGTTTTTTTTTTAATTTTTAATTTTTTTCACAAAAGCAAATAATACCATAATGACTAAACATAATAACATAACACGAGTATCTATAAGCAACAACTAGAAAGCATTTTTATTTGTAAGAACTATGGAAAATAACGGACACCGTTTGTCTTCTTTGGAAGAAAATATTCTTCATCCGTGTAAAACACAAAGAAGTTCTTTTGCACATATATTAAACTGTGATTGGTAAAAACTAAGAAATTTGTACTTCCAATAGAAGAGGCAAGTATTTTTTGTAAACAATTATCTCTCATTTGGCGTTGTAATGACTCAAATGGTTGGTTTCAATTTGGAAACTACTAGCTCCAAATATCAGAAGAAAAATGTAGAAATAACATTGATTTTCAAAACAATCTCTTCTTTCTCTTGCTAAATGTGTGTTTTCTTGAGAAGATTAGTCATGAGCCACAAACGTGTTGTGTTAGTGCATAAGTAATTCTAATTTTCGAATTAAATTCTTTGGTCAAACTAAACCAAACCGGTTTGGATTTTTTCAAACTTACATTTCACCCGTCTCTATCTTGGCACTAAAATTTATCTGCTACTTGACTACATCCATATGCTTCGCAAACCATCTATTTTTAAGAAGAGAAATTTTTTACTTTTATAAAACTTGACACTAAAATTTTAATTTTTCAATCCTCTCCTACTACTTGACTACATCCATATGCTTTGCAAACCATCTATTTTTTAAGTCTATATTTAGAGATTCCATTCAAAAATATTTAACAATCCAAACCATCTATTTTTCACATATTCATTCAGAGATCATCCTTGCAAAAAATCATGCAAATTGAAAATCATACTATTTTATATTCCAAGGACGTGTTTTACTTTTATGATAATACACCAAATATCACTTGTAGGGCCCACTCCACATTGTATTTCACTAACCCAAACCATCTATTTTATAGACATCCATTCAAAGCTATGATGTCTCATGTTTGTATTCAGAGATCCAATTCAAAATTATGAAGTTGCAAAAGGTTTGGCCTGGGGTTAAACGGGCTAGGCTGTCATGGGCCTAAACGGGCTGGCTTTTTTTAAAATTTAAAATTTAAAATTTTTCTAAGTCTTTTAAATGTTTTTGTTACACATTTTTTTTGTCAAAAGTGATGGATTTAGTCTTCTCTTAAAAAATAGTATGAATTACAACATAACTTAAGAAAACAAACATATAATAGCCAAACTCTTTTACTAAACCTAGACCAATAGCCAATATTTTAAAAATATTAAGACCAAACTTTACTTTTCGTCCCTCATATTGTTAAAGTGTTATGGTGGTACTTTAATTATGCATTTACTTTCAAAAATCGTCATTTTCGTCATCTCAATCAACTTTTCTGTTAAAAATGATGACATGACAATGACAAGTCCTACTTAGCATGGGCAAAAATGTCTTTTCACACAAAAAATTTTAAAAATAAATCAAATCTCTCTCTCTCTCTCTCTCTCTCTCTCTCTCTCTCTCAATCAACTTTTCTGTTAAAAGTGATGACACGACAATGACAAGTCCTACTTAGCATGGGCAAAAATGTCTTTTCACACAAAAATTTAAAAATAATAAATCTAATCTCCCCCCCCCCCCCCCCCCCCCCCCCCCTTCGTTAACTAGAACCCTTACCCATAAGCAAAAGAGAGAGAGAAATAATTACCCCCAACGAACTAGAACCCCAACCCATAGCTAAAATTTTGCCAATAATTGTCGGTTGCAATCGATTCGCCGAGACTGACTAAGGAAGCAAACTAAATGGGAATAGCAATGACATCGGACTCTCCAGCAACAATAGCAAAGGCATAATATTAGATCCTTCTCAACTCATCATATCGCCAGTTTTGTGTGCTCTGGTCTATAGCTTGTCGTGCTTTGGTTGCATATGGTGAGCTGTGATTGGCAAAATTGACATATATAAGCAAAAGAAAAAGATTCCTTTGTTTCTCTGTTTTGATCAGATTTGGGGTGAATGATGAAGGCTAAGGTTCTGGGTTCGTGGGTGCTGGGGTTGCGGGCTAGGGTAGAGGGTTCTAAGTTTGTGGGTGCTGGGGTTAGGGGAAGAAGAGATTGTGGGGGGAAGTGTGAGAGAGAGAGAGAGAGAGAGAGAGAGAGAGAGAGAGAGAGAGAGAGAGAGAGAGAGAGAAAGAGAGAGAGAGAGAGAGAGAGAGAGAGAGAGAGAGAGAGAGAGAGAGAGAGAGAGAGGAGAGAGAGAGAGAGAGAGAGAGAAAATTATGAATTTCCCAAATTGCCCTTAATTTTGACAGAAAATTTAATTAAGTTGACGGAAAGATTGATGATACAACATGAGATCTAATTGAAACACCACCGTAACAATTTAACAATGTGAGAGACGAAAAGTAAAGTTTAGTCTTAGTCGAGGGACCATTGCTACAATTTTGCTTTTTTTTATAATTAATTTATATTTATTTTCTTTTTGTTTGATTAATTTCTTATTTATTTTACTTGAATTACAAGTTTACCCTTATAACTAACAAAATATTAGATGAAATTCACAAAACTTAACGGTAATGGCTAAATTGAACATTTTAATTAATTCAAGTGTTAAATTGACTGACTTTTTTATTCGAGAGGTTAAGTTCGATTGAAGTCCTAATTTGGGGTGTTTGGCAATCTACTCTAAAATATCTCAAACAATAATATTGAATATTCCAAATTACCTATTGTATCTCCCACATCAGCCAAGAAAATATAAAGATTTCCCAAGATACTTTGTACAAGTAAAAATAAAAATATATATGAGGCGTAGTATGGGATCTGAAAAGGTTCCAAATTGCAGGGCATAATAGAGCGAGAGAAAGCTATAGAGAGAAAGATGTCTTCCGGTGCTCGGGAGAGAGATAAGGTGTTTGTGGAGCACTGTAAGGGCGCAAATGGCCTTGACAAGGTCGTTCTCAGAGAGGTTCGAGGCTCTTCCGCTGAGGTACCAACCCTTCTCTTTCTCCGATTTTTTTCATTTCCTTCTCAACATTTTTGTTAATAATGTTCATTATTCTGATTCTAATTTTCATTTTTCCCTAAACATCAGTTTCATTGAGTTCTTTCATTGTTGATTAATTCATTATCATTTCTATATAGAATACTTCTGCATTCTGTTTTTTGTTAGAAACTTAAAATGGCACAGAATCTTGAAACCAAATTGTGATAGATACATGCGCTGTCCTCGAATTTTCAATTTTAATTCATGTACTATGTAAAATTCTACTTGATTTAATTATTTATATATTTTTACTTTTTGGATGTCCTTAGATATAGGATGAGCATTGTATGCAAGTATGGAATTGCAATTTGTTTAGTTCAACAATAACGGATAGAATCGTTTTTATTGCTTGAATCCTGTCATTGAAAGGAAGAAATAGAAAACAAAAAAAATATATCAATGCAATTTCAAACCAGGTAATCTTTGATTATCTTTAGCTTTTTTCTTGCTTTTGTCGGTGTGCAACATTATCGACATACCTTTTCCTTTGGTGGAGCTTTAATTTCTTGAATATCTTATTAGTTCCGAAAGGTAAGTGTTGTTTAGAGGGGCGGGCGGTTGCTCTAATCGTCTTGTTCCACATATTTGGGCTTTCAGAGTGTATAGTGGATTTGATTCCAGTCCATTTGTGATGCTAATTACATCTTAGTATTGGCTGTGTGCTACTTTGAGTGTGCGACCATTTTACAAAAGTTTAGTTGGATAACATTCCTCCCCTGAGGTTCTTTTTTTGGAAGATTGGTGGGTCAAATGAGTCAGAATACTGCTTCTGGGTTCAATTTTTAGTGTCCTCAATGGACAAAGAGATTTGAAGCATGTGTCCTTTGTAAGGGATAGATTCAATTTATGGTGATTAAATGTGCTATTATTGTTCGGTAAATGGGTTATGGGATTTGGTCGAATGTCGCATTAGCTGTGCTGCAGTGGGTATACGAATACATGTGATCTATTCAATAGTAAGAGTGTGGATTGTCAATTACTTTTATTCTATTTTATTATATTTCATAACTCTCATAGTTATAAACATATGTAAACAAGTTCATGTGCCTTTTACCTATGTGAACTCTTAACACCTTGGCTACTCTTTATTTTAACTTTGCTACAGAAGATGAAAATGTTCTGGCTTTTGCACTTTGTATATGTTCCCATGCTAAACTCTAATCTGTTTCCTGTTATAGGTCATAGATCTCATAGTACAAAAATTTCTTTGAAAGTTTGTGTGCCATTAACCTATGTTAACTCTACAACCTTATGGTAGAGAATGCCATTGGAATTTTAAGTTTACCGCAGAATATGGAACTTTTCTGGACCACTATGCTTCGTGTGTGTGTTTGGATGCGACTCGCGAGTGTGCGAGCATGTGTAGTGTTTAGTATAGATTTGCTAAAGCATTTGAGTGCATTCCACATTCTTCTTTGACAAAGTTTCCGTGTGTAATAATTCATTTTTTAAAAGAAAATCTATGGTCTTAGATTGATGTGGTTGTCAACTTGTTGACTGTATTCCTTGTTCAATCTCATGAATTCTGCCTGTATGGCGTTAACTTGAGTGTTCCTCTATATTTTGTGCCTGAGTCCTCAAGTTTGACATCTAAGGCTAATTCTTAGATTACTAATGAATATTTTTTGTACTTTTGAAACAGGTGTATTTGTATGGCGGTCAAGTTACATCATGGAAAAATGAATATGGGGAAGAGTTGCTTTTTGTTAGTAGCAAGGTATCACATTTTGGTAGAGATGTTGCACGGAAGTTGTTTATCTTTACATAACTGATAACTTTTCTTGAAGTTACTCCTAGTTATTCATATGCTATTGATTGGTTTTCAGTCACATGAGGGACTAGGAAAACAAAACGTGCATGTTAGATATTATTCGCACAAGCGCAAGTTACATTTCAGCTGTTACTTATTGTGAGAAAACTATTTAAATGAGATAAGTATATTGTCACAGATGTTATTAAACAGTTAAGTCATTTTGCAGAGTGCAACCCATTTTCATGCAAAACACCCAATAAACCTCTTGGAGCGATCGATGCCATAGTTATAGCTTGAACCTGATAACCCACTTTTAAGAAGTGCTCTTTCAGCCTTTTTGTAGAACGCAATCTTGATGTAGCTTGACTTGTCATTCTATTGATGATTTCAAACTTCTTTCTTTATTATGTCCCAAATGAATTTAGAAAAAATTTAAATATGGACAGCTAATTAAAATTATATGGGGAATCTTGCTTATTAGCCCTGTTGCATTCGTAGCTCCGTGGCTGGCTTTGAAGCTTAGAGAGGACTTAGAACTAAAAGGAACGAACTCAGATGATGGATATTAGGAGAATGATTGTTGAGGAACATATGGATGAGATGACATAATCTGATCTTTGTTAGGCCTTAAGATTGTTTCAGTATGTGTTCCCCCTCCTTTTCTAAAATGTATGCATGTTTCTTGTAGGCTACTTTTAAGTCCCCTAAGGCTATCCGTGGAGGAATTCCAATCTGCTTTCCGCAAGTAGGAGTTTCTCATCTTTTACCTTCTGTTTTATTTGCTTTGGTTAGTATTTTTATTTTTTTAAAATTTAAATAATAATTAGTTGGCACATGCAGTTTGGAAGTCTTGGTTCTCTTGAACAACATGGATTTGCAAGGAATAGGTTTTGGAGTATTGATCATGATCCCCCTCCATTTCCAACAAATAGCGGCAACAAGGCTTTTATTGATTTAATCCTTAAACCCTCTGAAGAGGATTCAAAGATCTGGTCACACAGGTAGTGGACTTAAATTTGATAATTACATGTTTAATTCAGCTAAGGTAGCATGTAATGCTTCCATGGTGGCTGGAACAGGAAAATTCCAGATCTGTGCTTCTGTTTATACACACATACATGCACAGACATATCATAGAACGTCATATGTGATTACAGTGTTATAATTTTGCACAATCAGTTAATCAGAACGCAATTCTATGCTCTACGAAGTGTTAGATTTCAAATATGTCAGTTCTTAATCATTTTTGTTTTTTGTTTTTGCTTTAATGTATGTTTGTTGCAATCCCATGGTTCTCTGTTTGCTCAGTCAAGTAATGATGTAATAGCAATCACTTGCAGATATGAATTTCGCCTTAGGGTTACTCTGGGACCAGGAGGGGATTTGATGTTGACTTCCCGCATCCGAAATACAAACACTGATGGAAAGTCATTTACGTTCACATTTGCTTATCACACCTATCTTTTCGTAACTGATATCAGGTTTAGTGATGCAATTTCTTGCTATTGTTTTGAATTCTTTATAATCAAATTCATGTTTCCTGGGCAGCTGTATTTGACTGGAAAGCATCATAAACATATGCTATTATTGTGCCTTTGCCGTTATTTAACCAGTATTAGTTCAGCCATATATTTATTAAAAACACCAGGTTATAATTCCTTTCAGAATCGGGTTGTGAAAATGGAATGGTAAAATGATATTTTAGGGTAACATTCGTCAGATTTTGTTTAGTTCTGATCTGCATTGTATGCCATTTCTTGCATTATAAGAAATGGTCTAGTAGACAATTAAACTAAATAAATTATCTTTTAATATTTTTTTTGAAGGGGCAATAACACATCCCACATTCTAGCTGTGATATTTAAATGTGAGCAGAAGTTTTAGTTAAATACATAATGGAGATCCCTGTATGTGCATCTACATTATCCATTGCTGGAAAGTGTTCCTTTTGTGTGGTTTGCACATTAACTGTCATGTTGCCTTTGTTTAGTGAAGTGCGAGTGGAAGGACTAGAGACACTGGATTATCTGGACAACTTGAAGGGTAGAGAACGATTTACTGAGCAAGGGGATGCGATAACATTCGAGTCAGAAGTTAGTGTTTGTCCTTATCCAGATGCATTGTATTTTTGACACTGTTGTTTTGGTTCTTATATATATGTTTATTTGTTATTAAATGATACTTTCATTGTCAAGGTGGACAAAATTTATCTGAGTACGCCTACAAAAATTGCTATTCTGGACCATGAGAGGAAGAGAACATTTGTGTTACGGAAGGACGGACTTCCAGATGCTGGTGAGTTTTTGTTCATTCATATTTCTTTGCTAGAAAACTATATTATGTTGAGAAACTTATCAAAGAAAATAAAGGCTGTACTTTGATGAAGGTGTATAGGGTTTAGACAAGCTGTTGTGATAATTGTAAACATTAAAAGAATTAACAAAGAACCAATCTGTCTTTTATTATTTTGTTAATTGAATGCTACTGTTATTTAACTATGGCTGGATACCAAGTCAATTGAGCGAACATAGAAGTTTCTGCATGTTTCGCATAAGTGCTTATGGCATACAAAACAAAACTTGCCCTTAGTGTTTATCAGATGGTCCTTTTCCATTGCAGTGGTCTGGAATCCGTGGGATAAGAAAGCAAAGGCAATTTCTGATTTTGGGGATGATGAGTACAAGCATATGCTCTGTGTTGAGGCTGCTTGTGTGGAGAAGCCTATTACTTTGAAACCTGGTGAAGAATGGAGGGGAAGGCAGGAACTGTCTGCTGTCCCTTCCAGTTACTGCAGCGGACAGCTTGACCCACGTAAGGTACTGCAAGGCGGTTAAGTGATCAGCCCATTTTGATGCATCTCTTGTACAGGTAGTTTACTACACCTACCCAATGTTTAAGTTTTTTGATACATTAGCAAGTTCTAAATTTCTATAACATAATACAATTTCTGCTAGACCACTTTAAGACTTGTTCTATAGTTTACCTAATTTGGAAATTATAAATGCATTTGGTTTGAAAAGCGGGATTAGGTCATCTTTAATTTGAGGGAGGAAAAGGGTTGTAGATTGTTATTCTTGCTCAATCTGCAGCTGAGGTATATAAAGTAGGCATTTTAGAAATCCCCTGCCGCCCCCAATGGTCGTGCCCTATACTATAAAAGGCCGTACATTGGTTTTGTTTATTTTTTCTTATGAGTTGGATTTCAGCTTCTTTTCTTTTTTCTTTCTTTTTTTTTTAAAAAAAAAAACTCTTTCCACAATTGTTGTCCCATACGAAAATTTTTAATTTTGCCTTCAAGCTTCTTTTTTTTTTTTTTTTTTTTTTTTTTTTCTTCTTGTTTCCATTTGTGATGAAGTGGTGATGATGACTATAATGAATGCATTGCAGGCACACTATGCATTCTAGATTTGGCAGGCTTTTTGTTGGATGACAGATTCAGTAAGCAGAATTGTCTATAATGATTTCATTGGACATTTGATTAAGGAAAGACGACCGAAGAAGGCAGTGAAAGAAAAGTTAGTTAATATTTTGTACATCTATAGGGACTTAATACCGAAGAAATGAAAAGAAGAAAACTGAAGGCCTTTTGGTACCCCCTTCGTTTTCTGGCCCCTTTTAATCTTCCCTCTCTTAAACTGTTCTCTGATACAATTGTATTCTTTCCTGTTAATGAGTATTCTTTGCCCTCGTCTAAGGATGACTCTTGTAATTCTCTGGCTTATCTTTGGAACGTAATGTTACCAAGCACCCGGTGGATGGGGTCATTTCCGAGATTTAAACACCAAGATTTAGTTTGTTTTGTAAGTAATATTTTTTCTGCAGTGTAGATCTTTTTTGTTTCTTGAAAGGAAAATTTCGTTTTTGTTACAATACCCACCATGTTATAAAAATAAAATAATCGGAGTATGAAAACTACCACTGAATATTGGGAGTAGTATTATATTTGCTCTTCTAATGTTTACACTGACAGAATTCTCTCAAATAGAACTCTCTAACACTTTGGTTTCACTCTCTCTTCTTTCCTCGCACTCTTCCTTTCTTCGCTTCCTTTCTTTCCTCTCTTCTCCGTTGGTGTGTTTTGCTAAGCAATGGGAAGCCTATTTATAGGCAAATTGGATGGCTACTAACATCATCATTAAGCTCCAACATCATCGTTAAGCTTTTTGAATATTATTTCATTATTTTCTTTATGTGGGTTCCACCACTTTCTTTACAACACACCAAAATCCCAATTCGATACACCCCTCATATGTAGCAATGGTGCTCGTCTTTTACTCTACCTGAATTTTAGGTAACACATTTTGTAGCATGTGTAATTATATACATATTAGTAAGGATACGTAATTTTATATATCTCCATTTATTTCTGTTTTCATCATTTTTATTTCATGTATTGTATCCTATTAATAAGATAAGTTAGCAGCATAACATGTTCTTCATTTTTTACCTTTTGGAAAAATTGTGATTTCTTAAATGCGTTTTTACCACATACACACGTCGAAGAAGATGGTTTGATTGTTTTTGATGATTTCTTTTTAATTGTTGCAAATGTGGCAGGAGTAGTATTATTCTAATTTCAAACCTCATTACACATGGTGCAAGTCAAACTCAGTTAAGAAACTCAGAACCACCAACTTATATTATTTATATTTACAAATGATAATGGGGAAAAATGAGCTCTCTATATATATGGAAGCTCTTTCGAATTATCTGGCTTTTCTTTTTCTGATTTTCATGGAAAAACATTATTTATATTTACAAATGATCACTTGGGTAATCTCTGATAGTACTAATTTACACACAATAAAGGTAAAAATAGATACACAATTTCACCTTTTATCACTGTGTAGTCTTGACACCTGCAACAGCTTGTGTACCATACGCCACTGTAAGTCTTGGAGCAATTTGACAGTAAAAATGATGAAATGCTTTTTAGCAACACATTATTAATTGTCACTATTTTTATAGTATCTGACTGTTTAATTTCATGCATGATTTGAAGAGAGTGGTGAGGGTTTACTATTGTTGCTAGAAAATTCAAAAACTCTCCAGAAGGGTCTTTGTTTGCGTTTGGAATGGTGACTTGTCAGCTCAGTGTCTCTGCTCAGCATCTGCCACATCACCTGCACATCTTGATATCCACAGGTTTGTACATCGTCATGAAGCTTCAAAAGGCCGGCACCTGCTCCAAAACAAGACTTGTGAGATGAGATGCCCTTCTTAGCCAAAGAGTTAGCAACCACAGACTAGTTTCTTGATAAGTATTCTAAATCGTTCGTGTTTTGATATGTACAGTTTAAGAACTTTGGTGAAAGGAAAGCGGGTTCACTGTCTTGACCAACTGATCTAACCCATATAGACTGTTATTAAAAAAAGTTAGAATAAATTCTAGAAAACCAACTTAATTGAACCCATGTTAGCCATTAATTTATTGACCAACCAAATAAATAATGTGACACTTATCATAATGATGTCCCAGGTAGTTGGGATATCATGTGATATATCTGATACAAGATGCTTCCAAGTGCCAGAGATGTTAGTGGTTCAAACAACATCATCAACCGTCGACAATGATATTTTTTTGGTGTGGGAAATTTCATGCTCAAGATATAGTGATTGGAATAATATGTTGAGGTTGTTGTCAGGCCACTATTTTAGTGATCTGGTCGACATCAAGTTGCATCAATAAAGATGTTGATCCTATCTCTTTAAACCCCTCAGCTGTCGACTCAAAGACAAAACAGAAGATTGGTGACTACTTTGTAAAATAGAAATTGGATGGTCCCTAAAGTAGGTTCATCAATTTTTATTTTTATTTTTAAAAAAAAATTTATACAAGAGAGAGATATTGAGGAAGGGAGAAATTGAACCTAAGATCTCAGATACACAGGTAAATGATCTTAATCACTTTCGCTACAAACCCCTTGTCCATCAATTTGAATGGCAGGAGTTAATCACTAATTAGGAAATTCCGTACAATCACACACACTTTGGCCTGCCTTAATTTACTCTAGTGGATAGCGCACCAGCAATGGGATCTTTCAATAATCCATGTGCCAATCTTCTTTTTCTTTTGGGCCTATTTGCAAGAAATTACAGAAAAGAACAAAGAAAAGAAAACAAAAAAACTCTGTTTTTATAACTATTTGAAAGGTTTGGTTGAATTCATCATTGGTTGTTGTTGTGGTGTGGTGGTGGTGGTGGAAAGAAACTCCTCATCACATGATGGAATCAAAGCTTGTTTTATCAAATGGCAAGGTATATTAAACTTGGATAAATTATCAGTTATTTTAATTTTATATTAGTAAATCTAAAAAAATACTATAACCATGGCTCATAATTAGGCACAAACAAAAAAATGCATGAAAAAGTCGCCTATATATCTACGTGTGTAAGTGTGTAAGGTGTCGATAACCGTTGATTAATGTGAATTTTATAATCTTTTTATGTTAATCGCATATCAATCAACAATTCAAAGTCGTTTAGAAAATGATGAATTAGCATCTACAATAATTCAATGAATCCTGCGCCTAGCAAACAAATTACGCCAACTTCAACTTGTAAGCATTCACTAGAGAATTGTGGAGGTTTGGTAAGAAACAACTTGATGAGTGGGGAGGCCAATGATGATGTGAGCTCAAATGAAAAAGCAGCACATCACAAGAAAATACTATTGTTTTTTTTTTTGGGCAAAATGAATTAAAAGTAATCTCCAATAACCAGCACCACTAAATTAATTATTTTTCTGTGAGCCCCCTTAATTAATTATTAAAAATTAGAGAGAAAAAAAAACAGAAAAAAAAAGCCACACTCGTACTTTTTAGGTATGACTCATGAGTCTTCAAATTTCTTTAATCTTGTAAGACTTTTCTCATGCAGAGTCATCAATCGGCAGTTGGGATTAAATATTTTCAAACGAAACCGATTGTTTGACTTTTTTTTTTTTTTTTTTTTGTTTGTTATTCAGACAAATTCAATTACTCAAGCACCGACAATCTTGATAAAATATACATGTTTAGATAAATTTGACCTTGTGGTAAAATAAAAGGAGATGCAAATTGTAAAAAATAATTCGGTTGCTTGTAAGGGTAAACTATATATGTTTAAAAAAATGTATAAAGAAAACAGGGAGGGAAAAGATATATGAGTTCAAGTCGGATCAAAGAAAACGACTTTAGTTTTGAATGAGGGAAATCAAAGATTGAAATATGAAAACTGATATGTGGCTAATGATGTACAAGTGTTGTTAAAATAATTCTAAATATGGGTGATACAGAAAGGGACCACAACTCCAGAAGTAGGGAATGAGATGTGGTGGCCGGAGATCATGGGGGAGAGAGAGAGAGAAAGAGAGGTGGGATCTAGCCTATTAAAAAAAAATTATATAAATAAATTAAAAAAAACCATTTAATGATGTATCAAAATTTTTATAAAAAAAATGCAGCACTGAATCACTGATGGATCAACATTGGAGAGCTTGTTTAATCACAAAGAAAGGAAGAGTTATTGATAGGGAGAAATGAAACTAAAACTTCGCTTCTTAATGAAAACAAATAGAGATTAAATTATGTTGTATATATTTTCTCCGGACGTCCGGATGTTATTATCGAGAAGATGGCATGACATGTATAAAAGAAATAACAAAATAAATAAAAACAGAGATATTATATATATGGAGCAGAAGAAAAAGAAAAAATTGTGAACTGACCATTTTTGCGAGCTTTGATGCGAGCAGAGACAGTAAGCCAGACGCGGCGGACAGGGAAGATCATCTTGTGCCAAAAATCCATCAACCTTTCTTTGATAACTTTTACTTTCTTTCTTCCTTTGATTTTTTTCTTGTTATACCCCCCACCACCACTACTCACTCGAATCGCTATGCTCCTTTGCCCTGCCAGACCTGCACCCTTCTCTCTTTCACACATACACTCTGATGATCTCTCTCCCTCTCTCACTTGCTACATATACCCACGTAATTTCTTGCAGATGGAGAAATGGTTTTAGAGAGACTCGGAGAGAGAGAGAGAGAGAGCTGGAAGAAAATCACAGTGGAGAGCTGCCTGCCCACCGGTTTGTCTGTTATAAGCTTCTAATAAGTGCCACCGACACTTGCTCTCTCTCTCTCTCTCTCTGTGTTTATTATATTCTTTAATTGCAAAACCCTACTTTACAAGACTTTTTTAAAAGTATGTATGGATGTATATGTATGGATGGACACATCTAATCTGGTTTTACTGTTCGTTCAGTTTTCTTCTCGGCGTACGTCTTCTTAAATTATGTGAAAGTTGAAAATGACCTTATCCAATTGAATTGGGTAATTAAAAAAAAGAAGAAGAGGGAACTAAGAAATAGACATGCATTACCTCTCTCTCTCTTCTTTGTATGAAAGGGTATTAAGATTTTTACTTGCAGGAAGCAGTTGTAATTATAATGTTCTGGCCATGGGGGAAGATTGAAACTAGAGAGTTTTAAAAAAATTAATTTTGGTTGGAGAGAAAAGAGAGAAACTTCATGTAATGGTTGCTTGCATAACGATACTTTGTTTATATAATTAATAATTGTAATTATACCATAATTAGAATCACACCCCTTTTTTTCTTTTGTTGAGAAATTTTGTGATTGCATTTATAATTCAGCCAAAAAATTCGCTCGCTAGCCACGAATACAAACGAACCATAAAAGGTCAATCGCAACTGCTTTGAGTGCTCTTGGTGAATAATTCACTCTGGTTTTAGTGGCTGCAAAGAAACAAGGGTTTCATGGCAATAATTGTAGCCACTAGACTAACTCAAAATGATGGATAATATGTGGATTCAATTAACAATTAAGCTCCATAAACCACTACTAAACTAAACCCAAGATTATTTTTCATCTAAAAAAGCCCTAAACGTTAATTACCAAAATTCTTATATTTAATTGCCAATTATTAATGGCCATAACCGTGGGTGGGAGCAGCAGCCCAGAAAGGCAAAGCCAATTGTTTGGCCCCCTCTTATTCTTATTGATCACATCCAATCCAAGAAGGATGCTAGAAGCCAACCAATGGTGGCAATTTATAGTAATTTTATGCACTAGTCAACTTGTATACGTAAGAGTAAACTTGTAAAAATATATTATAAAACCTGGGTGTGACGAAAATGGAGGTTGCGATAGCATAGCATATATTATTTCATTCTAAAAATTAAATAAGTTTATCACATAATGATTCTTTAATTTCTGTATTTGGATGTTAGTTATACGAAAACTCCACGGTTTTTAATTTTTTAATTTTACCAATAGTTAGGGAGGGGGAAGGGGTTCAAAATCATACCCATTTTACAATGTCAGGGCTCGAACTCATGATCAGCTGGATGAAGACAAAACTCCTTATCACTACACTAGTGGGACAACCAACTACCCCATACTTTTTATTAAGGAGTTACAATAGTTAATCTTACTAATGATAGGAAATGGTCACTTATCAGTTATGTTGTTATTAGGCCATAACTCATATTTATGTTTATAATAATAACTTGTTGTAACTGTATATTGTATAATAATCATATGAATGAATATAAGGGAAAATCAGTTTCTACACTTTTATTGATACAAGTATTGTTGTAACATAATAACACTTCCTTGAGAATGTTTTAAATTCAAATGAACTTCAATTAAGAAAAAGAAATCTTCTCTACCACAGAAAAGTGTTACGCGGAATCAAAGTTAGAGTTGATCACCGATTATGAAAAACACGTTATGCATTTATCTCACGTCAAACACTAGACTTTGAGTGCATTAATCACACTCTTAACTACTTAAACTACAAATACGCTGCACTAGATCACCCGTGTGCGTTTGTTACTTCTCTAGATAATGCCTGGATTGTTAGGTACACATGTTTTGTAAAGTTCTAATCCTATGGTTTTAGAATCCATACTAGTACCAAGTTGAATGGCTGACCAAAAGAATACATCGTTGAATGGGAATATAACACGTGTTACAATTCTACCATGTTCTTGGACTTTTTGTGTTTAAGCTTTTTGTAAGTTTCATCATTTCTGTTTTGTCGGGGTCTATATGTGGTTCTTTTTCTTCTTGTTGTGAACATAAAGTCCAATAAAATCGGTGGGGGGGGTTTGATTGTTTGAATTTATATGTACAACTTTTTGCCTAATTTTGTATTTTTAAATGAAGCAGTTAGTATATTAATTAATAAATAAATGAGAAATTCTGAATTCCAATAGAGTTTTTTGACTTTGTGAAGCTTTCTGTAAGTTCAATGGTGTCGGCAAGCTCACTTCTCCACGTGTTCAATATTGTATGGCGCAAAACGTTTGGTTATTAAGCGTGCTCAAAGCTTTTTGAGAATACCAATGATAATATAACACGTCACCATCTTAATATGACCGTTATATCATTACGCAGTGTTAGTGTTACCGATTAGTTGATAAGTCATACAGATTAGTTGATATGTCATAGATTTAGGGTATATTATTAAATATTAATATATATAAATACACATAATATAATATAAGTAGATTGGTAAAATCATGTTAGATGAAGATTGGTAAAATCATGTTGGATGAAGAACATGCAGTCGTTAAGCTTCTCACGTGGGTAAACTAACTCTATACCATGAAAGAAGTTGAGGACATTGCCTCGTTGTAACCAGGCCAATAACCCTACACATGAAAATCAACCTCGACCTTGACCCTCAAGCTCTGAAATATCGTAATTAAACACAAAATAACAATGTTTTTTCAATTTTAATGCAATCTAATATAATCTATCATATTAAGAACAATCCAATCATGCGCATCAAACGATATACATATACTAGAATGATACATTTATATATTGTGAATGAGAATCATATACATTCAAACATGACATTGTGCCTATTTAGTTATCCTAATTTATAATGCGCAATATTAGGCCATCTCCAGTCATAGGGCTAAATGTAGTCCAAGGCTAAATGTTTAGCCCTCTAAAATATTAATTTTTTGAAGCATAGTGCAAGGCTAAATTTTTCAATCTCCAGCCATGCAGGGCTATATTTTAGGGTCTTTCATATTTTATTATTTTGAGAAAAACTATGGTACAACACTCATACATTCCACAACTATGTATTGTTTAATTTAATTAAACTACTATTTAGAGACAATATTCCATGACCAATAATTTTTTAAAAATAACACTTGAAAATATTTTAAAAGGTGACCACATTTATTATATATAAATAATAAATAAATAAATAAAGGATGGGTTTCAATGGTCTGACCTCCAACTGTCATGACCAGTAATTTTTTATAATTTTTTTACGAATTGAAAACATTTAAAAAGGTGACCACATTAAAATTTAAAATTAAAAAATAAAAAATTTGTTGGGTTTAAATGGTCTGACCTCCAATGGTCATGACCAATAATTTTTTTATAAATTTTTCTTAAACAACACGAATTGAAAACATTTAAAAAGCCTTTTAAAAATATATCAATGACATCAGCGCTTTTATTGTTGGTTGTTAGATATGCATTTGCACGAGATGATTCGTGCTCTTGCCCACACTTGATAATTTATCTTTTTCAAAAGCATATGCGTGGGGCCCACCAAATTTGGCATAGGCCAAAGCTGGGCTAAATGTGGCTCGGTTGGAGTGCTAAAAGGCCAAATGTGGACCTTCAAATTTGGCCAAAATTTGGTTTAGCCCATGACTGGAGATGAGTTTCGCATTATTTTAGGGCTATATTTGGGATATAGCCCATGACTGGAAATGACCTTACACACTAAATTGAGGGCATGTTTATGTATCAGTAATGGAGAAACTAAGGAATCAAAGAATTTATGAATCGGAGAACTACTGAATCGGTATAAGAAGAATAATTCTCATTAAGCTGTTTACTAAACATATGGAATTAGCAATGGAATGGGATTGATTCCCATTGTTATTGTTTACTAATTTGCATGAATCAGAATCCAAATTAATTTTAGAATTATGATAAAGTGATAAGGGTATTTTTGGAAGTTATTAAGAGAAAACAGGAATGAGAATCGTATCGACTACTCCCCCCTAGTTGATCTGATTCCTAGTTTTGAGGGAATGTGATTACGGATTTTGATATGGGGCCCACTTATTTTTTCATTCATGATTGCAAGTAAACGCATGAGAAGTCAGGAATGGAAATCATTCCCTTTCCTTCCATAACCATTACTGATACGTAAATATGCCCTGAATAAGAAATAGCATACGAAAGACCTAGTGACAAAGAAGATTGGGACTTTCACTTGTCTAAAATCTAATTCTTCGAGGTTAGATATATATATATATATATATATATGGTGATAATAATGAAATTAAAAGGAACAATACCTTTAAGTTGTAGTATATATTTGTATGTGCAATGTAACTTTAGCTAACTCACACGAAGACAATAATTTGGTCATGTATTTTCAAGTTAAAAATATATGAACCTTAGTATTGGTGAGTACTAATTCCATGTCCCAAAAGAAACATCTCAAGCTTGACCCAAAAATTAGGTGTGATAGACTGTCAATAGGCCTTCAAATGCTAACCCTATGATTACTGGGTAGAAAGATTCCAAGTCGATACTTTTTTTTATATATAAAGTCAAGAGAAATTAAACTAAACCAATAGTTAGTTAGGCATCTCCCTATCAGAATTGAATGCCAATAATCTTCGCATCCACAAATAAGGCACTCTTTTATTACATTTTCAATGTATTAAAGAGTTCAATCCAAAACTTTCTCTTTAACTTGAAGACAATGATAAAGCCATTTGTTATGTACTACGAAAGCGACTGATTGTATACAAATAATTGAGGCTTGGCAGATGTTCTTAATGCTTCTCTATCTCACTGGTCACTAGTGTCCCTAAGGAAGACAACAATGATGGAATTTTGAAATTTTAATGAGTGGAGGAAGCTTTGAGAGTGTGGCTCTCCACATCGACTCGCCACTTAGGTCTTCATCTTTCGATAATTAATTATTCGGTTGGTCTTTGGGGAAAAAAACTATTACTGGGGATGATTTTACTCATATTCACCGCACAGCTAATAGCGTGACAAATCACCTTGCAAGATTTACTTTGAACATTAGACCTTCCAGCTATCATTAATGTGTACTTTTTGAGGATTTGTAGTTCCCTTTAATCACTTCTTAGTGGAGAGAGTAAGTTACTTGGTTAGACCGATGATGATCAATCCCTCATGTATAGAGATGTTCGCACAATCCTCTTCGTCTGTGCCTATCTGTTTCGAATTGTACTTCTTTCCTCAATTATATCATTTCGTCTTTTTTTTAAATAATAATGATAATAATAAAAACAAAAGCGTGGAGCCTCGTTTTGTAGGAAAAATTTGCAACAACAACCACAACAACAACAATAAAAAGATGAGAATCATGCTATATACTCTGAGAACTGATATTGTATGTATTTTGCCTACGCAAAAAGGATGATGAAGCATCTTCCATGTCGTGAATGGTGTTGAAAATTTGAAATTTCGACACCATCATGAAACTTTCCTTATTGAGTTTATTCTTGAATTAAATAATGTCAAAACAAAATTGGGGAGCATATGGAAGGAGATAAAGGTCTTTTGTCAAGTATGCGATATTATGTTAGCATCAAAGACAATGAGCTCACAAGTGATGCCTTCCCAACCACCAATAATATCTTTTTTTTTTCTTTATCAAAGGCATCCATGCTTTAACACAAAGCCAATGAGACAAGATAGCACAATTAGTGCTATTGTGCATCTTCTTTTAGCATTTGCAAGCGACTTTACAATGTAAAGCACCAACCCTTAGACACATAAAATTGGCAGTTAAGATAGTCTTTTGCATGGTTTGCAAACAATGCTCGAGTTATCAAATATATTCCCCAAAATATACGGGCTTAGCCAAGTTTGCTAGAATGGATGTGCTCCCTATTCTGCACCCGAGTTTGAATCCCCCTCTCCTAAAAGATGCAATTGCTTTTATTATATAGAAATAACTTTCAGCTGTTTCACGTTTAAGCATTAGATTCCATGAATGCTTTCTTTTATTGATTATATGCGTAAAGAACCTGTGCGTGTGGCCCCCCTTTTGCCTTTCAAGACTTTGCCCATTTAGCAAAATAAATAGTGAAGTTAAAAAAAAATGTTTAAAGCAGGATTGAAAATTTATTAATCAAAGTAGAGTTGGATAATCATGGAGTTATGCTCTTGCCCTAAGAATTATTCACAAAGTCATGTGAAAAATAAAGCAAATTCAACGAATGTTCATATTCCAAGTTAAGTTCATCCAGATGAATATTGGATAAAGCATTATCTATATAAACAGCTGAGGGTCCATAAATCATCTATCTCAGACGCAGCTTGCTTTGTCCACAGAATTGTTGATGGTTGACCTTCGAAGCACATATTCTGTCTAAGATTTAGTGAGAGAAAAGTGGAGGTTCTTGTATGTTGTAAGATTGCTCTTTAATGTATGTCATGTCATGTATGTGTTATATATGCAGCCAAAACTTCTGAAGAGAGATCCCTCTCCCTTTTAGAAAAGAAAGAACCACATTGTTGGAACTTGGATGCATCTGGTGAGGGTCGGAGCTAGGATTTTATGTTTCGAGAGATAAATTATAAAGAACAAGCTTAGTTGGATTGAATAAAAATAAATAAAATTAGAAGCTAGAAAAAGAAGGGGTCAATTTGAACTCCACGTGGCATTTGCTAAAGTGGTACAAGACACCACAGATATGTCATAGCTGAATCATTCGTTGAGCATTAGCTTAGTGGCTGAGTAGCTTGTTCAGAGGGCTTGGAAGCCAATTAAGGAGTAGTGATTTCTCAAAATGTGATGGGTGATAATATCATAATATAATACAAATTGTTAAATCATTTTCTTTTCAATGAAAAGAAAGAATGTCTTAATCATCTGCTGCTATAAATTGTCACCCTACTTTAGTGGATATACTCGCACTTCTGATCAAACCAGAAATATAAAAGAAAAACAATATTTCATCCAAATACGACGGAAATATGGTTTTACCATTAGCGATAAACACACGCTCGTCGTCGGATTTGTCTGAAAACAAGAAAAAAAAATTATAATATATATGTGCAAGTGTGTTTTGACAGTTTTGCTTTGTAGAGCTTGAAAATGACATTTCCACAAATCCATTTATGCAAACGCAACAAATGCAACAGGCCAAGGACATTCCACTCACCATTGCATAACAGAACAAAATTACAAGGCGTAACAATGACATCCCAAGTTCTAGTCATCCATGTTCTTCATGTATTCCTTTGAAAGTTTAGTCTCCATTATCAATTGCTGTTCTTTGATCAGAGAATAGCCCGATTCAAGTAAAGCCTCAATGGTTTGCTGTACAAGGGAAACGGAAAACCACTCAATCGTTTGTTCAGCAGTGATATGGATTTCAGGTTTGAAAAGAAACACTGGTTAAAATTGATGACACTACCTTTGGAGGAGTAAACACAGGAAGGTTGTCATTTTTTCTTCGCTTTAGAAGTTTGTCTCCCAGACTTTGAACACCTCCAATATCTTCAACCCACTAAAAGAAAAGAAGGAAACTAGTTAGACGAAATGTGCATAACTAATTAAAAAGTTTTACAAGAAATAAGATGACATAAAACTAGAGATGTTAGAAATCAAGCTAACCTAGACTAGTTTTAACTCATAATGGGAACTATTTGCGCTGCTATCTCTCATTATCAACTTTATCTGCAGGGTTCCTCTTGAAAACATCATTCTTTTTAGCATTGCCCTTTTAGAATTCTTGTGAAACAGATAACAAAGATTTACATGAAATATCAAATTCTGTTCTCTTATATTAATTGTGTTAACTTATGGCTTAACATCCATTGGTCTCTCAGATTCTTTGACACTAAAGGTTACACCATAATTTATCCTTCTGAATTTTCGTGATTATTTGTTTTGTTGGTTATTCATCAACGAGTTAGGCATGAAGACTTTGAGAAGCTGGAGCATTACCGAATATAATGCCCAACAGGGAAGGCATCAGGCATGAAAACTAGGCAACAAGTTAGGCATGATCCTACAGATATTATGTCGATACTCAACAGTAACACCGATTACCACTATGATATTTAACATCTAAATCCCACTGGGTAAAAAACAAATTGTACTTATAGGATTCAAATGTTTAATCACAGAAAGACATGATTGACTTCCCAATCTTTTCACTTGATATAATAATTCGCTAATAAGTTACAGTGGTCGTACATTTCAAACCAGATTGTCATGTCATGTACCTTAGAAATTGACCGGTCGTATGTTCGAGACCTCAAAGCTCCATAGAAATCCAGTGCTGCCCAGTCATTGAAAGTAAATAGTAATAACAACAAAAAGAAATAAACTATAATGTAGAAGTCTTCAAATTATAATATGAAAATAACGGTAAACAAAAATCTTCAGATTCAACTCTCACAGCAACCCACCCACTCCCAACCGCTCGAAAAGAAATTTACCTAAGCAAAGATGCAGGTTGAATGTTCTAGAAAGATGATAGAAATGAACATTTTAGTACTGTATATAACAAAAGACATCAAATGGAGAAAAGAAAAAGTTATTTTCTTTAGTATGTTTACAGGAACTCAAACACACGCAGTGCCATTTCCTTTGTGCATGTGAGATTGCTTTCCACATATGAATATGATACTTGGGAAGATAATGTTTTATATTACTATTTTAACCTTTAGTATACTGTTTGTTTTATTTCAACTACGTTGCAAGATGTGACAGTGTATGAATTCAGAATTTTTAAACTGACTGGTCAAGATCACACACACACACACACACTTGCGGACAACTGAGGATGTTATGATCAACAGCCTATGGTGAATCCAGAACATCTTGAAACTGAGAATCCACGTGTATATGGGTGTGTAGAAGTGCTTCTTGTCTATGCTTTTTTTTTTCTTTTTTGAGAAGATGAAAACAAGAGTTTCTTGTCTATTGATTTATATTACTATTTAACCTTTAGTATACTGTTTGTTTTATTTCAACTACGTTGCAAGATGTGACAGAGTATGAATTCAGAATTTTTAAACTGACTGGTCAAGATCACACACACATACACACGTGTGGACAACTGAGGATGTTATGATCAACAGCCTATGGTGAATCCAGAACATCTTGAAACTGAGAATCCACGTGTATATGGGTGTGTAGAAGTGCTTCTTGTCTATGCTTTTTTTCTTTTCTTTTTGAGAAGATGAAAACAAGAATTTCTTGTCTATTGATTTTCAGATTGGAATTACTGTACATGCTGAAAAGAAAATTGAAGGCATTGATTTTGTGAACAGAGAGGATATGAGACCAGTGGGTTACCTTGATTAGGAAAAGTGTCCACTATACTTACAACTTCATCCCTAGACATGCCATCTTTCTCATACATTCTGTAAACAATATTAATGATATCCTCGTGGTTAGGCTGCCTGTTTCAGAAACAACATATCAAACAAGGGTGATATGCCTTGGTTCCTTCTAATCAAAAAAGGAAAAGTATCAAACATAAACTCCATAAAATTAAATAAAAAAATACACAAACAATTAGTATAGAATAGCATTTGACATACAGCGGAAATTATTAAAGATACAGTGTGGTCAATAAAAGAAGAATGTAATTAACAATAAAAATAGTGCAATTCAGTGCCAGAACATCAAGAACTATATTTGGTTTACAACTATCTTGAACAACATTGTAATCCACAGTAATCTTGGCTACATAGTCCAAGTTTACGGAAAAAGGCCCAACACATTTAATAGAGAATTCACGAACAGAAAAAGAGGCAAAGACAGCTGTTTCCAATGGAACATGCATGTTTTTCGCCATCCTGTGGTGATTATATTATTAATCATGTGGTTCATGCAAACAAGGTTGACGAAGAAATCACTTCTATAGGAAAAGACGTACAAAACATCTATCCAACTAAGGTCACAGACAAGAAGATAACCGATTTTCTTGAGAAAATAGGAAAGATCCCCATACATACAAATACTTTATCTTTTCATTCAAACAAAGACTCACTGATCTGAGGAAAATTTAAATAAGAAATTATGCAGGCAATTATTTCCTTCAAGGATGATGAAGGCACAAATCTCCAAGGCAACTTCTCCTTTCAATGTGCAAGTTTGGAGCTTGGAACTGGGTATACTTGAACACTTCAAAAATGAACATTAAGTTTTTATCCAGTGAAAGAAATAGATGTCAAATTAAACTGGTTTGTTCCTTCAAATCACTAAACATGAGCTCTTAATCCTTCGTCGAAAATAACATACCAGCAAAAAGGCAAATTTATCCTTCGTTGAACAATCACATACCAGTAAAACTTTTCCATCCTTCCATCACGGATTAAGGGAGCATAAATTGTTGACTAATCATTTCCTGTAACAATGACAGGAATTCTGTTTGTAATGTCTGATTCTCGCCAGTCTTGTCCAATACTAACTCTTGTAGGATTATCACATAGATTCATCAATGTTCCAACAACGATTTGATTATTGACTGTCATTTGAGTGTTTCCTACAAAAGAATAAACAATAACACATTTTCACTAAAACTGAAACATGAATAAAACTAAACGGTCTTCAGTCATTCCTACACACAATGACTAATGTTGGAAAGATATAAAACCATATAAACACAATTTAAGAAAAAAAAAAAAAAAAGAAAAGAAAGAACAGAAAAGGTTGGTACTGGCTGATTCATGAATTATATGCTAAGTCTTTCCTTTTTTCTCTTGGTAAATTATCAAAATTCCAGACTAAATCATACAGTTCTCACCAAATCTACCAAGGCCAGCATCAATGTCATTGATCATCAAGCAGCTCATCTTGCCCTGAAATAACCAAGAAGAATAGAAAGGTATAAAATAAAAATATAAAAAAATTAAAATTGTTGGAAAAAAGGGTTGTCCATCGTCACTAACATGAATGAAACATCACTAGCATGACCTAAACATATGTAGTCTGTAAAACAAATTTTTGGAAGCAAGTTATTTGACGTGTTGTCTTCTATGATGGTGTGAGGGAGCACAGCCTTCAATCTTTAGCTGAAGGATCCTCTCTGTCATTTTTCCAACGGATTTGACTGGTGATCTTTAAATACATAACCCTTGAAGCACAGTTCTAGTTTAAATGCAGCTGAGTTTGGCACCGGTGTGAATGTGGCGATAATATTAGAAGGGCAGTTCATTCATTACTGTAGCACTTCTAAATTTCTCTATATGGTGTACCTTGCCAGCAATTTTCCAGTGTGTCCTTCAATCTTATCCTTTCACATCATGTCATGAATGGTTCTTCATCCCTAGCATCAAGGGGCAAAAAGGAGGAAAATCTGAAACCCCTAAATAAATCCTTCCTAGCTTTCCGACAAGTATTTTCAAATTTTACAATCTCACTCTCAGTTTCCGGTGACTTGGTAGTGTTAAGACAGCCTTAGGCCTCTTGACCCGTAGAGAAGAAAGAGATAAGCAATGAACGGACTAGACCAATGAAAATGGACCTAGGGTTCTATTCATTAGCCATACACTTTAAATTCAAAGTCTAAACTCTAAACCATCCTGTAGGCAATCGTAACCGCAGATTTTATAAAGCTGTTCCCCATTATTACAGATGGAGTGTCTAATAAAAATCCGAAAGAGATCTAAAGAAGCTTTTTCTAATAAATGTGCATGATGTACACAACAAGAGAAGTGAAAATTTGAATTACTTAGTGCTTGACCAAGTTATTCTTTTATAGCAGAATCTATTTTCTAATATAAAAGAAGAAATAAATTACTACTTGGGAAACCAATTCTCAAGCAGGTCTAACCTCCAGAGGATTTGGAAGAGGAAAGGAGCTAAAGGTGCTCTGCTAGTGCTTTCTTTCAGACTTCAGAAGAACACATCTCTATACCTTCTTTGAGATGACAATGCTAACCTCTCTCTCTCTCTCTCTCTCTCTCTCTCTCTCTCTCACACACACACACACACACACAGAGGCAATGTTCACAGACCCTAGTATAAGCAGACGAAAGAAAAGAGGGAGAATCATAAATCAAAGTAAATTTTGTGCAATGATTAAACACTGTTTAACTTCATAACCCAAGACATACATATATTAACAGTGAAAGTGGAAGAGCTTCTAACTTGGTTCTGGACCACTTGAGAGGCAGTTCTATAGCGGTCGCGTATCAGTTTTCCTGGTTCTCCTGTAAAGTAACTTTTGATTATACACAGCATGATTCTACAACAAAGTTATGAACACAGTCAAAAGTCTTCCACTATCCTTGCAGAATATGACAGCTCAATATGTTGTTTAAGATTAGTAAAAGGAGTTGCACAGAGAATTTATATATATGTACATAAAAATATACTGAGTGATATAATTAGAAAACATCAATAATTTAGGAAGTAGCCATGGAGAAAAGAAAATGGACGAAATGGCAGTATAGACATTCTACAAACTCATCTTACCAGCTCTTTCTGATTCTAATTCCCCGGCAGACATAATTACAGGTTCAACTCCCATGGCTTGGAAAATAAGTTCAGTCTGAAATGATTTTCCTTGTCCTTTACCTCCCCAAATACCTGTAAAATAAAATGATAAATTTCCAGAGCACATCTATTAACACGTAACCACGTAAGAAGACTAAAACTCATTATCATTCTCATTCAAAAGATATTAAAAGCAATGAGATAGTTTAAAGTAAGCGGCTAAAAGCAACCAAGAAGAAGAAGTTAGACCAATATTTTTTACCATACGGATGCATATGACTTTGCAAGATGTAATAACAAGTTATAACATCTTAAGAATCAGAAAAACTCTTAAAAAGAAACATGATTGAACACTCTTAACATGATATACCCACATTAAAAAATTTCATAAAATTTTCAACTTTCAAGTTCAATGAGAATCCTTATGACAACCAGTAAAAAGTTATTGTGACTACATATACCTAGGATTAAAGGAACTTTAGTATTGAGAAGATGAGCAAGGTAGTTCTTCGCAATATGGCAAACTGCAATTTAAGAAAAACCCACATATATAAGATTACAACAAATACTTATGGATAAAGATGACTTCAATAAGCTGCACAAAACATGAATGAATCCAATAGTAAAACATTAAAATTATCAATTACAGGTTCCATCAAGGACACACATGTATGAATATAAGAATCCCTACTACAAGGCCGCTGACGGATAACATTAAGTGTAAATGAAGATAACGTAGGGTTTTTGTACAAGCCGTTATGGTGTTAGTATTACACTCTTGAAACAAGACCCAATTTTTTTTATGTCTAACATTCTCGAAGAAAAAAAAACATGGCTTCCATGACATAGGTTGTACGAGGTGTGGTGGTTGGGTAGTCGTAATATCAATAGTTAACACTGACAAATTTATTGTCTAGGTTATTTTATTTTAGCCTTCCTTTGCACAATGTAAATACGGGCAAAGGTAAGAACTACTGTTAGGCCCTTGGAAAACTGAGCAAATGTCTGATAAACTGTATAGTAAATTTGCAAACTCAGAGGACAAACAAAACATGTCAAAATATATATAGCAAATGGCCACCAACACCACTGTAGAAAATATTGGAAAAGAATGTAGCACAGGAAGGTGAGATAGGTACAATGATTATTACCAAGTTTTCTTACTTTTTTTTACCCGAAACATCACAGGTATTTTTTTCTAACCTTTTGCCCAGTATCATAGAACTTACCAACTTTATCCTGTCAAAGAGAAAGGCAACGAAAAAGACACAAAATCACTTACCAGATATTGTCAGCATAAAAATAAAATTGAAAAAAAAGAAAAGAAGCTAAAGATTAATTATTGTGATCTACATACATGATATCAACTAATAATAAATTCACACAGAATTCACATGGATACCAAATAATTAGTTTGCAATCGATCATAAGAATTGTCGTTGCTACTGCAAGAATCAATTCAATTGATCATTGAATTCACATCTATAAGAAGTTTAATACTCAAAATGAAGAATACATTACTCACAACTTAATTAATTTCACTAAAATTGGATGAAACACAAAAGGAAGAAGCAGAAACAAACAGGATATGATCATACCATGAACAGAGGCGCAATGTAATAATCGCCCTGAAGGTACTGAAAGGACCTGGTGACCTTCTGCCGATAATCAAACACAATATCAGAGTCTCGGCCGAGGAACTTGCCGACGAAGAGGTCGTCGACGAGGCCCGCCCGGGCTCCGACGGCGATGTTCATGTTGTCGGCCTCTTTGCCCAACCTGTACAAGTAGTCGTTTCCCTCGGAGTCCTTGGCCTCCCACGAGGACTGGTCTGAAAGCTTCTTCTTGGGCCCACCGCCGCCATTGTTGGTGTCAATGTTGCTGCTGTTGGTGCTGGGATTGGAGTCAGGGACAGAGGAGGGGTTTGCTGAGCAGCAAAGCGAGGAAATGGGGAGTTGGGTTTTGGTGGTGGGATGAAATGGGAGTGAGAAGAGTGGGGTTTTGGAGAGAAGTGGGTTGCAGTTGCAGAGAGTCATGGTGTTTGGGATTTGTGGGTTTGGACTTTGGAGGAGAGAGTATGTGAGGGTTTGGCGCCACAAATTAACCCAAAGGATATCCTCTGGAGCCTGGTGTGGCATTGTACGGACAATTTTAACTTTGAACTCACAACAATTTATTTTTTTTGGTAAAAAAAAAGTTTAGGGGAGAGATTGGCTACTCTCGCCACCAGAGCCAAGGCAAACTCACAACCTCTAGCTGAAAGGACTTACGCGTGGCACCCAACCGAAGACAATTTTTCACTTCGCAGATGAGTACATATTTTGAGAATTGTTAATTAACTTTAAATTCACATTCTGACCATGTTTCTAAAAATGGTTATTCCACACATAAACTTCTTCCTATTTTACCTCTGTCCTTTCTCACTATTGGTTACCTGACATTGACATGCAGATTGCTAGTTTTATCAAGACTCACATATTTAGCCGGAGGAGACCAATTGATGGGTGGAAATACATGATAGAGGAGCCAGGGCCAAATGCGAGGAAAGGGAAGGGTTCTGTTACAAGATTACCGAGCCTATCCGATGCATCAACCCAACCCTTTAAGGAGGAAAACAGTGCAATGAGCGCCCGCAGCATTATGCCCTTTAAGAAGAGGTAGTTCGAAAGTATTCATAGCTACCGTATAAATTCATTCTGGCAATTTTGATCTCTGGCTTTCTCAATGTATGATCGTACCATCCTCATCCTGCAGGCAACTAAAAAGTGCAATTAATATAAGTGAAAGAATGTAAGCATTTCCTTCAACCCTGCTGTTCCAACTTCTGAATGGCATATTAACTTATAAGCCTTCAATATGGTTTCGCGGTCACTCACCAAGACCAAATGCTTCCATTCCATGATAGCCCCTTGTTTATTTGCTAGACAAAAAAAAAAAAAAAATATGGTGCATCAGATCAGTCGCATTGACTTGTTACCACATGAACTTTTAGTTTAATGGTCCCAAAACAGGTGAAAAGAAGAGAGGAATCTCATTTTTTGACGGCCAATCTCATTTGTTAAGAATTGCATCACTTTTCGGGAGGGCTGTCAATGTCATTATGCTCCATCTTCAATCCAAACCGAAACCCAACCTTAAGAACAAGATAAAGTGTGCAAAATGTCCGTCGTATCACATATTTTTTTATCATCTATCGATAACATATTGGTACTAGTAATTTTAACCGTTTGACTAAATTGGTTAGCTGTTGAATTAAATTGGTTAACATGATCCAACGATTAAGATATATGACCTTACCTAGGGGCCATATATAAGGCCCTCCTTATAGAATGACTCCAACATTAATAACCATAACCAAAACAATATACAAAATTCAGAGACATCATATTTCACAGGCTAAATTGCTTTGTGGGAAATTGTGAAAAAAATAATTGGATGGGTGCATGGGTGTCCTGAGATTAGCCTTGCATGTGCATAAAATTCTTCAAAATGAAGTTTTAAACCCTTATTAATTTTATATGGCCTCTCACAATAAGGGTTTAAGCTAGGGTGGGCATCGGAACCACAAAACCGAACCAAATTAAAAAAAAAAAAACAAACAAACGAGAGAGAAAACCATTTTGACTGAAAAATTGAGATAAAAACTAAACTTGACCGGTTCAAACTGATTTCAATCTCGGTTTTCTACCACAAGAAATCGGTCCAATACAATTAATTTATATATTTTTTTAAAAATGATAAGTGTATGTTGTGTGGTTGAATTTGTTTTTCTAAAAAAAGTATTAGTTTTATTGTCATGTACCTTTTTGTCATCTATATATATAAAGCAAAAGACAGAGAATTGTGAAACATTCAAAATACCCTTGGTTAATTTAAACATTAAGAATTGAAATTATTAATTAAATGGGGATAATATGGTAAATTCACAATTTTTCATATTAAAAAAATTAAAATTAAAAAAAAATCAGATAATAGGTCCTACTTTTATGTAGGGCTGACAATGGGTCGTGTCGTATCGGGTTCGTGTCGTGTCAGGATAATAAATGTGTCAAGAATGCTCAACCCGAACCCAATCCATTTAATAAACGTGTCGTGTCGGGTTCGGGTCGTCTTTTATCGTGCGGGTTTCGAGTCGTGTAACGGGTTCATAAATAATAATATGCATGTTACGAAACTCACAACTGAAAAAATTTAAATAAAAAAAACAGAGAGAGTAGAGAAAATATAAGGAAAAAAAGAAAAAAAGATAGAGAGAGGAGAGAAGGAAAAGAAAGGAAAAAATAGAGAGAGAGAGAGAGAGAGAGAGAGAGAGAGAGAGAGAGAGAGGAAAGAAAAAAGGAAAAAGAGAGATGAGAGAAAACTAAGGAGAAGGAAAAGAAAGAAAAAAAAAGGAGAGAAGAGGAAAGGAAAAGAGAGGAAAAAAAAAGAAACAGAGAGAGAGGAGAAAGAAGAAAGAAAAAAAAAAAGAGGAGAAGAGAGATGGAAAAGAAAGGAAAACACAAAAGAAAAAGAAACATTATAAATATCAAAAGTCATACCATAAAATCATTAAGTTGTTTGTAGCATGGTGGATAAGATGCTTGAGAGAAATGAGAGTTGTAAGGGTTTGAAACCCCTTGTGTGTGTTGAAGTCTCCATTTCTCTTCATTTTTTTAGCAGGTTAGCGGCTTGTACACGGGTTGACACGACCCATTTACTAAACGGGTTAGACAGGTATTATAGCGAGTTGACCCGAAACCCACCTGTTTATTAAACGGGTCAAAACATGTTAAAATGGGTTGACCCGAAATTGACATGTTTTTTTTATCGTGTGGGTTGAACCCGCTAATTTCTCGTGCGAGTTTTGAGTCGTGTATCGGGTCGTGTTCAAATTGCCACCCCTACTTTTATGAAACATAACTACCCGTGTTATCTTTTCTTAAATAAAAAATAAAAATAAAAACCAATTGGCACATGCGTGAGCATGTGTCAAGGGGCTAGTTATATATAATAAAAGCACTTCTGATAAAAATTTACCAAACACTTTGATTACTCATATCACTTTCAAATGTCATTTACTAAACGCCTAATTGCTTTATTTCACAGCTGATTATTCTCGTAGCACAACATAATCATTTTTTTTTAAAGCAAAGTAATGTCGACCTAGCCCTAAGTTGGATCGATATAGGTGATGATCTTGTGTGCGCCCGCATATTGTAACCTCCTACACAATCAATAAAAAATGGCCACATGTTAAAATATATATAAAGTATAGAATATAAATATATTAACACTATTTAAATCTACAATTGTCACATTTAAATTAATTAAAAAGAATAAGAAACAAAAAAGTTCAGATTACAAATAAATATAGTTAGAACAGTAAATAAAATTTCGCTAAAAAAATAAAATAAACAAACAAATAGTAAAAAAATAGTAAAATTTCGCTGCCTCCACACCTCTCCCTCTTTAAGATTTGATATTGTTTTGGTGGGGAAGCTGGGGATTGGATTTTTTGTGGCCAGAGTGGAGATGACAGAGTAGGGAGCTAGGGGTTGGGAATTGTTTAAAGCTTGGGGTTGGATTTTTTGTGGCATCGAGCTGCAGCGGGAGGAAGAAGAAGAATCGAGCTGCAGAACAAAGGATTATTATTTGTTCTAGGGGTAAAATTTGTCAATTTAGAAAGTTATTAGGGGTACTATGGGAAAAAGGATATATCATTTAAAAGAACCGGCTATTTTTTTTCACAGCAGCTTTGAGAAGCTGGGCGGGAGCTGCTTTTGCGAATTTGCTGTGAGTGACCGCAGTTCATAAAATAAGCTGCGTTCATTGGTTTTACCAAACATTTTAGGAGGTGAATTCAATTTAGATTTTAAAAGAATTTAAAGAAGTTCAAAGGTTTAAGTGTATTCAATCACGATTTTATAAAAGTCTATATAATTATGGGTGTATTCAATTCATACTTTTAAAACTTCATTTAAATTTGGATATATTCAATCACAACTTTAAAATACTTCATAAAAGTTTGAGTATATTAAAAAACTCATTGATTTGAAAGTAAATACAAAAAGTGGTGGATTTCATTTGTTTATAGACTAATTTTAGGCCATGAAAAATCTTTACTTCCTCTTAGAGATTTTGATAGATATATTATTTTTATTCTTAAGATATGATTTCACCACTTTTACTACCACCATCTTATCATGGCTATCATCGCTGCTGTTGTCGTCACCGCCACCACAACTGACATCGCTGCCACCTCCACCACTACCCCCTCATCTTCACCACCACCATCACCATCACTGCCACTGCCACCACCTCCACTACCATCACCCTTACCCCCACTTTAACCACCACTACTTCCCCTTTTATCAGCCCCACCATCACCCCCCATCACCACCACCATAGCCACTGCCAGCATCATCACCATCATCGCCACTGTCGCCACCGCCATTCCCACTCCCACTGCCATTGCCACTGCCATCACCTCCACCACCACTACCACCACCACCACCTCCACCACCTCATTCCCACTGCCACCACCACTACCACCCCTACCTCCTCCACCAATACTTGCCCCATCATCAGCCACAAACCGCCATCGCCAGCTCCCCTAAACCTTTCTTTTAAAAAAATAAAAAATTATGCTATAAACTCCCTTAAAGTCAATAATAAAACTCTAACAAACTCAATTAAATTCTATACACGATTTCAGGCAAAATTTATGTAGAGTTTGTAGAATACAATCAAACTCAATTAAACTCCATCTGAATCTAAATTGAATTCAATGTAATAAATTTTTTAAGCGCAGCACTCCTAAACGCCATCTTAGGTTTTTCTTCCTCCTCCCATCCCATTTCCTCTCTGTTTCTCCTTCAGCCATCACGCCGCCAAACCTCTCTCTCAGCCGCCGCGCCGCTCTCAGTCGCCGCCGTCACGCAGGTCAGATTCTCTCTCTCTCTCTTCTGTTTTTCTTTTCCCCCTTTGATCTCTGACCCGCTAACTCTCTCTGTCCTCCATCACTTCGCAGCTTCCACTTTGTATCTCCTCTTCATCTCAGCTAGCTCTCTCTCTCTCTCTCTCTCTCTCTCTCTCTCAGCTCTTCTTTGATTCTCTGACCCGCTGGAAAGAATCTGTTTTGTTAGTTTGTGGCCTCACGCAATGATTTAGGCAATTTGTGGCTTCAGCCTTCACCCCAAAGATTTTATGATTTAGGCCAAATAGTAGCTATTATGGTTTGTAGTTTTTCAAACTGTGATTATAAATTTTCAATTTACAGAATTACAAAATATAAATTGTACTTTTGTTTGTACCTTCATGTTCTTACTCTTTTTTTCCCTTTTCCTTCTTTATTTTTGGTTCCTTTCCTCTGTGCGAAATTTGGTTTCTGAAAATGAAGACTTTTTTGTGCGACCCTTTCGTGAAAGAGATCTTCTCTTTCTTGAAAAACTAAATGAAGTTGGATAAGATAAGGTTTTGGGTTAAGTTTAGTTGCATATATTATTACAGTGACCACTCTAATTGTAATTGATTTTGAGATGAATTTTTGTTATGAATTGCAGAAGAAAGTTCAGGAAGATGGTAAACTTCTCAGAAGAATGTGAGTTATTCTGATTCGAACTTGTTATAGGTGATAGCTATCCTTTTAAAAGGACGCAATATAAATTTTCTTTGTTCTGAAGAATTTTTTTGGCCCTATGGGGTTTGCTGTTGTTGATTTTGTTTTCATTACAATGCAGAGAAGGGATATGAATTTTTGAAGCTTCAGAAGCAGGAACCACAAGAACCGAACCGGTACAGGCAGGTCCGGGTTGGTTTGGTCTTGCCACCGAACTGGTCTTCATTTCCGGTTCAGGTTCCGGTTTCACGAGAAAATCGGTAGCGCTAGTTTAAGCTTTCATTTTCTTCGATTCTCTGGTTTTCTTCGCTGGCTACAAAAGCTATGCAAGCCCTTAAACGCATAGCGACAAAGACCGAGTTCCAGAGACTCTCATCCACAATCACCAAAACCCATTTCATATCCAGCACCAATTTCAGACCCTTCTCCTCCAACTCAAAGAAAGGCGACGACGACTGGAACGAAGCCTGGGAGACCGCGTGGCTCCCGCCCGACCTCTCGGGAAGTAGTAGCAGAGCTCCATGGGAGACCGACGTCAATTTCCCGTCTTTAGAGTCGAGCGTAGTGCTTCCCTCGGATGCGGACCTAGAGACCAAGGCGTTCGTGGAGGACATGAATGAGAATTGGAATGAGAGAAGAAAACCCAAAGAGGAAAAGCAGCAGAGTGAGAATGGGTCGTCGCTTTATAGCTTGGATAGTATTAAGAAGGATTATAGGGTCAAGAAACAAAGGATTCATGCTGGCCTTTGGATGAAGGAGATTGAGAAGCAAGAGGAGGCTAAGTTGGCCGACTCGAATTCTTTTGGTGGTGGGGATGATATCGAGCGATTGCTCGATAGCTGCTCCGAGTATGCTCTCCTTCTGTTTTCTTTTTTCTTTTTCTCATTGTTTTACTCTGTTTTGTATGAGTGTATGTATGCAGTTTGTGTATCCATTTTGAATGTGTTCAGTATGCGGATTGGGTTCTCGTTCGTGTATTTGATATGAATGCCCTGTTGTCCATTTGATGTGGGTTCTTTGTCAAATTGAGATATTTCACTTGCACACATACCCAATAGTTATTTCATTTGTTATGTTTTAATGCTCTGAGTCTGATTGATTGTTTTCCAAGTCTTGAATTTTTTCTTGATGTTACTAGATTAAATATGCATGTGTTAATATTCATAGAAAAAAGTTTTGAAGGGTGCTTTTTAATTTACTTGTTGGGTGTACTATCGGGATACTTGCAGCATTTTTTATTCTGCCAACAATGATTTGGAAAACTCTAAAGCCCCGAGTGCTTCTGACTTCAAAAACAAACCGGATGGTTGGGAAACGACATCCAAGGCTAAGGATGGAAATGTATGGGAGATGACACAGAGAGAGGAAGATATTCTTCTCCAAGAGTTTGAGCGTCGAATTGCGTACAATAAATTTCAGGTGTGTAAATACACTCAAACAGACTTGTATTTTCCTTCTTCCATTATACAGTTTGTTCCGAGTGTAAGCATAATATAAATGAAGAGCACAACTCGTAAGATTAATCCCAAGTTTTAGATTGTCTGTATAAATCTTTATCAAATCTTAGACGAGGGTGTACAAGTGTTGCTCATGGCTGTGGTGCATCAGACTTGGTAAAAGAGAACTTTTGAAATTTGACTCTTATGTATGGAATGATGCTACTGTGTCTCCTAGTATTTATGGTTGACTGTATTTTCTGCATAATGGCACCACACCCAGTTTTTCTACCGAAAAAAGTTTGAATGTACTCTTTCATTACATTTATCTTAATCTTATTGCCAACGTCTTCCTCTTTTACCCGTCCTTTCTTACTGTTGGTTATCTGACATTGACGTGCAGATTGCTAGTTTTATCAAGACTCACATATTTAGCCGGAGGAGACCAATTGATGGGTGGAAATACATGATAGAGGAGCTAGGCCCAAATGCGAGGAAAGGGAAGGGTTCTGTTACAAGATTACCGAGTCTATCCGATGCATCAACCCAACCCTTTAAGGAGGAAAACAGTGCAATGAGCGGCAGCAGCATTATGCCCTTTAAGGAGAGGTAGTTTGCTTTTGGATTATGTTCGTGTGTTCCTGTGTGCTCGGAGATTTCAGAGATTGGGCAGTAATGACCTTCCTTTCTTTAGAGATACCAGCGTCGAAAGTATTCATAGCTACCATATAAATTCATTCTGGCAATTTTGATCTCTGGCTTTCTCAATGTATGATCGTACCATCCTGTAGGCAACTGAAAGTGCAATTAATGTAGGTGAAAGAATGTATGCATTTCCTTCAAACCTGCTGTTCCAACTTCTGAATGGCATATTAACTTATAAGCCTTCAATATGGTTTCAATGTAAAGAATACCCTTTTGCATTTTTACTGTATTTCTAGGAAAATAGAAAATGCACATAAGTTGTTTGATGAGTTTCCTCAAGGAAATGACTTGATTTCATGGAATACTTTGACGGGTGGTTATCTTCATGTGTCTCAGCCTCAAGTGATTGTAGATTTGTTTAAGAAAATGTGTAGGAGCTGTTTTGAAGCTAGTGTTACCACCGTTTTGAACCTTTTGTCTGCCATTGGTGATTTAGGAAGTTACCTTGGAGGAGTCTCTTCAGTGGTACTGCATCAACATTGGCTTTTGTTTGGATTTACAAGTGCTTACTGCTTTGATTGATATGTATGCAAAGAATGGGCAAATTGATTTAGGACGTCGGATTTTCGATGGAGTTGATGTGAAGGATGTTGTATTATGGAATTGTTTGGTAGATACGTATGCAAAATGTGGCCTGGTACAAGAAGCAGTAGCTTTGTTGCGGTTGATGAGACTTGAAAGAATGAAACCCAATTCATCTACAATGTCAGGACTGCGTTCGGCTTGTGCTGCTTCTGGGTCCTTAAGTGTAGGGAGTTGCATTAAGGATTATGTGGAAGAGGAGAACTTGGTTATGGATGCGGTTCTTGGTACAGCTCTGGTTGACATGTATGCTAAATGTGGTTTTTCGGAGAAGGCACTTGACATCTTTGAAAGCATGGAAAGTAAAGATGTGAAATCATGGACAGCCATGATTTCGGGTTACGGTGTTCACAGGCAGGCAGGCAATGCCATAAGGCTGTTCTACACAATGGAGGAGGAGGGTTGCCAACCTAATGAAGTCACTTTCTTGGCAGTGTTAAGTGCTTGCAGCCACGGAGGGCTGGTGACAGAGGGAGTTAGATGTTTTGAGATAATGGTTTGCAAGTACGGCTTTGTGCCAAAAGTTGAACACTACGGTTGTATGGTAGATCTTTGGGGTCGTGCAGGGTTGCTGGAGGAAGCACATACACTAATCGATTGAAAGCTTGCCCATCAAGAGTCACGTTACGGCATGGCGTGCATTGCTTTCAGCTTGCAGGGTTTATGGGTACGTTGCTCTTGGGGAAACTGTAAAGAGTGTTAATAAATCTTAATGATGATCATCCCACCAATTCAATGCTACTATCAAGTGCTTATGCGATTGCTGGAAGGTTGCCAGATCATACGAGAAGAACACAGGAAAGGGAGGATGAAAAGATAGTGAGAGGAGAGAAATTCAGGCCAGTTGGAAAAGAAAACCTGATAAAGGAAGCTGGACGTAGCACAATTGAGATGGATAGTCAAGGTTGAAAAAATTAAAGTCATCAAATGACCTGGAATATATTTTTGTATTGTTTTTCGTTTGTTCGAGACTTGTGTTAATGACTTGATGTAACATAACTTCAAACAAAAAAAGAGATTAGAAATTGAGGGCCCGTTTCGTATTTGATTTGAGCCCAATTTTATAAACTCAAAAATATATTTTAAGTCAAAAGGCCGAGAAACTCGTTTAGTAGGCTCATTTTAAATACCCAAACCCAAAACAAACTTAAACCCCTATTATTGAAAACAAAACAAATGCGTTTTTCTTGAAACTTTTTCTCGCGTCATTCACTCTGCTGGTTCGCTCGAGCTCACTTTGGTTCTCGCTCAAGCTTCAAGCTTCCATGGGAGAAGCTTGAAGCTCTCTTGCTCCCTCTCTCTTTGTCTACCTCTCTCCTCCTCTCTTTCATTAGTTCAAACCCTAGAAATTGGGGATTTTTGTTTGTACCATACTTGACCCGCCACTCACATCACGACACGTGGAAAGAGTACGACACTAAGGAAGACCCTATGACCCACACTGGCAAACCAAGTGGTATGGATAGGTAGGTACCTTCGGTACCCACGACCAATTCAGAGCCCAACATAGCCCAGCAACAGGCTGGAGAGGTCAGTCATGCAAACAGCTAGTGCTCCCGATTGTTCGTCGAACATGCGTCCGTTGAGCCTTGCTGATTCTACGCCTTGAAGGGCATCTTGAGGGACAACCTCAAACTTCCCGCTAGGATATTTGCTGAGACTCATGTTGACCTCAGAGGACACTCCCACGAGTCCCACATAGAAAGTAAGTACCAAGAGAATACATAGCGCTTTCTATAAATAGGGTCCCTTGTCAACAGATTGCTCTCTTCTTAAAACTAGCTTTAGCATTGGAGGGTCTTCGGCCGGTACCACACCGGTGCCTTAGGCCTCATTCGCTGTTATCTCTTCTTGGTAATGTGAGTTTCTGTTTAAATTTGATAATGGGTTTCTTTTGTCTGGTAGGTTGAGAGGTACAAAGACAAAGAAATCTCTGGAGTTGAAGCTGAAATGGGAGATTCTAGTGGATCCAAAGATCTCGGCCTTGGAGATATTATTTTGTGTTAACTATAGATAAATAATTATTTTGTGTTTGTGGTGGAGATATTATTGGGTTAATTACAGTTCCTTTTTAATCGGATTTTGAAATTTTTGTTGCTATGTGTCTGACTTTGGAAATTAGGGATTTGTGTGTGTGAATTTGTGGAAATTTGCCCTATAATGATGTGTTATCGATCTTTGAGTTTTAGGGTATGTGCTGCTTATATATCCAACTAGTTATCCTGTACATTGGTTCGGATTAATATGCATCTGGGTTTGTGAGATTTAATTTGGGATTATGCTTGATACATACGCTATTTAGGCATTGATAGTGAACAACAACAGTCTGGGACTAATCCCTTTTCTGTTATAAATGTTGGTGTAGATGATTAGAAGTTAAGGTGCCATAGATTAAGGGTAAGCAAGCACAATCAATTTGAGACTGCTACAAGTTACAACTTACCAGCAGGCTTTTCTTCATTATGTCTGCATAATAACATTCTATGTCTGGGTCTTGGCTGTGTTAACTCACTCTCTGGGTCTTTGCTTGCATCTTAGCCTCTCAACTTGAGAATTATGTTGGTTTTATACTTCAGTACATGACTCAACCACATAAGAGTTGCAATTGTAGAGCAAAAAGAAGTCATTTGGTTTGAAGCCAACTCGAACTTATCATAGGGAAGGGTTAAGTTATGGAGTGACGAAATATCATTGTTATGAGCAGTGCCATCTAAGTAGCCTGAAAGCAGAGAATTTGAGACAAGAAGAGACCTGCTTTGGTAATTGATGTTGTGAAGGAGAGAGAGTAATTCTCTTGTTACATATTGTTTGTATAGTTTGCAGGATGTGCTGTAATTTTGTGTTTCTCTAAGTGCCTGGTTCTTACTGTCCAACTAAATGAACATCTGCAGATGTTGCCTAACTGAAGCATTTTAGAATATGTTTGGTAACTCAGGAGGTGTTTAATACAATTTGTCAGGTGATCCCCAAATTTGATATTTTCTGTAACAATGAATTGTAAGCTCCGTGCTAACACTGAGTATTAGAATGCTGTCTTTAATATGTATTATTTAAGACTTGAAGACCAATTGAGCTTGTCGATCATATATGTATGGTATTAAAATATGGATGTTAAAATAGTGTGTTTAATATAATTTTGATAATATTTATCAAAATATCTTAATTATAAAAAATGAGAAAAAAAAATTGTTTTCAAGAATTCAATCAAACAAGTTTTCAAATTTTAAATATTCAAAGATAGTTTTCAAGTTGCATACCAAACAACTTTATGAATCTTGAAAAATGGATTTGAGAACTCCTTGTTTTTAAGAAAAATAACAGTTTTTGAGTTCCATACTTGGATAGAATACCAAACAGGCCCTGATATTTTGGTACGAAATTTGAATCATAGTTTCATGGTATCAGCTTCGGCTAGTAAGCCTCTTAAGCCCTATTTCGTAGGCTGGACTGGACTAGACTTCTCCAACTAAAATGGACTAAAATCCTATCTGTTATTTGGTGGGTCTAAATGCACTCTTGGACTGGTTGGGCTTGATATTTCGCTTGGGATACCAATCCAGCAAATGGGGGTATTATAAACCCAAGAGAAATCATGGGTTTCGAAGCATCCGCCTCCCCCCGTTCGCTGCTTAAGGCAATGTTTTTGAACGTAGATTTCTTTCCTCTATAAATCTTTTTTTTTCTTTCTAATGGAGGTGTGAGGTGTGATTCTCTCTTCTATCATTTCTTCTCTTACAGTCGGGAATAGCAGCAAAAACAAACAAACAAGGCCTTCAAAAGAAGATACATGAAGAAAAAAAGAAGAGCATTAACTGCAGAATATCTAGATTCCTGAAAACTTTTTTCTTCTTATGGATTTATCTTTTTCAAATTTTTGGAAAATCATCTCCTAGAGTTTTTGACATTCTAATACCTCAGTCTACCTGCAAATGCCGACTCCAAATCCCTTGATCGAACCCCAGCAAATGATTTAGGGACACATTCCAGTGGAGTGGAAGAGGATAATGGGATGTTTGCTACTCGAGAGCTGACAGCATATTATTACTCTGCACTTTTTATACCGTGCCGCTCACATACTTCAGCCCACCATCCCTCTACTGCTTCTGAAACAACAGGAAATTTCATTATCTGGAATTTCCATTGCTTCTTGGTTCAATCTGAGCAAGTCATCATGCTTACACCTCAGACTTGGAATTTTATTTTATTAAAGTTCAATTAGTTTACAACTTACCTGATGCGGAATGCAGATAAGGAAAAGGAACTTTTTAATTCAACTTTTAGAAAGAAAACAGAAACCTCAAATACATTTGATTGGGGATTTCAAAGCAATGTTCCTAAGAACACTCAAATTTAAGGATGGGAGGCTAGCATCATAAGCTTCTCCCTATGATACAATCAACTTGCTGATGAAAAATAACTAGGAAGCAAATCTACTAGCAAAAGCATACATACATATGGACTTTTTCATGATTCTGTAAATAAAGTTTAAGCCTTGTTATAAGTAGCACAAGGTACCATAACAGGTAGCAATGGTGAAGCCTCTCAGTGCCTCCTTATCATTTAATCTCTCACGCAACTACCATCATGAACAGAATTCCATTCTCCTCCACATCCATAGCAGAACTGGAATTGGCACCTGCAAACACAATATACAGCAGATAAAACTTCCACTAAGTAAAAGCATTAAACCTGCATTAACCATAATCTAATTTGTTTCATCATCAGCCAAAACTTAAGTGCACCCAAGGTTTTATTGGGCATAATAACCATCTAAAACCCATTATGGATAACATGATACATAAGCCTTGATGGTGATGCTAAAGACAAAGACGACGAGCGTACATTATGAAGCAACAATGGGGGACTTTTGACTAATACCATGTGTTAAGAACTTAAGATTAGATTTTTATCTTGGTCATTTGATTAGATACATTATTATGATTAAACACATATATATTGTACCTATGAATGCATAAAGTACTAACTTGAATAATGTACCTAAAGAAAACCAAAATTAAAATCTAATCCAACTTCTGGGTTTGATCAAAAAATCATTTTATTCAAAGATAAGAATCTAATGTTCTAAAGAAAATCAATCATATGCATATACCAAAAGAAACTGACCTGCAAGAAATGTGCAAACAACCTTGAGTCTTCTCCACATAAAATTTGCACTTAGGGCACCTCCTCCATTTCTCCAGCTTTGCAAGCTCCTTCACCATAAGATCTGCCCTCCCTCTCTCATCCTCATTAAGCATCTGAAACTCCTCACAATCAACCCCTGGGTGCCATGGCACTTGGCATCTTGCACAGAACAATCTATGACAAGCAGGGCACTCTGACTCTCTTATACCTTCACCTTCATTATCAATCATCAAAACCATTGAGCAATCACTAAAAGGGCAGTAAAGTCTTTGTGCCCCAAGAACCAAAGCCTCACAGAGGGCATCATTCCACCTCTCAAGAACCTCTCTGGGAAGCATTGGCCTGCAAGCATCAAGCTCAATCACAGCCTTGCAGCCCAAGCCTGGGCAAACAACAATGTGAATGTTGTCTTGGATTTTTGAGGCAGCATGTTTGGCTATGCAGTCAGAGCAAAAGGAGTGGCCACAGCTCTCAGTTCTGAACATCTGGGCAGCCTCCTTCATTTCAACACAAATCCCACAGAAGATATGTGGCTGAATTGGTTTTAGGGTTTCATGAATTGGGGTGGATTGGGTTGCTTGGGAAGCTTGGATTATTGTTGTTGATGATGAGGAGGAGGAGGAGGAGGAGGCGGCGGCGGTGGCAGAGGAGGAAGACGACCCAACATTGAGTGTCGTTTGGGAAGCGATCGAAGAAGACATTAGAGCCTCCTGGAACTGCAACTCTTCTGCATATCTGGAATCTGAGACTGGGTCATTTTCATCTTCATGATCACTCTGATCAAATAGTGCTGAGAAGTAGAAATCGTCAACATTGAGATGAAGATTACCAGAGGCTAATTCTTGTGCCATAATATGATTCAAAACCCTAGCTGCTCACTTATAATCTCAAAAACTGCCACTGTCAGGGCAGTTTTATGATGAAAATCAACTATAATAGGAAGTGGGATTGCTTTTACGCAAACTTGCCTACGAAGGTCATCTCCAATTGGATGTTCTCTTTACTCTCAGTGCTCATCCTTCCTGGAGGGTTTGTTTGCTTTTTGGAACAGTGATTTGACTTTGACTTGCTTTGATTTAATCTCCAAATCTTTTAAATTTGGGTTAAATCTTTTTTTAAAAAAAAAAAAAAAAAAAAAAAAAAAAAAAAAAAAAAAAGTCATTGTATTTCCCAACGTTTACAATTTTAATTTTACAAATTTATAAGTAAACCAAATTCTATACATGTATTTATAAAAAAACCCAAGCATTATTTAAACATAGAAACACACCCAAAATCAACAATTGTATATTTTTTGGGTGTATTTATAAATGAGTTTTGAGTGTGTGTAATGATGAGTTTTGAGTGTGTTTATAAAGTATTTTGGGTGTTGAGTTTTTTTATAATTTCAGCCCCCATTTTGGGTGTTTTAATGAAACTCCCTTTTAATTTTTGTAGAAAGCCCCTTCAGTCAAACCAAACCAAACCAAGGTTATGTTAGGAAAATCTTGGGTTGAAGGAACATTGCAAGGTATAATGACATGTTTACTAATCCGTAATTGATTATGAGGAATTGAAATTGAGAATAAATTGAATTGAGGATAATAAAATTCCAGATTCCTATTGAAGTTATTTACTAAACCATATGGATTGAGGAAAGTTAGATTTTGAATTCTTATTGAAATTGTTTACTAAACCTGTAAACCATATAGAATTGGGATATGAGTGGTATTAATTACTAAAATGTCCTCTTTGTTGGGCTAAAGTAAATGACAAATTTAGAATTTTGAAAATTGTGTGAGGATATAATAGGTAAAAAAGATGAATTCGTTCTCCAGGAATTAGAATATCACCTCTTACCTAATAATTGAATTTCTCCAAAATCAGGAATTCAATTCCTAATTTTGTGTGGGTCATACTTACTTTTTAATTTCTTGATGTGAAAGTAAATCCGCAGGAATCCTCCGTTCAAGGCGGATTCATTCAAGTAATAACAAACAAAAACACACCACATAAAAGTAAACACACAAAAAGTAAAATAAAAAAGCCAAAACAAATTAAAAATGAAAAAAAAAAAAAAAAAAAAAAAAAAAAAAAAAAAAAAAAAAAGAAAGAAAAAGAAAACAACAACTTACCAATATAGTTTGGTTCTCTATCACTTGATTACGTTTCCTTGTCATCCGAAGTCGCAATACAATTCTCACTCAATCAATTCAGGCTTTAATATAGAGCACCAAAATATAGAAATTTGATTGCACCAAAATATAATAGAGGAAGAAGATGGAACATGTTTCCTATAAAACTAAAAATAAAATTGTAAACTTTGGGAAATACAGTGACCAAATTAAATTTTCGTGTAAAACCTAGTGACTGAAAAGGTATTTAACCCTTTAAATTTTCTTCTAGTTTTCACTCAAATAATTTTACAAGGTTTATTTTTTGGCCTGCAAATAATATTCTGCTAACAATGGTTGTGTGTGTGTGTGCACGTGCGCATGTGTGTGTGTGGGTATTTTAGACACTCGAATATAATCATGGTCATCGCATCAAACTACATATAGAATGAGGGACTGCTTTTCGCTCCACAATGAAGTAGGCATTGCAAAAAAATGTTGGGACGCAAACCTCAATGAAAGCAACAATTAATATGTAATTCACACACAAGCACGACGAGAGAGAAACAAAATTTACCCAAATTCTAGTACAACAATACTTAGTTACTTACCCACATGCACTAGAAACTTCTTCAAAATCAAAAGTGAAAACCTTTAATTGAAAATTTGTAAATTATATATATACTAAAATTGGATAACTTCAGTGTTACTAAAACTGGATAACTTCACTTTCCTAATGTGAAACCATAAACAAACACCTACTGATCAAATGAAACTACATGAGTTTCAGCAACAATGGCGATTCCTATCACCACACCCACCAACACATTGAACAACAACAAAAATAACACTTACACCTCTAAAACCCCACCTTTCAACAACCCCATTAAAACCCCTGAACAACGAAGACCAAGGACGGACCCAAAATTTCAAACTTGACTGGGCTAAATTTACTTTACATAATGCCTACATGAGTAAGGAAAGCACACTCTTTGCCACCAACTTTTCTCCAATTTCTAAATTCATCTACAGTGAATGCCTTATGTGAGTGATCAACGTCAAAAAGAAAGCATGAAAAACAAAACACTTTATCTTTATGAACAGTATACTCAAGCCAAGGATATTGGTTATACCAACTACCATTAAATCGACGCATTTGTTTCCCTTATAAGTGGGATGGATATTCCTTTAGTTTTGGTTGACATGGTCCTAAGAGAATATATGCTCTTCGAACATTATCATGTTGATTAGGCGGAAATGTGTCTATTTGGGGATGTAATCCCGGATCACACTTAAGAGAATTGGTATCAACTTCTTGATCAAAATTGGCTCTTTGAGACTCAGCTCTTAAACTTTCAAATTCAACTCTTTGAGATTCAGAATGAGGTTGCTCCTCACAAATTGGAGGAGGTAGAGAAGGGTTGGAACACATGCTAGTTGATTCTTCATTATTTCTTTATAAAAAAATCCCAAATAGTCTTTGATCTCTTAGGATTTGGATGATGATCCAACATTATAAAGTTAAAGTATAACATATTGGATAAGCAAGAATACCAAAATCAATTACAAATCCTATTTGATAATTCATAACTCATAAACTGAAATTGATAAGCTTCAATTGTAAATCAATAATTGATAAATAAATCATAAGTCTCAATTGCAAATCTGTAATTGATACTAAATAAAATCCAAAAAAAATCTCAAATTTCAACATCAACAAATTGAGAGAATCTTACCATACCTGACAAATATAGGAGCTTGGTTCACTTCTTGAATTAAGCCTTGAAGGTGAGTACAACAACAACAAGAGTGTTCCTTTATGTGTGCAAGGGTGCAATATGAGTTTGGTGGCAAAGTCAACAACTCTAAGAAAAAGTTAAAAAATTTCTTCTACTTTTCTTTCTTTTCTTTTTTTTTCCACCAGTTGTGTGCACTCTTTTTTCTTTTTCCTTTTTTTTTACTATGTGCTATAGGCTGTAGCTTTCCTATTCTCCTTTTCATTCCACATGTGCAAGGCAGTGCAAGCAAAGGAATCATAAGAAGGGTAGGATATTCAATTGGATGGCTGGCTGTGCAATAATTATTTTTTGGGTTGAGATTTTAAAAGCCACCTGGGATGTAGCCCAAGTTAGTGAAAGCTATGTTCCTTCCATCACGAAGACGCTTGGACACAACTTCTAAGAGCAAGTGCAGCGCTAGAGTCCTGCCATGGCAACAGGCCCCCCCAGGCCCCAATTCCACCTCTAGCGCAGAAAGGCCAGCCCAAGAAAGCCATGGGACCCATCAGCCCGGGCAAGCCCACAAGCATAAATGGACTGGGCTATTGCCCACAGGTTGCTAACATAAAAGCGCTAATAGTAAAAAAATTTGAAAATCAGCCGCTGACGTCAGTGTGATGTTAGTGCTGACCCACCAGCCCACATAACCCAATGGCTACAAGCCACATGGCTTCTCCTGGAGCCTCCGATCAAAAAAATCTTGCCCAATCCAACGACTGTCCAATTTTTTGCTAAAACAAATTGAAAAAAATATCAAAAAATTCTGGAAATTTTTTCTATAAATACCTACCAATATTATTCACTTTCCACACCAAATCTTCATACAAATTCATCTCTCTCCAATATTTTTCATTTTCCAAACCAAATTTTCAACTACAAAATTCCATTTGTGCAAAAATACAAATGGCCTCTTCCATTGAAGCCGGAGGGTCGTGGACAGACGTTCGAAGAGGTCAAAATCTTAGCGACGAGGTAAAAAAAAAGAAATTAATTGTCGTTTTATTCAATTTAATGTCATTTTTTATTATATATATTTCTTGCATTTCCAATTTCATTTTTTTTTAATAGATTATGCAAGGGAAAACAAAAAAGAGGAAAACCATTACACATGGCTCCTCAAGTGAACAATGCCCGCAGTTAGTTCCAGTGGTTCGTTCCGTGTCGGAAATAATGGCACTATTACGTCGTCTAAAAGAAAATACTCCCCCACGTCGTGATCCGGTGGAACCGTCTCCGCCAATGATTGAGTCGTCCTTGTACTCCATTGTGTCGGACCATGAGGACCATGAGTATTTCAATTATATGATGAGTGAGTAGGTATTTCAATTGTATGATGAGTGAGATATGAATTTTATAATAAATAGAGACACGTGACAGCTGAAAATCTTATCTGAAAATTTAATTTGAAAATTTTATCCGAAAATGTTATATGAATTTTTAGGTGATAATTTTAAGGTTTTTTAGGTTTTAGACATAAAAAAAAATTTCACTTTTGGAAAAAGCCAAAGCTTTTTCAAAAAAGACAAAAAAACCACTCAACTTTCAAATCAAAGACATGCAAATGTATTGGATTCCTTAGGAAATCTAAAAATAAATAAGGGCATTTTTGTCCATTTTTGCTTCTTTTAAAATTTTTCTCTCTCCTTTTGCTTTTTTCAAAATGTAATAAATATTGACACGTGGCAACCGGAAATATTATTTGAAAAACTTATCAAAATTAATGGTTTTAAGTATAAAAAATAGAAAATAAAGTAAAGTGAATAGTGTTTGCCCTTACCCTTGCCATTTGGGGTGGAACCAAAAAAGGCAAGACTGCCATTATTCACGTGAATAGTGTCAAACATTGCATTATCTTTGCCTTGCCCTTGCCTTTTGGGGTGGAGGTGCTCTAATAACACAGTGACTTTAACAGATGGGTTTTATACTTTGAAGCGAAAATAAATAAAAAGTAAGTAAATAGATAAAAACTTGAAGAAAAAAAAAAGTGATACATTTTTCTTTATTGGGACTAAGAAAGAGGAGCAGAGTCTTCTAGTCAGCTTAAAACTCAAATAAAAATGCCCGTCTTTTGTACTTGTCTCTTTTCCTCTAATGAATAAAATCATATCGCCTTCTCTGAAAAAAAATAAATAAATAAAACACAAATAAAAATAAAAGTAACAAAAACAAGAGACACCACTTATCCAACAATGTAATGGGTAACAATTTCTCTCTCATTAGCTGTCCACATAGTACAGAGAATACAAAAGGTCTTGAGTTTCAACTTGATAAAACATTGAAACTGAGGTTTGCCCTCTAATGAATAAACACTAAAAATATATAAGAAAAACAAGATTTCTTGAATTCTGATTATTCTGAAGCCAACTAGTAATTAGTCTGGGGTAGCTGCAATGAAGAAGGCTGTTGCTGCTGCTGTGGGTCTTGAGGAGAGGCCAAGTCACTATAACAAAATTGGATATAATCTTTCATCAAACCAACATCATTATGATCTTCCAATAGCCAACTCACATAATCATCAATGCTGCTCATGGTTGGTGAAGCAGCAGCAATATGAAGATCATCCAAAAAGAAACCATCCGAATTTGTGGTGGAATAATCTTCTTTTTGGTGATGAGGAACTTGATCAACAAGCAACATTGATTGTTGTTGATCTGGTGGATCTGGTAGCACACTAGTCCCCATGATATTCTCGTAGAATTCCATGAAACTGCAGGTACTAGTTGTTCTAGTTTTGGTACCACCACCATCCCTCATCATCACAACTCCAATTCTCTCATTCAAAGCCTCTAACATGGTCTCCAAGAAACTGTAATCAGTACCCTTTCTGGCCGAGAATGAACCCTTTTCAATTTTCTTTCCCAATTTCCCTAGATTCTTGTGTTTGAGAAGAATTGATTTCGCTTCTTGTCGGTTTTCCGGCCAGGTCTCGATTTCTCGGTTGGCCCCAACAGAGACCACGCAGACGGCAACGTCGCACAATGTCGAGAGTTCGCTGGCCTTTTTCTTCAGAGTGGACATTCTCCTGGCCAAGGCGGGTTTCAGAACAGAGCCACCATTGGGGTCGATTTTAAGAACCTGCGGCTTCATCTTTATCTTCATCTTCTTGGGTTTCTTGGATTTTAACTGAGGAGGAGCCATTAATGAATTCAACTCTGAAAGAGATCAACAATGGAAATAATGGAATTAAAAAAAACAAACAGCGAAGGAGTGAATAGCGAGAGAGGAGGGTAACGGGGTATATAAAGGATTTCTAAGTTGACCGATAGTTGACTCAAGGTTAATTGGAGCCGAAGCAATGCAATCCTAATTGTAGTTCTTTTTCTTTTTGAAATGGGAAATAAATAGTCTTTTTAGTTTGATGGAAGGCAACTCTAATCTCAAATTTATTTTTTTTTTGGGAGTCAAAACGATATTTCTATTAAGCACCTAAACCCTAGAGTTTGTTACAATTTTTTCATTAAAAAAATAATGTTGTTACAATTATTTGTGAGAACACGGTGAATAATTGTAACAAACTATCAATTGATAAACTCAAGGTTGTCCAATTATATTAAAATTGGTCATGCCAACGGGGTCTAGCCCAGTGTAAAAGGGTCTTGATTTGTTCACTAGTGGTCTTAGGTTCGAACCCCCATGGCTCCTTAGTAGTAAATGTGAGAATCCTTCCCTCCTTTTGTAGTTTAGACTATCTATTTTGTTAAATTTCAAGAAGTTCTAAGACGTATCATTGCACTACAAGATTTGGAAACAAAAATGGTCGACAACACAAGGCTTGAAACAAAGTGTGAAATTTAAATTGAAAATATAATGTAAAAAGGTTAACAAAACATCTATAAATTTTAAAAAATTTACGCCTCTTATTAGAATTTTTTTAAAAAAAAATCTTTGTTGATACAAGAGCGAGAAAATTATAGTTATTTTGTGGGGAGGCATAGCAAAGACTTTCGATGGAAAAGCTTTACAGCAATTAGTGCCACCAACATTTGTAGTTTTTACAAGCCTCAAAGTTAAAGAATTTGAGGGTATACAATTTATTTCTCCTTCTTTCTATCACCTATTCTTATTAAGCAGGCAAGATCTCTTTGTCTCTCTCTATTTGAGCATGTGGATAATGAACCCTAGGAGCTTAATATCTGTTTGCATCTAAAAGGAAATATAATTTAAAGATGATATTCTAAACTAATTACCAGTCTCTCAGCTGGAATGGTAGGAGTTTACTACTTATGTATAAGAGTGTTTAAGGTCACCCACTTAATAAGATTAGTACTTTTTATTGAAATCACTTGGGTTTCTGTGGAAAGTCGACATAAAGGCTAAAGTTTGAGGCCTTGTTCTATAATTATGCTGGATTGAAAATTTGGTGCATTTGTTCTTTCTTACAATGAAAATTTCATTTCATTATTTTGTTGTTGTTGAAAGGTTTGAGCATGAGGACAAAAGTGAAAATCTGTCTTGTAGATAAACAAAAGTTTAAGGGGAGATTGGCTACTCTCATTAGGGATGGCAACGGGTCGGGTAGGGGCTAGGTATAATAATTGAAAGCGTGCTAAGCGATATGTTATGCCAAGAGACATGCCATGCCAAGTAGGAAATTATTATTACACACCCAACCACGCTACAAGCCTAAGTGGGCCCAAGCCACTCGAATGCCCGGGGCTTGCTTGAATGGGTTGTGGCATAGATGGTAATAAATCAACATGAGGCCCATTGATGGGCCGAGAAATGGAAAGTCTCGAGTTGCTTAGGAGCCTCGAGACTCAAGCCCATTTCTTAGGCCTAAACATGTGGGTAAGCACAAGAGAGAAAAGTAGCCCAATAGCCCAAGCAAAATAACCTAACCAAAAATAACCCAACCAAAAAATAAGCCCAATTAAGAGGCCCGATGTTTAACAAAAAGCCCATTTGCTTAGGAAACCACCTTGGCCCATATAAAAATCCCAAAATAACCCACAAAAGCCTCAGCTCTTTTGAAAAAATAGAAAACACGTGAAGGAGGTTGGCAGACTCATTAAGCAAAGCTGCTGGGAGCAAGTTCCAAGCCAGAGACGCTCAAAGAACCAAGGAATACTGGCATGCATGCTGTCAGAAGCACCCCTTGGACCAGCATATATTTTCACTTCTTTTCCTTCATCAGATTTAGCCAAAGTAGGGGGAAGGAAAGAAGAAAAAACAGTAGCCAAGAATGGAAGTTCCCACTGCACAGCTGCGGGAAAGGGGGACGTTGAGCTCCCAAATCTCTTGAATGAATTCGTGCAAATAGACAGAGGCAATTTTTGCCAAGATAGGGAAGTCAGAGAAGAGGAGGAGAAAGGAGGAAAAAGACTTGACAAAATGGGAAGGAAACCATTAGGGTTTCTTGGAAAATGTCAGCTTCCAGCGGCTATAAATTGAGGCCTTTTCTACCCAACGGAGGCAACCCACATCCAGAGAGCAAGCTTCATCTCTCACCATGAAATCTCTGCAATTTCGTGCCCTAATCCTCCATCTCCTCCCACTTTCCATTCTGCCATGCCATTCTAAAGTCTGACATAGCTTTTATCAGGCTGCTGGAAACTTACCCAAACCACCAAATACTTCACCATTAGCCACAACTCAGACCCAGAGAGCAAGCTTTCTCTCTAACTTACAAAAACCTAGCAATCTTGTGCACTGTTCATCTTCTTCTCCGTTTTGCTCTTCTGGCAGCTGCCGGAAGAACTCTGCTCTTCATTTTCCCTTTCCTAACCAAATCTCTTACAAAACTTCTCCTTCCTTACCCTAACACTTCCTTTTCCCTAAAAGCAAGCCTAAATTTTCTCTTAGTGCTAAACTCATGTTGATTTTGCTCACATGCCACATGTCACTCTCGCTGAACTTGAGAGTTTATCTGTAAGCATGAAGAAATTACCTGTAAGCTGCCATTATTTTGGTTAGTGAAAATAACCAAAATACTTCCTAAGGCTCTACTGTCCTTTCGAGGTATTTTGGGGCCTAATTTTCGAACTCAGGCAGAGGAGACAATTTCATCAGTCTGCCCTTTTACAGCAGCCCAGCCCATTTGCAGCTACTGGAGGAAAAAGTCCCCTACACCAATATGAAATTCCAGAGAATATTAGGAAGAATTAAGAGAGGGAAGTTAATTTGGGGTTAAACATAAATATTATAATTACATATTTATTCATTTATTTATTTAAATGTAAACATATATATTTTCGGGTTGGGTTCGGGGATGGGGACGCCAATACCATCCCCTCCCCGTACATGTCGGAGATTTTTTAAGTTCGAGAATTCTCGTACCCGATTCCCGTTTGGTTTAGAAATCTTCCTCTATTCGGGTCAGAGACCCGATGGGTACCTGCTTGCGGGGATTTTTGCCATCCCACCAATGCCAAGGCAAACCCGCAACCTCGAACCATAAAAACTTACGGTGAAATCTTTCTTTAACCTGCCATAAAATTGATAAAAGAGAGTAGACAAAAAAAACAAAGAATCAAATTCAAAATTAAAAGAAACCGCCTACCAATATACATACCTATAGCTATTAACTAATTTGGACTTCAGTCTTCATCGAATCATTGAGTGGAGGCAGTGGGCTTTATTTTCTAATTTTCTTACGAGTAATGCTACACTTACCACATTTTTTATCTCATATTTCTATACCACATGATGTGACATGTCCATATTATATGGAGTAATGCTAGGCTTACCACATTTTTCATACCACAATTGTACCACCTCTCTAATAGAGGTGGAGCCCACCAATACAATGGGGCCCACCTCTATTAGAGAGGTGGTACAATTGTGGTATGAAAAATGTGGTAAACCTAGCATTTTCCTATTATATGTCACATCAATTAAATCAATGAAGTGTATTTTAATTAAGACAATTAGAAAAACAAATATTGTAATAAATCATAAAAGAAAATAAAATATTAAATGATTTTAATTGATGTGGCTATCCACCGCAGCTGCCACATAAGATGGTATAGGGATGTGGTATACAAATGTGGTAAAAGTAACATTATTATTTTCTTAAACTATAATAAAAATAATAAAATATAAAATATTGAATTGAATAGTTGTTGGAGTCTTCCTTTCTTAAATCATTTTGGGCTTGGGCTTCGTGTTAGAAAGAGAAACAAATCAAGAAAATAAATTAAAAACCCACAAGTAGTACAAGTTGTGGGCTCAAGCGACTTCAACAAGACAATGAATCATTAATATGGTAGTTGATCATATGGCTTTATCGACATGTTTTTCACGAGGTAAATTTGGCATATGATGTTCTTGCAAATCTATCTAGGTCATAACAATTCTTCGCCTCATATTTGGTATCTGATGCTCTTGTTCTTGCTAATCTGGGTTATAACAATTCTTCGCCCGCATTCGGTTTACCAATCTTCCTTTGGGTGACTTGTAAAGTTCGTTTGATACAAGAGCGAGAAAATTATAGTTATTTTGTGGGGTGACATAATAAAGACTTTCGATGGAAAAGCTTTACAGCAGTTAGTGCCACTTACATTTGTGGTTTTTACAAGCCTCAAAGTTAAATAATTTGAGGATATACAATTTATTTCTCCTTCTTTCTATCAGGGGCGGCCCTGGGGTGGTGCAAGTGGCGTCACCGCACAGGGCCCCCGAAAAAAAAATTCTTTATATTATATATATTAATATTGTAGGAATTGTATATATATATATATAGTATAGCGTGCTAGACATTTGCAAAAAGGCGTCTTTGGTGGAGTTGGCTCCAGCGCTTCTCCATTTAACGAAGCGCTAGAGTTTGAATCTTATTGCCCGCAAGGCGGTCTATTTGCTGCTTTTATATTATTTTTGCATTATAACTAAAAACTTTACATAATTATTAAAAAAATTAAAAAACAAAAACAAAAAGCCTTCAAAATAAAAGGAAACACAGGAGGCCTGAAAAAAATAATAATAATAAAAAGCTAACCACAGGAGGAGTGTATATATCCCCCAAACATTTTCTACTCCTTACGTATCAATCGTTATTTAAAAAAAAAATTATAAAAAAAAAACGTTTTCTCCTCTAAGAAAAGTATTTTCTTCATTCAAAACAAAACAAAAAAAAACTCCATGGCTTCTTCTTTCTCTTAAACTCTGATTTTCTAGTAAGTAATCATCATCATTCATCAACCTCTCTTTGGTTCTTTTTCCAATCCTCGTTTGACAATTTTTGTTATTATTTCAATTTCAGGAATTTCAACACCAAAAAGAGAAAACCCTAATTCCTAAATTTATAAAGACCACTCAAAATCAAATAGTCAGATTCAAATTTCAGGAATTTGTGTGCAACTACTCTTTAATTTGTGATTGCCAATTGTTTTTCCTATTAAATTGCTTATTGGAGGTAGCTATGGACCTTGTAGGGGCACAAGGAGCTTATTTTTGTACCAAACATTTAATTTTATCAAATAGAAACATTGAAATTTTTATGAATTTGATTTCTAATTGTCATTACATATTTATTCATGGTGACTTTTAGTTATAAAAAAAATTGTTTATGACATTAAGTTATGGCAAATTTGTATTCATTTTATTTTCATATTAGATGTGAGGCCCCAATTTAAGTTTCGCACAGGGCCCTCAAAATATCAGGGACGGCCCTGTTTTCTATTACCTATTCTTATTAAGTAGGCAAGATCTCTATGTCTCTCTCTATTTGAGCATGTGGATAATGAACCCTCGGAGTTTAATATATGTTTGCATCTAAAAGGAAATATGATTTAGAGATGATAATCTAAACTAATCGACTAGTCTCTTAGCTGGAAGGTGAAGATGGTTGCTTCAATATAAGATCATCCAAACAAAAAATCTAATTTAACACTGTATAAAATATGTAGAAACATACTCACCATATGTTTTTTATTTCGCTAAGAAAACGCAAGAAAAAAAAACACAACATTTCATCTTTTTAAACATTTTACTATTGTTTTGTGGGTAGGAGTTCACAAATTATGCTTATTAGAGCGTTTAAGGTCACCCACTTTATAAAATTAGTACTTTTTATTGAAATCACTTGGGTTTCTGTGGAAACTCGACATAAAGGCTAAAGTTTGAGTGTCTTTTTTTTTGTCGGAAAAATGATTTGAAGGCTAAAGTTTGAGTCTTTGTTCTATAATTATGCTAGATTGAAATTTTGGTGCCTTTGTTTTTTCTTACAATGAAAATTTTTCATTTCATTATCTTTTTTTTGTTATTGAAAGGTTTGAGCATGAGGACAAAGGTGAAAGTCTCTCATGTAGATAAACAAAAGTTTAGGGAGAGATTGACTACTCTTACCACTAGCGCCAGAATAGACCCAAAATCTCGAGTCGGAAGAACTTACAGTGAATATTTCTCTTTAGCCTGCCATAAAATTGATAAAAGAGAATAGACAAAAAAACAAAGAATCAAATTCAAAATTAAAAGAAACCGCCAACCACTATATCTATGGCTATTAACTAATTTGGACTTCAGTCTTCATTGAATCATTGAGTGGTGCTTCTTTTTCAGGAACTATAATAAAAATAATAAGATATAAAATATTGAATTGAATAGTTGTTGGGAGTCTTCCTTTCTTAAATCATTTGGGGCTTGGGCTTCATGTTAGAAGAAGAAACAAATCAAGCAAAGAAATTAGAACCCCACAAAAGAAGTAGTACAAGTTGTGGGCTCAAAGGACTGCAACAAGACAATGAATCATTAATATGGTAGTTGATCATAGGGCTTTATCAACATGTTTTTCACCAGGTAAATTTGGTATCTCATCTTCTTGCTAAAAAAATAAAGAAAAGGATAATATTGTAGTAGTAGGTAAAGGGCAGTGATCTTTGCTGCCACGTCAGCAAGTGGTTGGTAAAAAGCCTGCCTTGGAAAAAGTATCTCAACCAAATTGGCTTGGCCCCCACCACCACCACCACCATCCAGACCCACTCTCACCAACCCAACCCCATATACACATACTCATAATACTTCCTCATCCAATCACCAACCCCAATACTTTTCTCCAAATTTCCATTCTCCCACTTTTGCCCCCGTAACATTTACATAATGCCATCTCTCTCCCTCCACCAACCTCACCCACCCCTTCCGCCTAATCCCACTTGTATATGAACATCCCCTTCCCATACGCACCAATTAAGCTCAAATCCATTTTTCTTGTCTTTATTTTCTCTTCTCTTTGAAACGTCTCAATTTCATTTTTATTTTTCCAATGGCAATAGAAACAACACCGAACGACATCGTTTACCGCTCCAAACTCCCCGACATCCCCATCCCAAAACACCTCCCTCTCCATTCTTATGTCTTCCAAGACAAGCACCACTTGAGCTCCAAGCCCTGCATCATCAATGGCACCACCGGTGACATCTATTCGTACGCCGATGTGGAGCTCAAAGCGCGAAGAGTCGCCTCCGGGCTCAACAAGCTCGGAGTCCAACAGGGCGACGTCATCATGCTCTTGCTCCCCAACTCCCCGGAATACGTCTTCGCCTTCCTCGGAGCTTCTTTTCGCGGGGCCATGACGACCGCAGCGAACCCTTTCTTCACTCCCGCGGAGATCCTAAAGCAAGCCAAAGCCTCAAAGGCGAAGCTCATCATCACCTTGGCATGTTACTACGACAAAGTGAAGGACTTATCATCATCATCATCATCAGCCGGTCAGGGTGATGTTCATGATATTAAGCTCATGTGCGTCGACTCTCCACCTGATCCCAGCTGCTTGCATTTCTCTGAGCTTCTCCAAGCGGATGAAAACGACATGCCGGAGGTTGACATCGACCCAAACGACGTCGTCGCCTTGCCATACTCGTCCGGGACGACGGGGTTGCCGAAAGGGGTGATGTTAACCCACAAGGGGCTCGTCACCAGCGTGGCCCAACAGGTGGATGGGGAGAATCCCAATTTGTACTATAGCAGTGACGACGTCGTTTTGTGCGTGCTCCCCCTTTTCCATATTTATTCTTTGAACTCGGTGTTGCTTTGTGGACTAAGAGCTGGAGCTGCCATTTTGATGATGAACAAGTTCGAGATTGTTTCTCTGTTGGGGTTGATCGAGAAGCACAAGGTTAGTATTGCCCCCATCGTGCCGCCGATCGTGCTGGCGATCGCCAAGTTCCCCGATCTCGACAAGTACGACTTGTCGTCGATTCGGGTGCTCAAGTGTGGAGGGGCACCTCTGGGGAAGGAGCTTGAGGATACTGTGAGAGCCAAGTTTCCTAATGTCACGCTTGGTCAGGTATGTACACAATTAATTTAGGCAGATTCAGAATCACAAATTTAAGTACTTATCTTTATTTATCTCTATCTCTAGTTATATTTTTGAAACGACGTCGTTTTATAGATTTTAAGTCAAAGTATGCTTTGTAGATTTAGAATCACAAATTCAAGTACTTAAATTTGCTTTTGAAGTCGCTTCCCCTCTGATTTTTGCAAAGATAAGAAAAGTATAAATTATTGGTGGTGGGTTGCACAGATTTGACTCGTACGTTATGACAGATTAATGTCATGCCGACCACAAATGCGGAACAACAAATTTATCTTAATTTGTAGGGTGATAGCCGGTGAGTTCGGAATATAAACCAACCAATAAGCATGACATGAGGGAGATTTAACTGTGTTATGAATTTAGATTCGTTTACCTACCACTTTGAGTCATTGACATGTGACAAGTTTTAGAATATATAATTATTTTTGAATAATGTTACAAAATTACATTTGAATATCATATAACGTGACAAGTAATACGTGCATGTCATGTTAATTAATGATTTTTTTACTGAATATTGGTTATAACCCATTTAATAGTGTAATCCAAATTAATATCCGTCTGGCCAATACATTTTGGTTCATTTGGGAGACTTTTCAAGTTCTAATCATGATGAAGCATCTTTAATTAGTTTAATAATCATTGTTAGGTTGAAATTAATGGGTCCAAAATGAATGATATGTGCAGGGTTATGGAATGACAGAGGCAGGCCCAGTGTTGACAATGTCATTGGCATTTGCCAAGCAACCCTTTGAGGTGAAGCCAGGGGGATGTGGCACTGTCGTCAGAAATGCACGACTCAAGATCGTTGACCCTGAAACTGGAGCTTCTTTGCCACGCAACCAGCCTGGAGAGATTTGCATTAGAGGTGACCAAATCATGAAAGGTATGCCTTGCCTTCAACTGCTTCGTATTTTTATATGATTTAAGCAAATGAGTAGTCAAAAATGTTGAATAGCGTGATTAATAAAAAAATTCCATAGCTTTACCAAAGTTATTTAGAATGTGACAAATGTGAGTTAGGTCAGTTAGTTAGGGCAGTGAGTCCGTCCCCTTATACTCAAGTTCGAGTCTCCCTCATTATTAATTAATGAATTTGATTGACTTTCATAAATTAATCTCAGGTTATCTTAATGATCCCGAGTCCACAAGGGCAACCATAGACAAGGAAGGTTGGCTACATACAGGCGATATAGGCTTCGTTGATGATGACGAAGAGCTCTTCATTGTTGATCGGTTGAAGGAACTCATCAAATACAAAGGGTTTCAAGTGGCCCCTGCTGAGCTTGAAGCCTTGCTCGTTACCCATCCTAGTGTTTCTGATGCTGCTGTTGTCCCGTAAGTCATTAATTTATGACGAATACTGGAATTGAACGCACTTCTTTTTTTCCATCTTAAAATTCACGTGCATTTTGTAAAAAAAATAAAATTATATATAACCGGTACATACAATAATTGTTTTGACATTATATATAACATGATTTCAGAATGAAGGATGAGGCCGCTGGAGAAGTTCCGGTTGCATTTGTAGTAAAGTCAAAAAATGCTCAGATCACTGAGGATGAAATCAAGCAATTTATCTCAAAACAGGTAACTTTCTTTTTTTTCCTGCAGTAATTTAATGTTTTTTTTAGTGCTAAAAATTGTTCTTTCTATCATGGGCTGCATCAATCTGCTGTTGGATTTTATTAGGGCAGGTTGGTTGCCTAATTGGCCTGGTTGAGTATGAATTGCCACTAATATTTTTTGTCTTTGCACGCAGGTTGTATTTTATAAGAGATTAAATCGAGTATTTTTCATTGAAGCCATTCCAAAGTCGCCATCTGGCAAAATCTTGCGGAAGGACTTGAGAGCAAAGCTTGCTACTGGGTTTCCAAATTGAGTCCTGCCCTGCATATTTGAAGGAAGGGCTTGCATGTACTTATCATAAAGGGCTTGATTGAAGTCATTAATATGAAATGTTGTAATGAGATTCCTCAATTATATTGTGGATAAGTGACGAACTACAAAGTACTTTATGTTAAGCTTAATTGACAAAGTACTTTATGTTAATCTTAAAGTTCATTCATCCATAATTTTATTGTTCATTCATATTATAACATGTGAACTAACTATACAATGTAGTCATTCTAGTGCTGTATAATAATTTATCAAATTTAAGAAATAAAAAAAATAAAAGAATAGGTTAGAAGAAGTTTGAAATTTTATAGAAATTCTTCAGATATTTTTTGAACAATTAAAAGATTAATCATAAAAATTTAAAACTGGAAAAACAAAAGAAATAAAAAAGGGAAGAGGAAAATGTAGGAAATGTCACATCCCAGGATCGGCTCCGCCGCAACACGATATTGTCCGCTTCGGGCCCCCCCTCTCTGCCCTCATAGTTTTGTTTCTAGGAGCTCACGAGCAACTTCCTAGTGGGTCACCCATCCTGGGATTGCTCTAGCCTCAACTCGCTTAACTTTTGAGTTCCCATGACTCCGAAGTCAGTGAGCTCCCAAAAGGCTTCGTGCTAGATGGATGCGAGCATGTACATATAAGACACATCACCATTTCTCCGTTGGTCGATGTGGGATGTTACAATCCACCCCCCTTAGGGGCCTGACGTCCTCGTCGGCACACTAGCACCACACGGCAAAGTGGCTCTGATACCAAATTGTCACATCCCAAGATCGGCTCCGCCGTAGCATGATATTGTGAGCCCCCCCCTCTGCCCTCACGGTTTTGTTTTTGGGAGCTCACGAGCAACTTCCCAATGGGTCAACCATCCTGGGATTGCTCTAGCCTCAACTCGCTTAACTTCGAAGTTCTCATGACTCCGAAGCCAGTGAGCTCTCAAAAGGCCTAGTGCTAGATGGAGGCGAGCATGTACATATAAGGCACATCACCTTCTCTACGTTGGTCGATGTGGGATGTTACAGGAAACCCGTTAACTTGAGAACCGGTTAACACGTTAAAAAAGGATTAATTACCATTTCACCCCCTGAAACGGGAGCTCAGTCTCACTTTACCTCTGAAACTGAAAATTTCTCACTTAACCCCCATAATCTCTAAAAATTGCACAAATTTTCTCACTTTACTACTTCCGTCCACAAACCATTAAGTGTGCTTATGTTGGCATGAGTATTTAGTAAATTTAGCTATTAAAAACTTTAAAATCCAAAATCAATATAAAAAACATATTTAAAATTTTTGAAATTTATTTTAGGGTTGTTTGTAGTATATATGACCGGCCTCTTATGCCATGACACGTGGAAAGGACCTGACACTAAGCAGCTCCTTGTAACCCACGTTGGCCAGCCAATCTTACAATTAATAGGTGCTCTCCACACTCACGACTGATTCCTTGCCCAGCACAACCCAATAGCCCACGTTGGAAAGCCGAGCCTCACAATCAGTAGGTGGCCTCAGCAACCATAACTGATTGCACACTGACTAGCCTTATCTCACAGGCTAACAGTGGACAGTTGGCAAGGACCCTCGGTACCCCCTGCCGATTCAGCCTTCGGGAAGGTATCTTGCAAGAATCTCTCGAGTTCCTCATTAGCATATTCGCTAGGACACGTGGCAGCCTCCCAGGTTACTCCCACGAGTCACACATCAAAATTTCACACCAAGAGGACACATAAAACCTCTATAAATAAAGTCGTTTGCCCTCAGGTTGTAGGGTAACAGCTACTTGACTCTTATGCCCTTGCTTTGTCAATAGTAAACTTACTCTCTTTTGGCTAACTTTAGCATCGGAGGGCTTTCGGCCGGTATCACATTGGTGCCTTAGGTCTTACCCATTGCTTTCTTCATTCTGTGTGTGCAGATAACGATTAACTTGCTGAAGGCAGATATGATCCCTTAATCACCCACCTCATGTCTAAGTTGGGCCAACTACTACCTGTCTAGTTTTGAGCACCAACAAAATGACGTTGTCTATGAGAACCGTCACTGATTGACCCATATCTTTGTTGAGCGAAGATGAATCCACTTTCATACCTCACACTCGATGGCCCTATCCTCAGCCTTAACAGTGGAGCAAGCCTCGCTTCTTCACCCATCATGCCGTGGTTGGAGACATTTGCCTGGTAAAGTAATGCCGAAGCCAACCTCTTGGCTCAAGTAGAATCCATACAATAGGACATGGCAAAGATGTAAGAGCACAACAACATCCTCTCTTTCAAACTTGACAACACTCAGAGGCAACTCTATGAGTAGCAGACACATTCGACCGAACTGCAGAACGACCTTGAACAAACCATGCAACATCAGAATGAGCAGTCGATTAGGAGTGTGCCCAACCCCAGTGGCCATGATAGGGGAAAGCAATTGGTAGTCGACAAACCTTCCACTGCCCGACGCCTATTCATGCCCTCTCTAAAGGAACAACACCAGGAATTTTGAGTCTGCTCAAACTGTCGAGACAGATTAGATGACCAACGCGAGCAAAGACAGCCATAGCTGATCTAAATCAATGCCAAACTCAACGATCGGTACCTGGACGTGCTCTGTCTGAAGTCACCACTATGCCGAAGCTACGAAGCGCTCGGCTTAAAAGAGACATACAAGTCAGATTACGTACTTACCTCCCCCGAAACCACTTTCTCCTGCCGTTTGGAAAGACCAAAACCTTCTCAACAGGATCGTAACCACTGCGAAACGATAGGTGACAAAACTGGGAAGACGGAGACAATGGTAGGAACACTACTGAACGGAAAGCCATGCAGACCAAATGTGCAACGCTTGCTAGCTATCACCTTGCCGTTCGACAAGTTGCGTATACAATGATCCGCCATCTACCGATCCCTTTAGTTTGACTTCTTTTTTACAAGGTCAGACTGATCGAAGAGGAACATAACAAGTCTCAATAGCTAACCTCGAAAAACTCCAGTCTAGGCCATTCTCCGATCAGATCAGAACCCACAGTGGCGATGGTGGTGGTCGGTTGGGTTTGACAGTGGTGGCTCGATTTGGTATGGGTAGGTAGCTGGTGGGCTTGATTGGATGGTGGTGGTCTGATTTGGTATGGGTGAGGTTGTTGGTGAGTATGATAGAGTGGTAGTAGTTAGATTTTGTGTGGGTGGTGATTTTGCTAGTGTGGATAGGGTTTGACTGGGTAGATGTAACAACAAGGTTTAGTGGTGGTTCTAACAGTGGCGGTGGTGGTGGTCTGACTGGGTGATGGGTTTGATGATGGATGATGTGGCTAGTTTGGTTGTGATTGTGGTGGAAGCGGCTAGTTTGGTTGTGATGGTGGTTGGTGTCACATCCCGGGATTGGCTCCGCCTTAGCACGATATTGTCCGCTTTGGTCCCCCCTCTTTGTCTTTACAGTTTTATTTTTAGGAACTCACGAGCAACTTCCCAGTGAGTTACCCATCCTGAGATTGCTCTAGTCCCAACTCGCTTAACTTCGGAGTTCCCATGACTCCAAAGCCAGTGAGCTCCCAAAAGGCCTCGTGCTAGATGGAGGCGGGCATGTACATATAAGGTACATCATGCCCTCTCTGTTGGTTGATGTGGGATGTTATAGTTGGGGGGAGGGAGGTGGGTTTGATTGAATCCTTGAAAAATGTTTTCGTATTTAAAACCCTAAAAATAAAAACAAAATTTTGGTTTTTTTATTTATTTAAAAAATATGTAATTTGGATTTTAAAATGTTTAATAGCTAAATTATTAAAATTCCCCTGCCACGTTAGCACACTTAACAGTTTGTGGATAAAAAATGGACAAAAGTGGTAAAGTGAGAAATTTTCAACAATTTATAGAGATTTTGGGGGGTTAAGTGAGAAAATTTCAGTTTCATAGGGTAAAGTGAGACCAAACGTTTGTTCCACGGAGTGAAACAGTAATTAAGCCTAAAAAAACGTTGTATCAGTACACTAAGTGCACTATAGATGGTGCGCCGCCAAACTCAGTGTTAGGTTATGTTTAGCTAAGGCTTTTAGCTTCCCTTGACAACTTTGTAATTCACATGTAATACATCAAGCTCTAGGTTAATTAGACTAGAATAGTCTAGTTGAAGATGATTACTGTGGCTAAGATCAACAGTGGGACGATATAATCAAGATCTTCAAAGGGAAATCATGCATTGCATATATATATATATATATTAGGATATATCGAGTTGAAGTGATGCCTAAACATCTGTTATTGCCAGCTCATTGCTAGCTCATTTAATTTCTTAAGTGTTACCAGCTGTAGATTTTCTGTCCTGTTGATTTTTTTTGCCTTATTATCAAGCCAAAGAGTGGTTGCCAGTTGGGGAAATTTAGGGCAGACTACTTTTTGGGTAAAAAGGGAGGCTACAACAGTGTAGCTGTCACTTTGACAATAAGAGAATATTGAGAGACTTTCTTCTCTGCTTTTCTTCCTTCTTTGTGACGTCTGGGTTTCCATTATGATATTTTGAAAAATTGTTTTTTAAAATCTGCTTTGATATTTGAAATCCTCTTCGCTCATTCATTCATCATTTTTGAGAGAGAGAAAAAGGGTCTTCTTCTTCTTTTCCTCTACAAATGGCTAGATGAGTAAAGTATGAGGTTTTTTCAAAAAGGGATTTTTGAAATAATTTTTATATCTGCTTCTGGGTTTTTGAAATCTACTTCATGCATTGAGAATTTTTGAGAGCTTATTCATGCTTTGCATTTTCAAGATGTGTGAGGTCAAGGTTTCCAAAATGAGATTTTCAAATTGTGTTTGAAATCAGCTTTGTTTTAAAAAAAAAATGCATCTAGGGAAATTAAACACATTCTCATTCATATCTTGATCAAATTCTTGGATGACGGGTCCTTTTGAGTGCCTAGGTTGTCACGTAGTTATCTTTAGGGGTGGGCACGGTTCGGTTTAGCCTGATTTTTAGTCAAAATTAGAACTGAAATCGTACTGTACATTCGGTCCGGTCCGGTCCGATTTTAAAGAAAATTTAATTGCTCAACCTAACCAATTTGGTTCGGTTCTGGTTTTCCCTGTTTGGACCGGCAAACAATCCCAACTCTTTTTTTGTTTTTGTTTTCCCAGATCTACATCAGATCTACAATCCCAGCTCTATTTTTTTTTCCCAGATCTACATTAGATCTACAATCCTAGCTCTGTTTTGTTTTTGTATTTTTCCTAAATCTACATCAGATCTACAATCTCGCTGTATAATGAAACAAGTCCCCAAGATCTACAAGATTCTGTCTTGGCAGCGTGCTCAGAAAAGGAGAGAGACTTTAGGGAGAGAGCTGAAGCTATGCTGGCTCGTGCAAGTAGCTGGGCTCGGATGCATGTGGGGACTGGAGCCAGTGGAAGGCGATGGAGGTACAGGGGATGTGTTGTGGTAGCAGGAGTAGGAGAGGAAAATACAAGGTCGACAGCAGAAGAAAAAAAAAGAGTTGGCATCACTAGGGCTAGAATCGGTTCGGTAACCGAACCGATGAGCACAGACCGATGACCGACCGAGCCAAAATTAAAACCGCCGCCGACCGATGTGGAGTCGGTTCTCTGACGGTCAGTAATACCGCACGTAGCGGTCGGGTCGGTCCGGTATTGGGCCTACCGAAACAAGCAGATTGGGCTTTTTTGACCTAAAATATTTAGCCCGCTTTACATTTTTTGGACTGCAATTTCATACCCAAAATTACTTACCTCTCTTGTGTTATGTTTGTTTGCAGGTAGAAGAGGCGTCGTCGGCGAGAAAGAGAGGTACGGAGAGGGAGAGAGAGAGAGAGAAAGAGAGAACGGAATAGAGAGGGAGAGATGGAGATGGGGAGAGATGGGGAGGACGACGACTTGGAGAGGTGGCGACGGCTTGATTCCGTCTTGGACATGCGTCAATTTTTCTGAGACAGAGAGAGGGTGAGGCTGAGGAGGTCGCTAGCTTGGCTAAGTGAGAGAGAGGGAGGCGTCGGTCGAATGGGTTTGGAGGAGAGAAAGAAGAGACAGACTTAGAGTTAGAGATTTGGACGGTTCAGATTTTCGGAGTTTTTTTAAAAATACAAATCAATGGTCTACATTAATAGTATATAAAAAAAATTAAAAAATATATAATTTTAATTATATCGGGTCAGTTCGGTATACCGTCGGGTCTCAACTTTGATACCGCTTCGACAACCGACGTTATCGGCTCGGCCCAAAATACCGGCACAATACCGACCGACTCCGCCAAAGTTGGTGTTTCGGCCCAAATTTTCCAGTCGGTTTGGTTGGTTTCTCGGTTTGTCGGGAGAAAATCCCAGCCCTAGGCATCACATAGGAGAGAAAAGAAGAAGAAGAAATAAAGAAGAAGAAAAAAGAGAGAAGAAAAGTCGCAGCCATAGGAGAGAAAAGAAGAAGAAAAGAAAAAGAAAAAGGAAAAAAAGAGAGAGAAGAAAAGTCGGCAGCATAGAGAGGAGAGAAAAGAAGAAGAAAAATGAAAGAAGAAAAGTTGGCAACATAGAGAGGAGAGAAAAGAAGAAAGAGAAAAATAAAGAAGAAGTAGGAAAAAAATATAGAGAAGAAAAGTTGGCAGAGGAAAGAAGAAGAAGAATAAGAAGAATAAAATCAACTTTTGGAAAGAGAGATGATGGAGGGGACAGCTAGGGTAAGAGAAATGGTTAAGAGCATTTCCAACAGTTAGCCCTAGGGCAGCTACTATTCATGTGAATAGTGACTGCCCTAGCCCCCCAACAAAGTGTGTTTCTAGCAGTTGACCTTTGCTATGACAAATACTATTCATTTTTTATTTTTTTCACAACTTTGTTTACTTAAACAATTAATTTGGTTAATATTTTCAGATAAGATTTTATTTTATTAGTTGTATTTTATTTTATTAGTTGTATTGGTTGGTATTTATAGAAAAAAATGTATGAGGATTTGGTGTTAAAAGTGAAGAGTATTGGTTGGTATTTATAGACACTGGTGGATCTAGAATTTTTTTAGCGGAGGTGCAATATTGACTAAGTATGAAAAATGGTTTTTCGGAATAATCATTTTCTCAAGATAATTTTTGGCGGCTTTTATTCCTTACACATCAAATAAGAAAACTTGATTTTATAGGATTTTAGTATGAAGTATATATTGACTTAATGAGCCATCATTTTTAGCCTAAATCGTATTTTGCACTAAAACCGATTGTTCATATTTGATTTGGTGGGAATTTGATTTTCTAGTATTTTTATGTGAATCCAAATTGGGGGTACTTCCTTATTTACATTGTAAACTTAAGTAAAAGGACAAAGACATTTACTTAAATGTTGAAAATGGAAATAAGGTATAGAGAAGAAAAAAAAATAGTAATTTTTTGGTATTTTTTTCCCTTTTTTTTCATTTTTTTATTGCACAAACATTTGCTGCCGTTGGATTGCTAGAAAAAATATGATCGGAGAGCCCAGCGCGCGCCACGTGGACAAGGGCACTGTAGCGGCGTGTTCAAATTTTTTTTATTGTTGGCGCGTGCATTGCACGCCTTAACGTTAAAAAAAATTTGAGAGCCCGCGTTGACGTCAGCTCAGCCCACAGGCTGGAGCTCGGGCCAGCCTTCCCCTTTGGCCAGCCCAGTTCGCTAGGTCCCACTCCTTGCCCGGGCCAAATTTTGTTGCTGGAAACACCATTTTGGGCTTGCCCCCCAGCCCTCTCCTCGGTCCCCTTGCTAGAAGTGCTCTAAGGGAGAGTGGTACAAATAAATATAAAGAGTTGGGCCTTGTTAAGAAATAGAGTTGTGCTGTGAGATGGTTAAAAATAAAGTTGGGCCTGTTTATTTATTTGATTTTTAGTGGAGTTGGGCTTGCTGAAAATGTTTAACAATATCTAATTACATATATTTTAATTTGACCGGTCCGGTTCAGCCCGGTCTGATTTTTAAAAGCATGAAATCGGAACCAAAATCGGTTAGAATCGGTCTGGTTCAGTTTTTTGACTGGTTGTTGACTTTTTGATCAACTCGATTTTTTCCTTTTTTTTTGGGTATTGTTTGGCTCGGATTTCTGGTTTGCCGGTTTGAATGCCCACCCCTAGTTATCTTCTAGGCTTGTAGGGATTTGAATATTTGATATGTTGTGTATATGTGTTATGCTTATATGTTCATAGGTCTGTGACTAGTTGTTGACTAGTCATATTGTCTCCAAGTTTATTTAAACATTGTTGTTATACGTCTATCCATTGAGGTTTTAATTTACCTCATTCATCTAAGTACCAACCTCACTTATTCCCACCAAAAACTCCTAACCCAACTCCAATATCTTTGTGAGAGGCTATGGTGTCGCTCTCTTTAGCGATCTCTAGTCCAGGCCACACTCTCTCCCCTAACGATGTCAAGCCCAAGAAGATTTGCTACTCTCAATGCCATACATTCTTTCTCCCTCCTCATCGCTCTCCTATTTGCAATGATTCCTTTTCTGTTTGTTTCTCGAGAAAATGGAAGGGCTTTCTATCTAAAAATAAAATTTAAACTCTTTTTCCATATTGATTTTTTGTTTTACCATTTTGCTGGAGCTTAAGACTTAAGTATGCAATAGACTGCTGTAACAAGTCTGGAGTTTCACTTCTTTTCACTTCAGGCATTGATAACAATTTTCTGCCTTGGTGCTTTTGTCTTGGGACCTTAGGTCCGAATCTGTTGTTTTCGTAGTATGACTAGTTTTTTTTTCCTCTCTCGTGGAGAAGTTCCTATAGACGGTTGCTTAACATCCGGTGAAGTCATTATGAATTTTTTTTGGGAGATATTTAGTGATATACTCATTCTTAGCACTAATAATATAAATAAACCATACACAATTGAATTTCTATAAACAAACCCAAAAAATAACAGCTGACCCTATTGAATTTAAGTTTGATTATTAAATTACCCTTTGATATATTTTGGTTTTTTTTTTTTTTTTTTTTTTTTTTTTTTTTAATGAGTTTTGGGGTTGGGCTTGTTTTAAGAAATTGATGACATTTTTGTAATGTATAAGAAGTTAAAGGCTCTTGGTTATATTGTAAATGGGCTTTGGGTGTGTTTCTAAAATCCATTTCATATGGTATTTTTATAATTTGGGCTCATATATTGGGTATAATAGTGAATCTCCCTCTTCTTCTTTTTTGGGTATAAATTAAGGTCTTAAGAATCAAAATTTTCCTCAAAATTTCACCGAAAATTTCATATTTTTGGTGAGACGGAATTCCCAAAATTTCTAGAATGTTTCTGGAAGAAGTCCCTCAAAATTTGAGCATTTTTAATTTTAAGGCTTAATCAACGAGCTAATTCCTAATGATGGTAAGAGAATTTATCCCTAAACTAAATTTTAGGGTTCGATCATGCGCCTTAAAATTTGAAATTCATAGTTACTATTTGCTGAGGAAAAAAAAAATCAAGGCTTATCAAATGAAAAATCAACACTATGCGATCCTTCTTTCCCTAATGCTGTAGGTTGATCTTCTGATCTTCTCATACCATTCCCATCATGTGCGGAGCCCTCCATCTCCGAGAGATCGGTGTCAGATTGATAAGATACCGATCTTGGGGAATTAAGGACGCTTTCGAGGTCAGATTGATTGGACCTGTGCTTTTGGTTGTGAAGTAGATGCAGTGGGGATGAACCCTGGCTTGGTGTATTTTCCCCACTTACAAAGCCTGAGGAAGAAGCATCGCCTGTAGCTTTCCTCAACTTCTTTCTCTGCTTTGCAGCCTTCTGCCAATTCTTAAGAGCTTTTGCCGTTTGCTCCTCGAAAATTGCTTTCTTCATGTGAGATCCCATCTGCACGTTAAGATAAGATACATGCATGCATAAATATAGGTAATTAATACATTATAGAGAAATTAATTACTCGAAAAAGAAAAGCTTACTTCTTTTTTATTTTTTATTTTTCTCAGGTGCTTGTAACTAAAATGCTCTTCCAAATTAGGGTGTTATTTGAAAGACTAAGTGATGACCACTTAGTTATAGTGTTATGAATATGAAAAAGTGTTGTTATTTCCACCCCTCCTTATCCTATTTTTCCACTCACCTTATTTTGCCACCTACCATGTAAAATTGAAAACACACAATCCTATTTTTCCACCAACTATTAAATTATTAAAGTAAAATAATAGTTTTTATATATATATATATATATAAAGCAAAATGCAGAGAATGGTGAAACATTCAAAATACCAAAAAATGTCATTGATTAATGCAAACATTAAGAATTGAAATTATTAATTAAATGAGGATAATATGGTAAATTCACTTTTTTTTTCATATTTAAAAAAAGAAAAAGAAAAATCAGATAATTGATCCTATTTTTATGGAACACAACTACCCATTATTATTTTTAATTCTAAAATAAATTTAAATTTTTTTTAAAAAAGCCTCTCGCAGGCGCGGAAGTGCGTGCGGAGAGACTAGTAAAAATAAAAAACAAAAACAAAAACTCTCTCTCTCCTCCTCCTCTAGGGAAAACCCAACAGTCAACATCCAGTTTTTCTTCTCCCACCTGCAGCAAGTGGCGGAGTTTGAAATTCTATCAAGGAGGGTCAACTTTAAATAGCTTTATAATTACAATGAACTTAGTTTTTATAGGAAAATATATATAAGAATTCATTATAATGATTAAATTTCAATATCACAAATTTAATATCTTAGTAAGTATAACCCAAATTCTAGCAACCTAAAAATAACGAAAGAGTATCAAAAGTTGATTTTAGATAGAATGAGAAAATCAAATAAAATCCATGACACACACACACGCCACATATAAGTAACATATTTAAACATGAAAACAAATATAGATTATATTCATGTTCATTGTAGATAATTTACATTTGTGAGAAGGGTCAATATAGTAAGTATAACTATAAAACAACTTGGATAGCATAGATAAATATAATATTTTCAAAATGTTGAGAAGGGTTGAGTGACCCTTGTGGGCCTCAATTGGCTCCGCCTATGCCTGTAGCCACCCCCACCTCCCACCCCAACCTCGATTCCTCCCCCGCAGGCGAGAACCCTACAGATTTCTACACCTTCAACCCCATCCATGTTCTATATTTTAATTAATTTTATTATTTACAATAACTCCTTCTGGAAAAAAATAAATAAATTATGAAGATGATAATTATGTCTTCATTTTTCTTTTTCTTTTTGGCAGAAACCCAAATTTCAAGAAGGATGGGGATCTATAACTGATACATAAAGATTGCGGAGCGGGTGGGTGTGGTGAGAAATTGCAGGGAGGGTGGGTGGGTATGAGGGCAGGGACCATGGAGAAATTGTGGAATTTCATTTGTTGACTTTGCCAAAGCAAAGGAGTTAGCTTACTTAAACAATGGAGTCCAAGTGCTTCATCGCCGCCCCAAAACAAACTCTAATTTATTCAAAATGCAACTAAGTTGTGAAATGAGAGAACCCTTTTCATCTGGGCTTGTTGTTTTTGGTGTTGTGGTGGCAGTGGCTTCTAGTACCGAGGATGAAAGACCTCTAAGGAAGAAGCCAACAGGTCGGGAAGGGGGAGAGAGGACAGGGAGAGTTTTTTTTTAAATTTTTTTTATTTTACTTAATTTTATTTATTTGAAATGCTTTAAAAAAGTTTTTTCCCCTTGGTTCTTAGAAGTCATTTTACAAAAGGGTCATTTGTCTTTAAAATTTTGAATATAAAGTGTGTGGGGAAATAAAACAAGGGGTGGAAATAGCAGCGCTCATATGAAAGCATGTGCAAATGTGGGTTAAGTCAACTGGCCAGGCCATTGAGCCCACTCCCTTGCACCCAAGTTCGAGTCCCTCTCCCCCGTACATGACATTACTTTAGAGTAATTTAAATTATCGCTTGTATTAAAAAAATAAATATGAAAGCCTGCATACATGTTACTGAAAGAGGCAAGGCTAGGGCTGTTTAATTTGAAATACTCACTTGTGTAATCAAAGCATAAAGAGGGAAGGTAATGTAACTGCATAGGATCTGTAGGGCTACCCCAAGGAAAACCCTTGTCAGTATCAGAGGCAATTTTTCGTGGAAGCATGATGTCAACCCAAATTCCAACTGCATCGTGTATATATATCATAGTATGTATAGTTAGTATACAGTTGAGACAGTGCACATAATTACCAATATAATAATGAACTTAATTCCTCTGAATATGTAGAGTTATTAAGGTAAGAAGAAAGGAACTACATTAGTATTGCTTTATGGTTAATTACTTACAGATGTCCATAAGAAATACGCCATTTGAAAAGCGTTCTGTGTATTAAGCAAGCAAACCAATTAATTGTTAGAAACCATATTAATCCATAGCATTTCCTATATGCATATATATGTATTTTAGACCATATGGATGGTCGGTCCATATTTACAGTATGACAATATAATAAATTTACTCTGATAGTTCTCACCTGGAATAATGTGAAATGAATTAAGAGGAGAATCCACTCAGGGCGATTAAACCAAAAAAACTTGTTGCTTGGCTCTACAACGGGAGTGCCTTTAACCACTGTAGTTCGATCGTGCATTTCTTGAGCCATCTCCATGATGATAAGCTCAAGCTTTGTACCCACTAAAAGAAGAATCTGCACAAATTAATAGGAGAAAATATTTATATATATGACTTGAAGAAGAAGAAGAAGCTAGCATTATATAATATATCTAGAGCATGGATTTCGTGGTCTTACAACGAGTGGCGCCAATGACAACCAAGTGAACGTGTGCCATTCTGTAAAATAGGAGGTATATATTTATCAGCATTTAAATTTATCAATAATATATTGACCACCAACACCAAGCACATTGTGATATCTGTGTGTCTGTGTCTGTTTTGGAAGAGAGAGGAAAGAAGGAGAGAGAGTCTCACTGTGAACATTTAGAACCAGAAACACCACGGCAAAAATCCATAGTGGTATACTGCAAAATCAAGAAATTAAATTAATAACAATAATTATAGCAGTACAAGGAAGCTAGAGAGAGAGAGAGAGAGAGAGAGAGAGAGAGAGAGACCTAATACCCACGACGACCTTGAAGTCATCTTCCATGGATCTCTTAATATACTTATGGAAATCAAATTTGCTATTTGGAGCAAAATGTGCCTGCATGCATGCATGCATTTGCCGATTAGGTTTGGGCCAAAACTATATCACAACAAAATAAAATAAAATAAAATAAAAACAAAAGTACGTAGTTCATAAAAAAGAAAAAGAAAAAGAAAAAGGAAAAATGGGAATTGATAATTACATTGATAAATCCGTGGCGCATGGTCATATAGTCCACCCTCGTAACTGAACCAAAGAATTGCCTGAAAAATGCCACCTACAATGTACATATATGTAGTAGGGGTTCTGTAAGTGCTCAAGCTTTGGTTAAGTTCCAATAAAGAACAAGATTGTACGCATTTATTTACTAATTAACTTACTATCCATCTTATTCCAGGCATTGTAGAAAAGCCTGAATGACGCTTTATAAACGAAGTTTGTCGAATGAACCTGAACCTTGAAGGGTCTGAAACATGAGATAACATATATAATTTGCAATTGTTCAATCACATGTTGACTTGTTTATAGCACTTCGGTTTTTGTTTTCAGATTTTATTTTCCCTTTTAAGAAAGATATCTAATTAAAATCGTGTCAGAAATTCTGGGAAATGTTAGAAAAATGATGAAGATGGAGAAGGAGAGATGAAGAAAAAGTCATGAAACAAAGACTAAAAGAACAACTATTTTAAAATAAAATATTAATTAATACCATTTGTGAATTGATATTCCAAGGACGATGTCTCTGATTCCCAAGCTTTCCATTTGTTCATCTAGTCAACAGAAGAGCCGATTAAACAACAATAGATTCCTTTTCTTCTTCTTTTTTAAAAATTTATTTATAAAAGTTTGTTTTCTCTGAAACCATTGGAAAATTTTGGATTGTTCAATGAATTTTATAAAATTTATTATATATATATCACAATAAATTACATCATTTCTAAATAATTTATGAACAAATTTGAAATATATATGGGATCTACTATCCAAAAAGATTTTGAGGTGGTCCAGTCAGTGGCGAATCCAGGATTTAAAAGTCAAGTAGACGAAACTTACCTTAAAAACTCGACAGTACGAGTGAATTTTATTCATAAAAATAAAAAGATACACCTAGTCAGGGGGGACGTAATGAGCCTTTACTTGTCTCAAGTTCCCCAGAATCCAACAATTATTTGAGTTCATCTTTTCGAATTAAATTTAACTCATTAAGGGGCTTAGCAAAAGCACTAACAAAATTCACAATGTTAGTCAACATTGAAAAAAATCTCCATACAACTTTCACATGCTTATATTGCTTTTTATTGTTTTTGTTAAAGGAGAAAGTTTGAGTGGGCTGGGCTATTGTTTTTGTTAAAGAGAAAAATTTGAGTGAGTTGGGTTTGAGTAGGCAGAAGAAATTTGATTGTATTGGGTAATTTTTGGTTTGGCAAAAAATGAAGTAGGCGGCTACCTACCCTGTCCTTAGGATTGCCCTTGGTAGGTTGGGTTTGAGTAGGTAGAAGAAATTTAATTGTATTGCATATTGGGTAATTTTTTATTTGGCAAAAAATGGAGTAGGCGATTGCCTACCCTGTCCTTAAGAGTAGGATCACCCTTGGTAAGTTGGATTTAAGTAGGCAGAAGAAATTTAATTTTATTGGATATTGGGTAATTTTGATTTGGCAAAAAATGAAGTAGGCGGCTGCCTACCCTGCCCTTAGGGTAGGACCGCCCCTGGGTCTAGTCCTCATATCACATTTCCATGCCAGGGCTGGAGAACTGCCAAGCCACAAAATTACGAGTAGAAAAGGCCAATTGTAGATTGTAGATATATTCTAAGATGCAGAAGTATAAATATATTCTAATGCTTCATTATGGGATCCCAAATTCTGACCCCATTCAAACTACCTACTACAATAAATAATAAGGCTAAATCATATTTTATCAATTTTATCAAATTAATAGGTTAATAATACTACTATTACATAAGTTGCAATTCCTGAATTTCTTGCCATACTCCAAATACATATATACATACGTTCAAAAACGAATAAATATGATCAATGATCTAGTTCATTCGGGAATGCGAACAATTTATATTGTCAGACAGTCAAATAAGAAAACGTACTTTTTAAGTTGTAATTCCAAATTCATGCGTTAGGCTATGTGTATAAATATAGAGCACATAGTTGTATGTGTCACAGTGTGATGGTACTTACTTTGGCCTGCGCTAGTGCCATGGTAATGACACTGTACACAACATGAAAAACAGCAAGCACAAAGATGAAGATGTGCAATTGGTGCATCCCAGATGGAGATATCAGCGGCACTTTACCCTACAGTACACATATGTACAAAATATTTAAAAGCATCAAATGCAAGAAGATTATATTTGAATTTAATGGTTTACGTGACAATTTGACCTATTACAAAATTTCATCATGCAATTGGATATGTAAATATTTATGGTTATATTCTTTGTTTTTAATTAGTTCATTTTATTAATTAGGTGCATATTATAATATTAATGTTGATTTAATGAATTAATTATTACGTACGCACCTCTGAGCAAGCAGAGGAATCTCCTCCACTAGGGGCTAAAACTCGACGCCATATCATGGTTTCGGCAAATTCAAGTAACTTTCGTCGTCTGTCATTATCATCACCGCCATCTTCTCCACCTCCTTTGTTTTTGCCATCATCCTTGCCGCCCCCATCCTCTTTATACTTGCTCTCTAGCTCACATGGCAGCATGGTATTACCATACTTTTCTGGGATGCATATTTTTGGAAGATATCTTGTGCCCACCGTAAGCAGCAGAGATATGAATCCCAAAAGCATGAGCTCTGCGTGCATATGCACCCATAACAAAGCATATGAAAATTATCATCACACTAGAGGAAAAAAAAAATTATTAGCATAATTAATGTAAGTAATTATATAAAAATTAAACTGACCAGCTTTTATTTTCTCCAAAGCTTCTAGCATAGCTTTCTTATTGCGTTTCTGGAACCACTGTCATTATAAAAGTAAACATTAAAATCATGGAAAGACATTTAAAATCCTGCGTTATACATGTTGATATACGTATTTAGGTACATACCTTCCCAAGAGCATGAATTGCTTGTTCTATAATTATAGAAATAAGTATGAAAACTGCACAGGCAATGGCAACAGCCCATGTGGGTGTCTCTTTTAATGACCTTTCTCCGGCAGCAGCTGGAGCCATGGCTGCCTTAATTACCCTTTAAGTATACTTAAGCAAACTAATTAATATATACTAGTCTCTAGCTAGTTCTTGAAGAGAATCGAATTAACGTAGGCAGTGAAGATTTGGTATCTAGGAATGTTTCTGGGATTTTTATTCTTCCCTCGAAGGAGGTATATATGGCGACTTACAAACAACTTTCATTTAGGTTTAGAGAGGTGTGCATACATATATATGCTTTGCTAGGTTAAGAACAAAAACCAAACCTTGTCATATGCATAATGTTTTTTTGTGGCATGTCCTAAACGGTAGGTTATCTGTCCTGCGGTTGTGGAACAATTAATCCTTCTTATAATTAAAATTAATGTCGTTGGTTATGGAAAAATTTAAAAATAAAGCCGGCCGGCTATTGAAGCCAAAGGAGTATATGCATGTCATGCCTAACCAACACCTAATAGTATAATCTTTCACTCTATTATAATTTTATTACATGATAGTATAATCTTTCAATCAATTAAGGGAATTGTTATTAGCACTTCAAAATAATTATCGTCGTACACTCTTTCATGTTCTTTTCTTTTTGTCTTTATTAATGATGGATGGGTGATGGGTTTCTTAGAAGATACCGAAGTGAGGAAGAATTCATCACTAGAAGACCTATGTTTCGTTGCTTTTCATCTTAGCACATTCCTTTCCTCACTCTTTTTGTTGACTGGTTTGTTTATCAATTCTATGCATGGCTAGAATTGACAAATATTTATTATTTTATTATGTACACTGTTATTTTGGTATTTGACCCGGTCTCCTTCCCAAGATTTTGGTATTTGTCTAACAATTGCACAACAACTAGCAATCAAGAAGGCTAGAGGATGAGAGCCAAGCCTAGCATGCTGTTGAACTAGGATTAGAGCCGTAGCAGCATCCATTTCCACACTGAGCCTACGAATGCCTTTAGCAATAGCAAGTTGCAAACCAAAAAACAAGCCCCAAACTTCAGCCTCCAGAATCTACCCCTTGCCAAGGTTCACAGCAAAACCCACTAACCCAATCCCCTAAGGAATTATGAATCACTCCTCCAGCCAGCACCAATCACTACAAAAAAAAAGTGGCAACAGTCACCATTATTTGGTGACATTTGGTGACATTTGGTGACAGTCACCACACTATAAAGCCTTTAGTAACCCCCACATTAGTATCACCAAATGTAACCAATAATGGGGATGGTTGCCACTTTTTTTTTTTTTTTTTTTTTTTTTTTTTTTTTTTTTTTTTTGTAATAAAGCCAGAAGCACACCTTCTAGACTCATCCACATTAAGCTTAAACTGGCCAAGCTTAGGAGGTTCCCAAGCAAGCAAAAGAAGAATTTTAGGAGCCTTTGTATAACCAACCTGGCTAGCTGTAGACTACTCCCTTACAGCAGCAACAATAATCTTCTTGGGCTAATAACTGACCTCATCATCTGTATTAAAAATATGATTATTTCTCCATTTCCATAAGATTCAGCAAGTAAAAACAATAACTGAAGTTCATGGCAAATATTCACCCTACATAGCTTTAGACAAAAGATTAGATCGAAACGATGGAAATCCATCTAGAAGAAATGGGAATGAGCACCCGGAAAAATTTGTCCCTTAAAGCATAGCATGCCAAACCCTAGTAGCCCTCTCACAGTCCCTAAAAATATGCAAAATGGACTCAATTGGTCAATTATAGTAGTTATAGGCAGGATCAGCAGTCAAATGCCTCCTAGCCCTGCTCATTAGACAAAATTTTGCCTTAAAAAATTAGCCGAAGGAAAATTTGAAGCTTAGGGGGAATCTTTAATTTATGGAAGAACTGCTAGTCATACGAAGGCCACTCACTACCATGAAACAAGATAATATAAGCAGTTTTTTACAGAGAACATACCATTTGCAGTAGGCTCCCAAATTTGAGCATTAGGAACTACACCAGTCATGCCCTCATGGATGCAAATAATTTGTTGAACCAAATCCTCGTCCAAAACTGCCCTTAATTTGTCAATATCCCACCAATCCCCCTTAAAAAAAACTGGAGACATTGCAGGTCACATCCCCAACTTGCAAAACCCCATCTTGTTTAAAAAGAGGTCTTCCATTCAACCACCTATCCTGCCAAAACTTAATTATATCTCATTTCCCAATCCTCCACAACATACCTTTAGATAGTAACTTCACCCATGCAAAAGACCCCTCCAAGTAGAGGAACAAACTTGCTTTGTGGGTAGGGAAGGGTCCAAAATTGATGTACCTTTAAGGTATTTGGCCTTTTAAATCCTAGCCCAAAGCACCAATCCTTGTTTTGAATCCTCCAACCAATCTTAGCTAGCAAGGCTTGATTCATAGTAGAATACTTCTTAAAATCCAACCCTCCTTTACTCTTAGGACGACAAACGAAATTCCACTGACAAAGCCTTGGTTCGCTTTTCATTGCCTCCCCAAAAAAATTTCTATTCAACCGATCTAACTCATCACAAACACTTATAGAGAGTTTAGTAGTTTGCATAGCATAAATAGGAATAGAGGAAGTCACAACTTGGATTAAAGTTGGCGACCTACATAAGAGAGCAGTTTGCCTTTCCAAGAAGCCAACCGACTATGCACCCTATCAAGCAACTTCTTATAAGTAGCATGAGTAAGCCTTGTATGTAGAAGAGGCATGCCTAAGTATTTGCCCAAATCACTAGTCGGAGGAGAGCCACAAATACAACTAATCTCCTTAGCCACCTCCTTCGGAGTATTGGGGGAACAAAAAACAACAGATTTATCATAGTTTACAATTTGTCCTGAAGCTTGACAAAAAGCTCCAAAAAACCCTTCATAATTCGAGCTTGTTTAACAGAGGCTTTAGCAAAAAGAATAAGATCATTTGCAAAAAATAGGTGGGAAACCACAGGCCTAGATTGAGACGATTTAACAACTTTCCAACTATCTTTTTGAACCAAATCAAAGATGATGTGAGAAAGTTTTCCAACACACAGCACAAACAAGTAGGGGGATAAATGGTCCCCATGTCTAATACCATTCATAGGAGTAAAAGAATTAGTGAACTCCCCATTAATGCAAATCTAATACTTGACAGTAGACACACAATGCATGATCAACCTCTTTAAAGCCCCTGCCAGACCCAATTCAGTCAACACCACCTCAATAAAATGTCAATTCAATCTGTCATAAGCCTTAGAGAGATCAATCTTCCAAGCCATAATCCCTTTCTTGGCCTTAGAAACCTTGAACTTATGCATAAGCTCCTGGGCAATAAGAATGTTGTCTATAATATGTCTTCTAGGCACAAAACTAACCTGATTAGGACTAATAGAATAGGCAAAATAGACCTCAATCTAGCCACAATGATCTTGGAGATAATTTTATAAAGAGTTGAACAAAGACTAATGGGACAAAAATGCACCATACTAAGGCAAATGAATAATACCTCACTGCACATTTATGTTTCCACTCCCATAAATAATGGGCTACAATCAATTTACTTCAAATATTCTCTCCTAACCTCCTAGGGTTAGGTAAATTCATACTAGGTACATAATTGTCAATGTACCTATTAAAGTTGGGTAGGTAAATTATTTTCACAAAATAACTATGATATACCCATACTAGATAAATTACAAGTTATATTATTGCATAATAGTCAATTATTAGGTAAATTATATCCAAAATTTGTTTATAAAAGTTGGGTATATTATTAGAATAATAAGTAAATTCATACTAGGTACATTATTTTTCACTAGCCCCTTGGCATGCCAATTGGTTTTTGTTTTTTTTTTTGAATTAAGAAAAGATAACATAAGTAGTTATGTTCTATAAAAGTAGAACTTATTATCTGATTTTGTTTTTATTTTTATTTTTTTAAATATGAAAAAATGTAAATTTACCATATTATCCTCATTTAATTAATAATTTCAATTCTTAATGTTTTAATTGACTAAGGGTATTTTCTGGTATTTTGAATGTTTCACCATTCTCTCCTTTTGCTTTATATATAGATAATAGGAGTAATAGGTACGTTATTTTTTCAATGTAAAAATGTATGTATGCTATTATATTTATAAAATAATGAAATAATAGATAACTAGCCTATCTGCATGTGCTTCAGCACCTGTGAGAGGCTTAAAAAAAAAAAAAAAAAAAAAAAAAAATTTAGAATTAAAAAAGATAATGGGTAGTTGTGTTTGATACAAAATAGGATTCATTATCTGAATTTTCTTTTAATTTTAATTTTTTAAATATGAAAATGTGTGAATTTACAATATTGTCATCATTTAATTAATAATTTCAATTCTTAAAGTTTGCATTAACCAATAGCATTTTCTGGTATTTTGAATGTTTCATCATTATTTGCCTTTTACTTTATATATACTAGCCCATTGACACACACTCACACATGTGCCAATTGGTTTTCTTTTTCCTTTTCCTTTATTTTTAGAATTAAGAAAAGATAATATGGGTAGTTATGTTCCATAAAAGTAAGACATATTATCTTATTTTGTTTTTAATTTTAATTTTTTTAATATAAAAAATTTAAATTTACAATATTATCCTCATTTAATTAATAATTTTAATTCTTAGTGTTTGAATTAACCAAGGGCATTTTATGGTATTTGAATGTTTCACCATTCTTTACCTTTTGCTTTATATATACTAGCCTCCCTGCATGCACTTCCGCGCGTGCGAGAGGCCTTTTTTTTTAATCATGCGCTATGCGCGACTTACAAAGTTTCGTAAATATTTTTTTGCAATTGTATTTATATAGATGTTCATTTCAACAGTTCATATTTTAATCGCGTGTGTGCGATATATCGTCATCTTAAAAGTTTCCCTTTATCCACTATATTTTTCTAGACGTCCATCTTAGCAGTTTCTTTTTTTCCTTTATAGCGTGTAAACTGTTAAGATGAACTTCTAGAAAAATATGGGCGATCAAAGGAAAACTCTTAAGACGATGATACATCACACGCGCGCGATTAAAATATGAAACTGTTGAAACGAACATCTATATAAATACATTTACGAAAAAATATTTACGAAACTTTGTAAGTCGCGCATAGTGCGCGTGATTAAAAAAAAGCCTCTCGCACAAGCGGAAGTGTGTGCAGAGAGGCTAGTATTCCATAAAAGTAGGACTTATTATCTGATTTTGTTTTTAATTTAATTTTTTAATATGAAAATTGTGAATTTACCATATTATCCTCATTTAATTAATAATTGCAATTCTTAATGTTTGAATTAACCAAGGGTATTTTTTGGTATTTTGAATGTTTCACCATTTTCTGCCTTTTGCTTTATATATATAGATTAATCATGTTTACTTCATAAAAAAATTTAAAAAATATTTCTTATTAAATAAACCAATTAGGTATATTAAATATGAATTTATTGTTAAATTTCAAAAACTTCCAAATTAATTTGTAAATTTATTTGGAGATCTTTCCAAATTCAACTTGTGTCATTAGTACAATCCAATTAAAATTCATTTCTATATTGGTTCCTACATTAATATACAAAATGCAATAATGGTTTAGTATGAGGTATCTTAGGAATAAAAAAGTACAATAAATTCGATTTTGTGCTTGATTAGGTAAATTACCGAGTAGGATATTAGTCATTGGGTTTTATTTAGAAAAAACAGAATTTTATCCAAACAAAAATAAAGAAATTGGTTGTAATTGAAGAAAAATGAGCTAAATTTACATAAAATAATAAAATAGGGTGCAGATGCATGTGACCCTACTACTTCATGAGAGAGAGAGAGAGAGAGAGAGAGAGAGAGAGAGAGAGAGAAAGCGTAAGATGGACACACAGGATGCACAATCTTAAAATCTTAATTCTTGACCATACGCGTCGCTGTTGCTGACACCTACCAGCTAATGCAGTTGGACTCCTTGGAAACAAATAAATTACGTCACAAAACAAATATTAAAAAAGAAAGTTACGGGATGAGATGATGAATGGACGTTGGGGAAAATTTCCTATGACAGGATAATTTGGTTTTTCTTATTTATTTTAAATTCAAAATAAAAGGAAAATGGAGGCGAAAACAAAGAACGAAGTAGAAGTAAGCAGAGCAAGATAAAACAGTTACCTCTTCCTATATCGAATGGCGCATATTACGATGTGTATTGGTCCCCAGTTGTTTCTTCTTCTTCTTCTTCTTGTCCGAACCCATTTTTCACATTTCCATTTCTTCTCCAAATTTACCATGCTTTCTGATTTGGGTTCATTCTAGTCCCTCTTATTTCTCTCCTTCTTCTTTCCATTTGCATTTCCTTTTCATTCTGGTTTGTTAATTTTTAAGCTCAAAATGGCTGTGGCTATGGCTTCTTGCAGTCTTGGGGTTAACTTGAATAGTAACTGTAGTTTGAAAAAACCCCTTGCAATTCCATTACAAACTGGGGCTATAGTAGAAGGGTCCTTTGGGTTTGGTTCTAAAAGCTTCTGCATTGTTCAGAAGGGAAGGTATGGTATATATGCTCACTGTTTAATTGGAATTTATTGATTTGTTATTTTCTTTGATGGGCATGTCTTACTTTCTTATCTGGTTTTCAGAATTTGATTTTTTTTCATAGAAAGTGATCAAACGCTTTAAGATTTTGACATTATGGGTTCACTGCCTTTCCTATTCTGGTTATAGAATTCTTTGGTTTTTGTTTCTTGGGTTGTTTTTGTTTGGTATTTATCTCATTTGAAGTCTCTAATACTCTGAAGTCTGAATGATATTTGCTCAACGATGCTATTGTTCTTGGGTTCCTTGTAATTTCTGGGATTCTGCTTCTGCTGAATTGTTCGTTTGATGCTTCTCTGCAATTTTTTCTTGTAAAAAAGAAGTCTTAATAAGTTAATCAACTTGTATATTCTGGTTAAAAAGAATTCCTGAATATGCAGTCTTTCGCATATCAGCTTGCCATTAGTATGAGCTTTGCAGTAAATATTAACTCATTTTATAAGAGTTTGTTCAGTATGTGACTGTAAATATCACCATGTATTTGGTACTTGAGGTTGGAATTATCAGATATTGTCTGAGCTCTCTGAATCTACCAGCTCTTGAACCTTTGAGTCCAAGGCCTTGATTGTGGTTTGAATTCAAGCCACAAGGAGAGCTGATAGATTTTTGGTAGTAGTGTTTAGTACATTTAAAAATTCCTGTATTGGCATCTTACAGTCAGATTAAGTTACCTTAGCTGAATATTCTTGATATATGCAAGCATTAAACTGAGGTCTTGCATCTATTCTTTATCTTTTAAAAGTATACCGAATCTTTGACAGATTGTTATCTTCATCAACTTCAACTACTCCACGAGCCTCTTCTGCTACAGCTGTGGAGGTAGTTAATAAATTTGAGTTTGTAATCAGTAATATTTGAATATTAACTGCTGAATACCTCATTTTTGTACTGGGTGTTTGATGTCAAAAAATAGGGTGGTAAACCTGATGGAAGTAAAAGTGAAACTGACAAGATCCCAATTCCCAAAGTTATTATTGATCAAGACTCTGACCCAAATGCAACTGTGGTGGAGATAACATTTGGAGACCGGCTGGGAGCTCTTCTTGATACTGTATAGAGCATTACTCACTGCTTCCAACAATATTGTTTGTCTATTATTTTGCTCCTGCATAGATGTTTAAATATTTTGAATGATCTGTCTTAGTGTCTATGTCTGAACATATAATTCAACTTTCATTAACTGGGTCTCAGATGAGTGCGCTTAGGAACCTTGGCCTGAATGTTGTCAAGGCCAATGTCTATTTGGATTCTTCTGGAAAGCACAACAAGTTTGCCATCACCAGAGCGTGAGTATGCTTTACAGATAGATGACCGCGTGGCCTTGTATTAAGTATAGTTTTGGGTTGTTTCTATGTTAGTGTTAATACTTGTCAATTTGCAATTGATTGCAATGATCTCTTTTCTGCTTGTTCTGCTTCTCTGTCTGGCTTTAATTTTCTTTTCCTTGTTGTGCATAGATACTTCCATACTTGTGGTATTATTGATTGCTGATTAGATTTACGTACTGCCAAAGTGCTGACTTCAATTCAGATATGATATATTTATATTATATCATCGTTTTCTTTACTAAAGAGGTTCTATATGATGAAGTTCGTCCTTATTTCATGTGTTTCTAATGCAAAGTTATGGCACCTAAAAATTAGGGGGAAGCAGTATTCCTTTAATGCCAGTAAAAATTTATCTTCTCAATTAAATCTTAAACCTGCGATTATGGTGAGCTTAATGGATCTGTCCTTCCAATAGCTGCTGAATACACATTTGTTGATTCAATGGTGGGATTTGTTTGCAGTGATACTGGTAGGAAAGTAGAAAATCCAGAATTGCTTGAGGCTATTCGTTTGACAATTATAAATAATCTGATAGAGTATCATCCGGTATTCTTTCTTAACCATTTCCATTTGTTCTTGAGATAGTAATTGGTGTAATCTGTTTACAATTTCCACTGTTGTAGCTTTCTTAATCAATCAAATTTGTGGTCCAGGAATCAAGTTCCCAGTTAGCGATGGGAGCAGCGTTTGGAATTGTTCCGCCACCAGAAAAGGTTCTTGAACTTAATTATTTTAATTTGCACAAAGTTTGGGTAGTTGAAGCTTCATGTAGGTACCATGCATCTGTGAACTCTCAGTTTCCAAAAATACAGCACAAATTTTTCATGTCCTAGCATGCACACATAATGCATGTGTTTCTTGTTTTGAGGTTTCTCATTTGAAATTCACTCCATAAGCATTGCCTTTTCCAATTCTAGTCATTCTGGGGAATAATTCATTTCTCTGCTTCGTGAGTAGCTATTCCCTAGTTATTTGATCATTGAGAATAACTATTCTTGCCACTCCCTCTCAATTTTGTTCACTTTTAAGGTAAGGTATTGGCTTGAAATTTGATCACGGTCACATCTTTAACTTCCAAAGAGCATTACATCCCACAATTTTGTCCCGATTCAAACTCGTTTTTAATTCCTCAGGTTGATGTGGATGTAGCAACCCACATAAGCATCAGTGATGATGGCCCCAACCGAAGGTAATGTGCATCATTCTTTCTTGATAGGATGGGCTTTTGCAAACCAGCGGCCATTTCCCATACGCCAAAATTGTTGGGGCTGCCGACCCACAACAGCCTTTAACTGTTATTCATGACTGACATCCTTTTCTAACTAATCTGGTCTGCGAATGATTATTTTTGGTTATTACATTTGTCTGTCTTCATTTATTCTAATATTAGATTTCTGCAGTTTGCTTTCTGTGGAATCAGCTGATCGCCCTGGATTACTGGTGGATCTTGTAAAGACTATAACTGACATTGATGTTGCTGTAGAATCAGGAGAATTCGACACTGAGGTATGGTCTTGTCTCACTTACCATTGCAGCTTCAATTTTTATTTTTCTCTTTTTTTTCCTTCTCTAGTATCCAAGTTTGTTGAGCTCATCTCTACTCTTTCTTTTTGGTAATGAAGTTCATTTCTTATTATTGTCTTTGGATTTAGGGGTTGTTGGCCAAGGCAAAGTTTCACGTTAGCTACAGGGGTAAACCTCTCATCAAGCCTCTCCAGCAGGTAACCTAGCATTATGGCAATGTTAGAGCATTGGATTTCATATATATTAGCGGTTGATGTGGTCAAAGCTAAACTGTTTTCCAGTTTTCTGAGAGAAAGTTCAATCGTCCACCAACTTTACCATTTTGATGAATTTGAAATAGATGCCTCCCATACTGACAGCCTTTATTTCCTGAAAGAACACAAAATTGTAGATACTATGGTTGATTCTGTTATGAATGATAAGATTATGACTGAGACTGCTGAGTTGAGCCTACCCTTGTAGTCAATCTCATTCCAGATTTTACAAGGCATAGGGTCTACTCTTCCCATTATGCCTCAATAACGACTGTTCAATTTGCTACCAATTTTTGCAGGTTCTTGCTAACAGCTTGCGGTATTACTTGAGGCGACCAACGACTGAGGAGGGGAGTTTTTGAGCCATGTAGACTACATTTTCATGAAGTACACTTGGAATTTCCACAACGAAGCTAAGCGAAATTCTGGAACACTGTTGCAACCTTTTTATTCTGTTGAAGAAAATAGGGACAAAAAATATAAAAAGATATAAGAGTCAGGAAATGTAATCAAATGTAGAATATTATTGTCCAAATTGTTGTAATAATATCATAGTTACCCTTCTTCCTTTAGCCACTTGCTTTGTTTTGCTTTCTGCAATAAATATAGAATAGAGGCCAAGAGCCTAATAGTAATAGCAGAGTAAAACATGCTAATAAAGTGACCATCTCATGCTTTTCTTCTGAAGTATAGAGTACATGTATCCTGAGCCTCTGCATTTATCAATTGTGCATTTATCGATCGTTTCAATAATCTAACAGCTTAAGGTATGACAAGTCAAACTCAATTTAACGGCTAAGTTAACACTGTTAAGTCTATATAATTTTTTTTTTTTGGTAACTAAGTCTATATAAAATTAAAAAGCTAAAAACAACCAATTAAAATAAAAATAAAAACCCCCGACAGCCACTCTACACCCATAAGCAGTACCTCTTCCTTCTTTAACGCCAGCCAACCTCCCCTCTTCTCTCTCCCTCTCTTTCTCTCTCTGCCCTCTTTCTCTCTTTCCCCCATCATGCTGAATTGAATTTGAGCAATCACGTGCTGGTATGGGATAGAGGCAACAAAGTGGTGCATCGTCCCCTTGTCTATCCTAATGCACCACAATCACCAACCCCAACACCTAATTTGAAACCCATCGGTAAAGCATCAACCTCTCAAAACCAAAATTGAAGAGGAGGAGGGATGTTGGTTGGTGGTTGGTTGAATTAATAGGAAAGACAGAAAGTGGGGGAGAGAGAGGAGGGGAGGTTGGTTGGTGGTGAGAGGAGGAGGGAGTTGCCTGTTGGGTTAAGGGGTCGGCCATGGTGGTGTTGGGATATTGGGTGGTTGACCGATAGGTTTTTTTATGTTTAAAAATAAATAAATTAGAGAGATTAATAATTGGAGTTTGACTTGTCATATTAGAGGTCGTTAAATTTTTATAACGATTCAGATGTAACAAAATGTGGATAAATACATGATTGTTAAATGCAGAGGCTCAAAATCTAGATTGTATATAATTTCAATTTGGATATTCGTTTACCAATCATCAATTTTCTTATTAATAGAAAGTATATACTGATTAAAAGAATGAATTAAATAAAATATATTAAAAAAAAAAAAAAAAAAAAAAAAAAAAAAAAAAAAAAAAAAATAATAGAGAGAGAGTTTAGGCCCATTAAACGTAGAAAGGAAAAAATGTTATATAACTCAGGGAAAATTGTAGATATATTATAAAACTAGGGGGAATTGTAGAGAGCAATAAGAGAAAGGGAAATTCTATATGAACCCCAGTATTTGCTCTTTACACCTCATAATTTTTTACACCCCACTAAATTTTAATAAAATTTCAAATTACTCATTATACCCCATTTTTTTTCTTCCTAAATTGCCCTCATGAATCCCATTTCCTAACTCACTGTGTAAACCCCATCCCATATCATACACCACTCATTAAAAACCCCATTCCCTTTCAAACACACCCCATCTGAAATCAAACACCACCCCATCTGATATCAAGCCATCGCACAACCCATCTCTGCAAACCACCGAACCCCATCGTACAATCCATCTCTGCAAACCCGAACCCATATATGAAATAGAGCCATCACACCCCACAGCCAACCCCAAATGCCTCACCCCGTCGCAAACCACCATATCCTTAGCCATCTCAAGCATCCATCACCAATCTGTCAAGTTTACACAAATCCTTCGAAGAGCCAAGGTTTTATTTCGATTTTGATTTCTATATTTACGTTTCTAAGTGTTGATTAAGCCTACGTTTGATTTCACTTTTGAAAAGCCAAAGTCTTATTTTAATTTTTGATTTCAACGTTGTGGGTGTATGGTTAGAACGTGGTTTTACAAAATTGGAATTTAGTTTCGGTGGATTACCATCGAAATGGTTATGTTGCTTCAGTGGTAGTCCACCAAATTTGAACGTGATCTATACTAAAATTAATTTTACTTTCGGTGGGTTACCACCAAAATTGTTACCTTATTTCAGTCGTAGTCCACCGAATTTGTTTCTATTTTTCAGGAGATTCCCACCGAATGTATTTTGATTTTTCAGTGGTACTCCACCGAATATGTGTTCTTTTTTTCAGTGATAGTCAACCGAATTTGTTTCCATTTTTCAGTGATCATCTACCCAATACAGAAGCGTGACGAGCGTATGTTGTCCTTTACTAGGCCGCTCGTGGCATTAGGGGAAACAGTTGCATTGCGTACACGACCTTCCCAAGTTTATCAAGCAGTTGAGACCTTGCAACATATTTTAGAGGGTACAAACATACGGTCTACCATGACATATCAACGTCGTCATGGTTAACTGACTTGCTAGCATGTGTTTATTAGAACTCATGGAACTTTTGTTGTTTTGATTAGTTATTGCATGTTTGTATTAGAACTCATGGAACTTTTGTTGTTTTGATTAATTATAAAGTTTGTATTAGAACTCATGGAACTGTTGTTGTTTTGATTAGTTATGAACTTTGTCCCACTAAAAAAAGTGAATATAAAAAAATAAATAGAATTATTAGATCTGGAACTATTGTTGTTTTTATTAGTTATGAAGTTTGTCCCACTAAAAAAAGTGAATATTTAGAAAATAAATAGAATTATTAGATCTATAATCTCAATTCTGTAATGGGTGCATTTTCGTCAGTCATTAGGATGACCGTATATTAGCTACATTCTCCACTCTCGGAAGTTGTTGAAACGCATCCACACGCGCTTGGTACCTCGAGTACAAATGTGTTACATTGCATATGTCACTTTGTTCATGCCACATTTTAGAAACTGGTGGAATAGGATGATCTGGAAACAAATGAACGTACAAACCAAGAATTCATTCATATACGCATAGCATATAAAATTAAACTATGTTGCGTAAACAAATAAATTCATACCTGCACATAGTGATCATCGTCAACAAAACCAATGGCAATCTCACGTGGCCTGATTTCGCTTGATTGAACTAAGAAAGGAAGAAATGTAAGGCATTGACGCATGCATAGAAGGATTAAAACCACATTATAACATGTGGAAATAATAATTTGCATCCGACCTTATATCAGTTGTCTCACTAGACTTGCAAAACTTATAGTTATCGCTCCTCTTACAGGCAAGTATTACACGAGGTCACCTCTTGCCCTCACCTCCATAATCAGACTTTTAATTACAATGACAATATTATTCATTTTTCCTCGTGCACGAGCCCATCTAAGTAATGCATCTCTACCATTGAATATCTACACATAAAACTCATTTTATTAAAAGATAAAATTTGAAACGTTAATTCCACGTTAATGATACTAAAAAGGATTTCAGACAAATAATTACTGAATAAGTTGTGAATTGATCACTATAGTCCATTACACATTCTGTTCTCACATTATTGCCTTCAGTAGGGGCGTCACCTTGTTTTTGTTCCTTCAATGGGAGTAAGATCAAAATAGTTTGCATTAAATTTGTGGTCGGCAATAAGTTACTGAAAAAATAAATAAATTTCGGTTCGATGCCACTGAAACGCATGTAAAAGTTCGGTAGTGAACCACTGAACTACGTTCCATGTTACGGTGGATCTCCACCGAATATTAAGTTCATGACCGGTTAAACCCAACCGAAAAAGGTGCAACGTTTCAGTGGCATCCCACCGAATTTACCTATTGCGTTCAGTACTGATGTACTGAACGCAACCAGCGACCATTATGAAATACTAAACTTGCAAAATGCCAAAAAATAAACTCGTACCTCATTCGAAGCCTCTCTAACTTCAATCTCACCTTTCATGAATAAATATAAGATATTTTTTCATCAATATAAACGTATAAATCTAGGGTTTAGGGTTTAGGAATATGATAGTTTGAGATTAAAGTCAAACTAGAGTTGCAGGAACATATGTGGGGTGTAGTGAGCAATTTTATTTTTAATTTTTAATTTTTTTGTCATTAACGGTAATTATGTACGAGGGTAAAATAGGTTATTCATGTTTAAAATTAGTATGGGGTGTAAAAAGCAAATAATGGGGTGCTAATAAAATCTCCCTAAGAGAAAAGGAAATACAGAGAATTTGTTCTATGAACTTGTATCAACTTCTCTTATTCATCTTTGATAAGCGCCTATTTATAGGCTTACAATAGAGGTATTTAACCCACAATTTATAACTACTAATTACAATAATAAGGGCATAGGTTACAAAGCAATAAAGGGTGGAGGTAATGGATGTTATGGTGGTCATCCACATCCCATAGATTTATAACACTCCCCCTTGGATGTCCACCATACAATGACATTGTTGCCTCATTAAAATCCTTGCTTGGAAAACCTAGTGGACAAAACCGAAGATAAGGGAAAAAGAGTGCAACTTTCTTCTGGATAAGTGTTATGGTGTTGGACACACTTATGTTGCCTCGTTAAAACCTTGCTAGGAAAAACTCAGTGGGACAAAAACCTGGTCGAAGAGAAAAAGAGCACAACACGCATATGTCCTGTATGTAGTAGAATTGGGATGCTCCCCCTAATTAATATCTTCCTTTGATTTTCATTAACTTCTAGAATTTAGGCTTTAGAAAAAGCTTTGGTAAAAAGGTTTGCCAGATTATCTTGTGAACGAATTTGTTTAACTCCAATCTCTTGGCTTTTTTATGAAACTATGTCACCCTTGATGAACCCTTCTCTGATTTGAGCAATACAAGCAACCTTGTCTTCATACATGATCGTTTATCACACTATTCGACCTGTTTTTCACTTTTCAAATGATTGAACTCTTTAGTAGCATCAACAACTAATCTAATAGTTAGAATATGTTACAGCAATATCAAATTTGGATTCAAAATACTCGAACTCTTAGTGTTAACTCTTAATTAAGAATATTATGGTACTTTATATCTTTCAAAGGGTCGCTTCATGCGATATATCTCAAACATTTCATGAGCTTTGAGGATCTTCATGTACCATACAGTCTTAATAAATATGCATTTAACACATGCTATAAGTTTCGCTTAAAATAACAACTGTACTTATAGAAATGTGGATGCATCTATGATGAGATGGGAGACTAAAACTATGTCTCTACTAGGAAACCTTATGTCATATTAGTGATCTTAGTTCACTTCACAAGCACCAATTCGCAACCTTTATACTTAACATTTGTAATTTGGTGTTTGAGTTATAGGTTCAATATCTCACACTTCATATTTAGTGATAAATGGAATTGCCTATTTCCATTTTGGCCAATCGCTTAACTTGTCGACATTCATAAGGCGAGATTTAATATATCATAGCCCTTGATGATTGTAGTAGCTACTAATAAACCAAATGTATCATCAATTCGTGATCTCGCAATTCTCGTGTGCATGTGCATGCATAATGTATAAGCATCTCATTGCTTTGGGGTACCAATGCCTCTTCAGGGGTTTATGTTGTCACTTATGTGACAAACATCTCTTTTATGATGAATTACTTAGGATATGTGGATCATAACCTCTTATAGAGCGCTATTTTTTATAGTGCTTGAATTTTTCAAATAATCTCCACTTCTGAGGAGTTAAGTCTTTAAAATCTATATTTCTGTCATGCTCCAGGCATGCATTATATATATAGTCACCATGTTAATGGATTGTGATATGAGAATATCAATCCATGTTAGCATATGTACAACTTATATATGCATTATCTTGATGAGACAAAATCGGATTGATTCAACACTATTTCACGACGTTCTTTAGGAACTGCCATTTCTCCCACTAACGGTGGAAAAATTGTCTTAAAATTTAGGAAAATAAACTCACTGTCATTATCAAATATGTGACCATTTTAGTAGGCACATTCAGTAAAATTGGTGAAGTGATTCATAATTAAATATTGTATAGGCTCACAAATATCCCCTTGAATAAGGGCTCAAAGTCAATTTTTGACTGAGATGATCCTATGAGCTTTTATTTATGAGCATTCTTTGTAATGATATTTGTTGGACAAGACAATATTTTGAGTCTTTAAATGATGTCCTTACAAGTTTATAAAAATCTTATGTATCATTGAGGAATATGGATTGCCAAGACAGCCATGCCACAACATAAAAGTTATCCGGTCAATGAACTTTTGGTTCATGACATCATAAACTTCCTACCCACAAAAGAAAGTAGGAAGTCTCTCTAATAGACGCCTCTGGCTATCAATATTGGAGCGGTAATACAAGACATTACCATTGTAAAACGAAATTAACTAATAACCCAATATAAATAAAATAAAATGAGTAAAGTGGTATAAGCGAGGAATAAAATAAATAAATTAAAGACTATGAAATTACAAGATAATCCAATATTAATGTGGATTCAATATGTAGATAAAACTACAAGTTTAAGAATTGGATTTCCAACCAATTCGGATTCATATATAGGCACAAATAAGTAATGAACTTCAGGTTCATATATAGTATTAGGATCCATGAAAAACTATGAACTTTAGGTTCATATCAACATATATTCGAAATTGCAGGTTTGAATACATAGATCTAAATAATTTGAATTAATAGTTGTACTTTGAACTTCAGACTTAAATTGATGTATATGCACTTGAAACTTCTAGTTCGGGTTCTTGACATATGTAGGCCTCATAGAATTCTGATTTTGATTAATACAAAATCAAGGAGTTTCATGTCCTTATGT